AGACCGCCACGGAATGAATCATCCCGCCCGGCCTCGTCCGGTAGATCCATCGCTTCCAGCCTCCAAGTCTGACGGTCCACCACCTGCCGCCGGTACGTGACCGTCGTGCCCGTTGTGACCCGACAGCGTAGGCCAAGTCTTCGTAGCTGCTTGGAGACGTGGAGGTTTCAATAGACAAGGGCGCTTTGTCTTGCCTTGCCAGTCAGGACTCGGTAGACCACTTCAACTGCCTCGTCTTCTTTTTTCCCCCTCCCACAAGGGCCAGTAACTGGAACGGGGGTGAAATGAAAAGTCAGGCTCTCATCTCAGTCAACGCTGACTTATTGAACTCACACGCCAGGCCCGGGTTCTCAGTTGACGGAACACGCGGGATGCTATTGGTTCGGAGGCGCTTCCCAGGAGACCCCCGTTTGAGCTTCGACGGGGAGGACCCCCCCTTATGCACTGCGGGCATAGCTGCATCTAGTCCAGTCCAATGATCAATCCAGCGCGCAAAAGGGAAGGGGAAAAAAGAAGCTTGAGAGCCCGAGTTGTCAACAACCGCCAACCCCTACACCTGGGAGTTTGTCAGTGCTAAGGCTCATCGAAACAGTCGGTCCCGCGAGTTGGCGGAGGACGCTTCCAAGCAGGCACTGACACGCAGCTTCGGTTTCCAACATGTCGGGGCAAAGCCTGCTGGCTCAAACCGCCCGTGGATCTGCTAACGAGCCCGCTGCCCCGTCACCCGCGAGCCTTTCAGCCTTTAGTCCATCCCATGCCATTGCATGAGAATGGCGGCGGTAGGTATGGTTACGGAGCTCAGTCATTTTGGGTGAGTGGCCCAGTCATGTCCTCTCATGGTTCGACGACAGCATCAATCTGCGATTGCCTTTTCATCTGCGGCTAGTGCCCCTCTCTCGGTCCCCACTCGTAACCCGAACAGCACGCCGCAATCTTCCCGAGGTCGGGATCGAGGGTCCAATGCCTCGTTTGTATCTGCATCGCGGCGGTGGAGAGATCAGAGCGATTCCGCGATATGTGTGTGTGCGTGTGTGTACGACACAACGTAGGCCACCGCTGTCGAGGCGTGTAATGTGCAAGCGAAGCAAGGGGCGGCAGAAAGAAAGCGAGCACGTTGCTGGGACTCTTGAGCGATGGAGGGGCTTGCCAAGGGCCAAGAGGAGACGACGACGACAACGACAACGATGGCGGCGAAGGAGAGTAAACGGTCTTGACCGACGGCTCTTTGGACGAGTGTCATGAAGCAACTGGTCTGGTTTGTGTTTGTGTGGGCACATGGCTCACGCCCCTCTTGGAACACCGAGGGTTTATCGCCAGCGATTTTTGGGGGTTGATTCCCCTCCCCCCTCCCCTCGCTCTCCCTGGTGCCCCCGGAGACTCTTGGCTTTTCTTGCGGGAGCTCCGTACTTTGCACGCCTTGTACTTGGTGGCATCGCGAGATTCAATCCAGCTTGAGGCCCCCCCTCCCCGTAAGGCCGAAGCGACTGCAGACCGGTGGGATGGAAAACGCATGGAATATTCGAAAAGGGCTTCGTTTGTGGATTGCCGTCGCATGGCGGACGGGACGTCGTCAAAATGGACCGCCCTACAGAGGAACAGGGCCCAGGGCTGAGGGAACGATGAGGTTCTGAAGTCTTGGCATCCGTCATTGGGGACGTGTCTGTGGTGTATTTTGACGACGAATTTTCTGTTTTGGCGGGTTAGGTGCTCTCAGATTGGCGTGGCCTTTGGTCCATGGTGGGAGGCCAGCAGAGTCCCTGGGGGGGGTGCTTGGACTGGGGGTGGGTGGTGAGTGGTGAGTGGTGTGGAGGAGGGAGAGGAACCACCTCACGGTTCCACACCTCGACACTGCTGGGCTGACCGGGCTGGAAGGGAGGTGGTCCGCGGGTGAGGTGCGGGCATGTGGAAGGTGCTCAGTGTGCCCAGCTCAAAGACCAAAAAAAAAAAAATGTCGTCCACTCCCACTCCCACCAAAACGCGTCAGCCCAAGAGCGGGGGGCAGTAGGTACGGAGTACAGACGGTACAGACGGCGCATGGAAGGGGCGGCACATCAGGGAATCGGGACAGCAGGCAAGAGCTTCCTGGGTCTCAAAAGTCTTGGCACGCTCGATTTCCTTCGTTTGCCAAGACTTCCACCCCGCCCCTTCGCGCTTGCGCTTGTCTTGACAACATGCATCGAATATCAGAGAGCCTCTTATGGATATCAAACAGATCTAGATACTGCCAATTGCCAGCGTTTTTCTCGCGGTTTTTTTGCGTGCAAAACTGGCCCAGGACGCCCTCGGTCGGTCGCCGACTCACCACAAGCAGACACCGCAGGCACTTGGTTGGGTCCCCCCCTTTTTTCCTCTCTCGCTCTCTCTCTCTCTTGCAATTCAACGGAACTTACAAACACACGCCCCCAGGAGTGAACGGATTGGCTTTGGCCTGACAAAAATCAAGGAAACGGGCCACGTTACCTTAGGTTTCTTTCCCCTCGCGCGCGCGCCCTCGTGCGGTTCGCCCGTCCTGGTTATTTCCGCAAGATTTCGTGCAAGAAAGAGAGAGAGAGGAAAGACCATTCAATGCATGTGCTGGCCACTAGGAGACAAGAAGTCGAGACTATTGTGGGGCGCACTGTACGAACAAGTCACAGTGCGAGCGAGCAACAAGAGGGAAGGCACACCCACACACAATACCTTCCTACCTTACCTCGCCTCAGTGAACAACACACCCCCAGCCCCTACCAGGACGAGACGAGACGGGGAAGAAGGTGGCAGCCGGTGCAAACCACCTCACCTACACTTTCCCAGTCGAGTGTCGCTAAAAGTCGCCAGGGTACGTATCTTTCACCTGCACTTCACCTCACCTTACCTCACCTCATCTTATCCCACATGGTAATAAGGTACGAATACCTTACGGATAGAATGGTGGGAAACTTACCTACCAAGTGCCAACAGACACAGACACAGACCATGGGCAGCCGCCCCGTCCTCGTCCCAAGGTATGGCTAACACCAATGTGCCAGAGAAAGCCACTCATCATTGGGATCCGACCCGTCTCCTTCACTGCCACCAGCTCATATCCTTTGCCTGTCTCGTGTCTGGTGTATCGGAATGGTCATCTCAGTCAGTCCAGGCTCAAAGCTATCGAGACTTTGTACACACATCAGAGTACCTGCGCAGGGGCCACCCGACCCGACCGCAACGCTACGAATACCTATCTACATTTTCTCGGTGCTCACAAGTTACAACTCGGCCCACCAAAGAGTGACGCGATAATAGCAACAGCGCCCACTTCTTGGGAGCCAGGCGACTGGCTTGCGGCTTGCAAGCTGCACAATCATGGAATGTCCCGAGCAGGCGTTCCTGGCACTGACGCGGGCAATCCAACGTCCATCAAAACGTCCAATGTCGCTGGGCCTCGTTATGGATACCCTCATGACTCTCGACTCACATGGCACTTTTGCTCTGACACTTTCAACCTAACCTTTTTTTTTTTCTCTCTCTTTCTTCTGCTCGCTATCCTTCGCAATCGTCCCGCCATGGTATCCGTCGAGCTCATAATCCATAACCTGACAGGCCCAAGGCCGAGCGCTCAAGGACGCGCTCCCACACTCAATCCTATTCCTCCAGGACCCTGACCTTGCTCCGGCCCTACTAATCCCAGCTTGAACCTTGGGCCCGAACCTGGCCATTGCACTCCATCTTTTATTCCCTCTCACTTATACGGTAGAAACAGAGAGTCCAGAGTTGCCCCGACGGCACAACCTTTGGACGCCAGACATTTTTGTCAAATCAGGGCTGTCGCCTATACAATCATACACTGGAAACTCGAGCTGAATCTGAGACTGCCATGCAGGGATCATTTGCAATTTGAGGCCCGTCAACGCAGGCCAGTCAAGATCGAGCCCATCTCTTGAGCGGAAACCAAGCTTGGATGACTCGAGATCAACGGCATCGATCTTAAGCACCAGCAACCACAGAACCTGTCCACGTAAGATGGGCTGGCCAAGGAGCGCACGCATCGCGTAAAACCACAGCCTGCAGCGCATCGCCTACAGCAAGCAGCTGCAAGCCGCAAGCACAACATACCTCAGCATCCCAAGTCTCCCGTCCCCTCGTCCTCTAGGAACAGACCCTCGGCCAACTACCGACCCCTGTATCTGTCACTGTAGGTACGTACCGGTGTTGGCCTTACCGAGCACACCTCCCACCTTGGCTCGTGGCTCAGGTGTGGTGTGGTAACTGTCCTCCTGTGGTATGCGGCGTATGCCTTGCTTGCAGCCCGTCTGCAGGCTGCTGAGCGGTTTCAATTTGGGTTCTGCTCCGAGTCCCGGCCACGATGCTGGCGGCCTGTCCCTGGCCCTTGCTGAGGTAGGAATCCCGAACGACCTGGTCCAATCCCAATGCTGCGCTGCTGGCACATCAGCATCTGCTCTCCATCAACCAACCCTTTTCAAGCTCGGTCATCAAACGAATCAGTGCACCAGCGGGCCCAGGGGGCGAACGGAGCGCAGGGTGCGGGTGCCGCTTCCATGAGCAAATTGGTACGGATACGGCAAACAGTTGCAGATGAGCGACCAAATACCATTAGCTTTCCCCATGTGGATTGTCTAGATAACGAGATGCTTGGTTAAAGTGAGAGGCTAAAGGTTTCTAGTCTCGGTGGACTCGGGAGCAAATCTCACAGCTATCTGCAATCTGCTTCTTGGCCCCGTCACAGTCGCTTGCCTCTCTTCATTTGCAAAGGAATAGAGAACACAGTCCCTGATCAATTTGATGAACCACCCATACTTCGTACAGATACATGTGTACGGAGTACTGCGTACGGATACCTTGGATAGAGCTCCATTTACGGACAGTTTATCGCCAAGACTTTGTCCCTTAATCCCAGTGATCGACCGACTGCCGTATCTGGCTGGCATCTACCAATCATCTGCGCACCAGTTCGGCACGATCGCCATTGTCATTTTTGGGGAATATTCTAAATTTGTTACTTTTGTCGCTGCTGCCTGCTCCTTTACATTGCATTTGCAACACACTTTGAACGGGGCACTTGACACGAGCCATTTCACCAAATTGCACTTGCACCGGTCCTGGAGCTGGGGTGCCGTATCACAGTACCTAAGGTAGGTAATGAGCGTTCGCTACCTTACCTTGAGGTACCTACCTAACCTCTTTACTCGATTACCCCGCAAAAATCAACCAGGTCACCACCATACTACGTACCGTTTCTCCCTTTCGAAGTTCATTTGCTAAGGTACCTTACCTTACCTTGCTCCGTACCGCCCGTTGACGTCTTGCTGTTTGTCAGAGAGCTCATCGTTGCTCTCCCTCCTCCATACACCCACAGCCTTGCTCACCACCACACACGCTCTCTCAGAGTAGCCCGCACACGCAGATACGCTTAGTGCGACAGACACAATACGACTGGGCTTTTTAAATCCCTCTCATCTCTGCAGAGTGCAGCGCGCAGCTGCCAGGCCAGGGCCCCCGAGTCACACACTGCCCCAACGTACAGAAAGCGGCAAGTTCCAGGAGCCGGTGAGTGTTCCACGAGTCCTTTCACTTTCCACGAGCTTCCCTTCCCGCCTGGTACCTTGCAACAGGCTCCGGCCCCTCTCTCCCAAATGTCACTGGCCCCCCGTCCCTCCAACGAACCGCCCACAACTCCAAAGCACAGAGTCCAAACACCTCGACCCTGACCTGCCCGGCCAGACCAGACCAGAAAGTCCCTCATTCCCGATAATCCACGCATTCCACCATTCACCTTTTAGGCCAACTCTAACCCGCCATCGGTGACATCGGCCACCGCACCTCGCTCTCACCCGCCCGGCACACATCCCCGTACGCCGTGTCGCCTAACACCTGACATTCTTCAATTCACTCACTGCTGGCCCCTGCTGACTTATTTCGAGATCCGCCAAAATCTCGCACGGCTCCATCAACTCGAGTCGCCTGATACGATATCGCAATCTCCAGAATGGCTGCCGCTAGCGCAAACGCCAGCCTCGACTCCAACGCCCTGCTCGCCTTCTTCACCCAGATGGACGATCAGGGAGGTGTCATTGTCAGAGGTGCGTCTCCGTCGTCCAAGCTGAGCCTCTTCACCTCCCTCACCTCGCTGTCTCTCCCTACACCGAAACGGACCTATCCGATCTGTCTCAAATAGGAAGTCAGTGCCAAGACGCGCGTCCTTGCTAACGGCCGCTGTCACTCTCCAGATACCCCAAAGCTAGATCTAGATCTGTACATCCAGAACTACACAGGTACGATGTTTCCTACCACAGCCCGTCTCAACCTTGTTTCTCGTAGACTGCGCCCTGCTGCCGTTGCCGCAGTGCCACTGCCCGCACACACGCTCAGCCTCCCCGCGTCTCCGCCCCCTTTTGCCCGCGTGCCAAGGCTCCGCCGCCTCCAGGGGGGAACTGCTTCTCACCACTGCCACAGGCCGTACCCGCTTTGAACGTCTTTTCCTCATCGGCCGGACATGCGTGCCGCTCTGTGTCGACGCTCTCAAGGCTGCCGTCGCAGAGGCCAAGAAGGGTCAAGATACGCAGCGTTACCGCGATGTCGTTGAGTTGATTCAGGTCGCCGCTCCTTTGGAGCCAGAAGCCACATTCGATCAGTCATGGGTCGAGCTCACGGACAGGGCCAACAATGCCAAAACTCACGCCCTTGAAGGCGAGTTGAAGGGTTACAAGATGAACCTGATCAAGGAGAGCATTCGGGTCTGTACAGACGTTTCCATATACACACACTCCAGAGCTAACTGATGCCAGATGGGAAACGAGGACTTGGGCCGTCACTTTGAAAGCATCGGCGACCTTAACAGCGCTGGCGAGGCTTACAGCCGGATGCGCCCAGACGTGAGCACATCCAAGCACATCATCGACGTTGGCAAGCATCTCGTCAACGTGACGCTGCAGCGTCGGGAATGGCCCATGGTCATTGCCAACCTGAGCAAGATCACGGGTGTCCAGAACGGCGACGAAGAGAAGGGCCTGCAACCCTACGTCAAGATCGTCCAGGGCATCGCCCTCATGGGGCTCGAGAAGTTTGACGAGGCGGCCAAAAGCTTCCTGCAGACGGATGCCGGCAAAGAGGGAGTGGACTACAGCAATATCGCGAGCCCCAACGATGTGGCAGTGTACGGTGGCCTCCTGGCTCTGGCAACCATGGACCGGAAAGAGCTCCAGACTCGTGTTCTCGACAACCAAAACTTTAGGACGTTCTTGGAACTGGAACCTCACATCCGCAAGGCCATTTCGCTCTTTGTAAATGGCCGGTACTCGGCTTGCCTGGCCATCCTGGAGGCATATCGCGCAGACTACCTCCTCGACATTTACCTCCAGAAGCACGTCCCGACGCTCTACTCGCAGATCCGGAGCAAGTGCATCGTGCAATACTTTATCCCCTTCTCCTGCGTCACCCTGAGCAGCCTCGAGGATGCATTTGCCGTACCCGGCAAGCCGCTCATTGACGAGCTCGTGGCCATGATCCGGGGCGGGGTGTTGCAGGCCCGCATCAACACAATCGACAAGGTGAGTTTCCGCGGCTCCCGAAAGTGTGAAGTCGCACCGTGTGCTAACGCACGAGCCACAAGACGTTGGTCGCCGTGTCTCCGAACCCCCGAGCTACGCTGCAAAGGATGGTCCTCGACACGATTGATGCCTACGAGCGGGACGCCACGGAGCGGATCCGGCGTATGAGTATCATTGCGGCAGATATGGAGGTCAAGACCATGCGCAAGGGTACTGCCCATGCCGGTGCGCAGGGTATCGATGAGCTCTGGTTTGAGCAGTCCAACCGACCGACGGTGGCCGGCGGCGCGGGCGGCGACAACATGAGCTGATGGCCCTCCGATGCGGCGGCGGCGACGGGCCGCGCGGTGACGGTGATACCGGCCGAGTGGTTGTGCTTGTCCGTGGGTCGGACGCGAGAGCTGCAGCACGCCGCGGGCATGCAACTGGAATGCTGACAACCGGGGCACTTTTGGTGATCCACCTTGGCGCCGTAGTCGCAAAAGCCTAAAATATTCGGGTGGTCGACTGCCAATGCAGAGGTGCAGACTGGGCGGTCTCGCGACTGGTCATTGGCTATCTCGAAAGAAAAGCATACGTACGCCTGCCAACACGTCTTTTGTGCCGTGGGATCATTCAGACGTCATGGCACTTTTGTGCTAGGCATGTCATTAGCCACTGGGATCGGGCATGGGCCTTCACGCAGCGGCTGGGACGGTGGAGCGGCTAAAGCAACAGGCGGCGGTGTTGATCGCGGGATCCCCGGGGCCGATAGATTGAGGCTTACGCAGCAGGCATAGAAATGTGTCAAGAGAATATGGTTTTCCGTCGATTGAAGCGTTCTTGTCTTGTCGTGCTTGGGAATGGTCGGGAATAATGCACCCTGTCTCTCTGCTCTGTATCGTTTATGCAAGCCACCTGATTGCACTTCGCCCGAACTGTGCCCTACGGCTAGTTGTTCTCTTCCGGGCCTAACGCAGAAACTTAAGCTTACCCTGCCGACGGATTTATGAACGATACCCGACCCTCTATATCGCCTCGGGGTCTTGGCAAAAGTTGTTTCTCTGCACAGTGCCAGTTCGGTTCCTCGCCTAGCTAGGTGGTCACTCAGTTTCCCCCTTCCCTTCCCCTCTCCTCAAAGGATAATAGAGTACGATCACAGATGCAGACTAGCAGAAGCCTTTTTTGAGGTGTTTAAAAAGAAGACTCTGCGATGATCGATCACCTGGGCTCTAGTCTTGTGGGCTTTCCAAGTTTTCCCCCGTTCGCTGCGGATAATTCCTCTTCGTCTACATATCCATATCCTCTGGGCAAGATATCCCCCAGGACGTCCACCCAAATGATCGCCCGAGAAGAAGAAAAAAAAAAAAGATACCGCAAATAAGAGCCGGTGAGTCTAGAAAATGGGGCTCCAGCCGAGGAAGAGAGAAGGGGGGGACAAGAAGACTCAAGGGTCAAGGGCGTGGATGGGGTCGAGGCCCCGCACGGCGCTTCTCTCTCACGCAAAAGACCAGCATTTCACCAGACAGGGTTTCCTTTTGGAGACATTGCTCCAAATCCCTGAAGGGTGGGGAGGGTGTGTGATCAGAAAAACTACTCTGGTATGGTTCAACTTTTTTCTTTCTTTATGGTGGGTTTTGGTGTTATTATTCTCTTTTTTGCTGCTCCTACCTAGCCTGCATCAGGCAGTTCGTAGGTTTTTCCTCAAGCAGTTCGTTGCCCCCCCTGGTCTTTCTGTCGCTGGGGGGTGTGGTTCTTTCTAGTCCTCCCCCCCCCCTCCCCATATCCGACATCGTCAATGATGCATGGATCATTTTGGATCCATCATCCAACCTAGGCGAGCCAGGCACAGATAGCATGGCCCATAATCGCGCTTCGCTTTCGCCTTGCAGACAGACGGTTTCTGGTGCGCCCCTCCCCTCTCTCTCTTTCTCTCCGAGGTATACTCCGTGTGGTGGAATTAGATCCCGATGAACCGGGAGTAAAATACATCCGCTAGAAATGGAAAAGAGACGTGTGTGTAAGATAGTAACGATGGGCATAATGTTGGCTCCAGAAGTGACAAGAAGAGAGGGGAGAGGATGTAGCAGTAAGGGGGTTAGAGGGGAGGGGGCATGGCATGCGACTTTGCCCAGTTTCCGTTGTCCCACCCTCAACCACCGTTCGAGTTCCATCCGGATTCGCGATCCGGGACACGCCCAGGAGTCTCGAAAAGAGTTTTTTTTTTTCGTTTTCCCCTTGTCGTTGCCGTCTCGGCCTCTCCATCTGGGGCCACCCTTCGTCCTTGGGGCGAGAACTAAGATGGCAGGGCGCAATTGACACCGAACGGAGTGACTCGGCGATCGTGATGTATTCGTAATCCACGTAATCCTCGGGCACGCGCGCACACAGTAATGCGCAAAGAATCATCCCATCAACTGCCGGACGTCGGTGGGCGGCCAGCGGACCTGCGCAAAAGTGAGGAGGCGCTTGATGCTCTGCAGGTACTTGCGCGTGACCTCGTCGCCCATGACGTGCCCGCGCTCGCCGTCGTGCAGCTTCTCGCGGGCGCTGCGCTCGTGGATGCCGACCATGGTGACGCCGATGGGCCAGGCGGCCTTGCCGATGGAGAGGCGGAGGTAGCCGTCGTTTGCGTCGACGTAGCGGCGTTCCTGCGCGGCTTTGACGATTTCGATGATGGGCGCGAGGAGGTCGTCGTCGAGGTCGTACTTTTCGAACTTGCGGAAGAGCTGTAACGTAATTAGTATATGCTTGACTGGTGAATGTGTGTGTGTGCGTGGGAGCATACCGGCTTGAGGTTCTCGCGGCTCTGCACCATGGCGCTGTACGCCGTCTTGCTGGCCGTCGTGTCGCGCCGTTCCGCCTCCATTGCCTTTTCGTACTCGGCCAGGACCATGGTGAAGTAGGAGGCCAGCTGGCGGAACAGCCACCGCCGACCCTCCTTGTCCTTGGGCACCGCCGCGCCCACCTTCATGTCCTTCTCCTCCACGAGCTGCAGCGTCGTCGGGATGGGGCCCTTTGTCAGCACCGTCGTGAGCCGCCTGTACCGCCTCAGCCTCGCGCCGTGGCCCTCGCCAAAGAGCGTCGCCGGCTCGCCCAGCGCGCGCAGCTTCTCGGCGAGCTGGCCGTCGGGGATGTCCTCCGCGCCCTCTTCGACGGCGGCATCGTCGTCGTCTCCGGCCGTGGCCTTGACGAGCTCGGGCAGCCCCAGCCGCTTCCGCCGCGCGCGTTCTTCCTCGGCCTCTTTCTCCTCGCGCCGCCGCCGTGACTCCTCGGCGAGCTTTTGTCGCTTCTCCTCGCGGATCTTGTTCTCTGCGGCGTCGTCTTCCTCGCGCTTGCGTTTCGCGGCGGCTTTGGCTTCCCGCTCGGCCTCGACGCGGGCTTGTTCTGCCAGGTAGTCTTCCCTGCGCTTCGCTTCGACGTCGGCTCGTTTGATGTATTTCGACGAGGAGGAGGCTGCTGCTGCTGTGGAAGTGGGCTTCTTGGACTTGTCCAGCTCCTTGGACATGAGGGCTGCAAAGTCCATCTTGGCGTCGGTTCGCTGTTGCCGTCGTCGGTCGGGCTTTACTATGGTCGCTGACTGTAGTGTCTCGTGTGTCTCGGGTGGGTCCGTTCGGCCGTGGGTATCACCAGTCTTCCCTCGTGTGTTGTTCGAGAGCAGAACTCGCCTCCACGTCGATGAGATGTCGTCAAACGAGAACGGTAGAAAACCGGATAGAGCGTTGCCGGATTGACAATTAAAAAAAGCTTAGTTTTCGGGAACGGCGCCCTGCGTGTGGTGGACGATCCATGCATGGAAGCTTTGGAAGATCGCGCTTAACTTGCACAGCCTCACTCGCCTACGACCTTGACTCCAGTCGGGAGGGACGCACGCCCGCACCTCTTCGTCCACGCACACCACGACCACTCACACACCGCAATACGTACTCTCGCACTCTTTTCTTACACACACAAACGCACGCGGCAACTGCAGCAGTTTTGAACTAGTTCCCGCTTCCCTCCTCTTTTTTCTAAACCCCCCGTTTGATTCCCTTTTTGGGGGCCTAAAACGGTGCTTGTTTGTACCTGTTCGTCGCGAGGGGACCCGGGGGCCTGGAGCTTGTCAAAAAGGAACCATCGAGCTTGTTTTCACTACGAATACTCCACACAGGCGAGTATACGTATACGTACTCCCCGACGTCGTCTCTTCTTCTTCCCATCGAAGCTCGGGCTGGCTATACTTGGCGCTGTTCGGCATGGCTTCCCATCAGCGGGAGGATACTACGCCATTTCTTCTGCAGCTTTTCTACAAGAACGGGTCATTTCACAGGTACGTCGATTCTACCTGATGCCTAATACTATTCTCCGTTCTGACAGACCAATATAGAACAGACGAGTTCGCCTCGAGGAGCCTGCCGCCATTCCTATCACTCTACACATGGCCCGACTGTACCTTGGACGAGCTCGCCGAGCTCATCACAGCTGAAGACCCGGCGCTGCTACCGAGCCCTTGCGTGGGCACGAGGCTCGCCTTCCGCCTCATCTACCCCGATACCCGAAATGCGGCAGCCAACGCGGGAGGGCACCATCACCACGGACAAGCGCAGGGACCAAGGTTCATGGTCAAGGACCTAGGGAGCGTGGTGCTCGGGGACGGCACGGCGGAGGCGCTCCTGGCCGCCGATGACGAGGGGGAAGAGGGGGCAGACGACGTCGACATGTCCGGCGCCGGCGCCCAGCAACCCGACGACGCTGACTCGGCCAAGAAAAAGACGCTCAAGGAGGTCAACTTCGTGGTCGGGGATTACGTCTCGTGCGCCATACTTCCGCCGCTGCCGGACGGCTCGGTGGCGCCGGCCCTGACTGCGCGGAACGATAGGGCAGCGGGACAGTTTGGCGGTGCAAGAGGCCCAATGGCTGGTCCGCCGTCGCAGGGGCCGCGCCGGGACGCTGGGTTCGGGGGACGGCAGGGCTGGGACAGAGAACGGCGACGCTCTGGGTTTGGAGAAGGTGGGTTCCCCGAAGGAGAGTGGCGTAGGGGCGAGAGGCTGCCCGATGATCCACCAGATCGGTCTCGGGGTAGAGGTAGACGACCCGACAGGTGGTGATTCAACTTATAGTTGAGGTCCTGAGGCACTTGGGTTTGTGTTTCGGCACGGCGTTATGGCTCATTTGGAGGGTATACCAGGCGGCGTTGTGGTCACTTGCAAGCGTCGTGCTGCCACGTCTATTTTTTGTAAAAGGATTGCCTTGCTTCAGAAATTGAAAGGGAATCGTAACTGCATTGAAAGCAGTACATACTTCTTGCGATCGTCATGTTGGACTTGAGAAAAGTACTTGTTCGATGTTCCCATTTCTCTACTCCGGGTCACGGTCCCGGTCCCGGGCCTATCTACACAATTTCCCCCTCCTCGATATCGTTCCCCGTCTATCGCTCGTAAACCAAGTCGCCCTTGCGCTTCGCGCGGAGGTCCCAAAGACCCTGTAGATCCGTCAGTATATGTACTCCCGGCGTTCCGACGGTGGTGCAAGGGGCAACTCACGTCGGTCTTGTAGCCAATGTAGCCGACGACGAATGGCACAAAGACGGCGTACATGAAGGTGACGCGGGCGGTTCTCGGGGTCCAGCGGAAGAAGATGTGTCTGTTGCTCTGCATGTCTGTTGAGTCGCTCTCAGGTCAGCCCTCTCCTCTCCGTGTCCCTCCATGCCACAGCAGCACAATCGCGCGGGATCTAATCGCCTCGCATCGTATTCGAAGGGGAAGGTGGAGAAGGGGAAGGTCTACGTACGTCCCAACTTGACCAGGGCCGGGTCAAGGGCCAGCTCTAGTTTGATCGAGTTAGCGTTCTGGTCGTTATTTTTGACGTCAATTGAGGCACTCACTGTGGTGGTGGCCTGCCATCTTGATGGATGATCAAGACTGGTTCGCAGGTTGGTCGAAAATGAAATTGATTCGGTCGGCCGACAAGGGTTTGCGGGGTTCCGAGGGACAATTGCTGCTTCGCTCGTCAATGTGAAGCTCCGTGATGGCACAATGCATCGCGAGTCTTGGGAGTTCACTGCTTAGGTAATGTGGACTAGCCTTGGGTGTCAGGCATCAGCCAATCAAGTGATGGGCATTAGCCAGACTGCGAAAGCGTACGCACTGTGCTCTGTGACGTTTGACTCCGCGAACGCATAGTGCGCGATCGCTAGCCGACACTGCCGACCTAATAGGCGAGCCGACTTCCCGCTTTACCCTCTATCTACACACGAGGTCACAAAGTTTACATAAGCAATACAAGTCAACGTGCCAGAGTGGTTAATGGGCAGCCCTGCTAAGGCTGTGGCTTCGGTCGCGCAGGTTCGAATCCTGTCGTTGACGCTTAACCTTTTGCAATTTTTGTCTCCAACTTAACCAGGCATGCCTGGGTAGTTCTTTGGCATAGCCATCGTGCCATCCAACTGCGTTCGAATCATTGTAATAGATCACGAGGCAGTTTTAGCAAAGACACGATTCAACGCGCAATAGGAGACAAGAGTAATTGTAGACCTCTGCTGGGAACCTAGCCAGACAACGATAGATCGGCGACTCAATGTGGTATGCAATTCGGAGCCAGCAATCCCGCCGACTTGATGTGCAGTCTAGAGAGGTTCTGGTTCTATGCCGAGGCCTGGAGACCGAGGCAAGCCTAAATTGTGGGGCACAATCCCGTGGTTTTGCGCTGTGAATTGGCTGCTCGCTGCGTGCTGCGCATGCTGTGTTCCTGTGACAGAAGACGGCCCAAGTGCTTTTTGTTTTGGGAAAACACCTGAAGGTGAGCTCGGTGGGGCCGGGCCCTTTGCCTTCCGATGAGCTAGTGACGTATAAAATGAGGGACGAAGCCCGGAAACCTTATCAAGTAGAACCATTGATGTTCAGATTGGTATCGTGGTATTAATTCAGATTCAGTGAGGCGTTCAATTGAGAATTCATCGCCAAAAGAACCAAACGAATACCCTCAACATGGCGACAACTGAACAGAAGCCCAAGGTGAAGCTCTACTGGTAAGTCGGGTCCAGGTTTCACTCATACTCTGCATTCCAAGCTCACCAATTCACCAGGCTGGAGCAATCGAGAGCCCAGAACATCCTGTGGCTCCTTGAGGAGCTCAAGATTGACTATGAAATCGAAGTGTTCCACAGGAATAAGCAGACCCTCTTGGCGCCTCCCGAGCTGGCAAAGGTTCACCCTCTGGGCAAGTCGCCCGTGATTGAGATTTTCCCGACCGGCTCTGGCGAGTCCATCAAGCTGGCCGAGAGTGGCTACATGACGCAGTACCTGTGCGAGCACTTTGGCCAGAACACCAACCTCATCCCCAAGAAGTGGAAGGACGGGCAGGAAGGCAAGATTGGCGGCGAGACTGAGGAGTACTCGAGGTGCCAGTACCTGCTTCACTACATTGAGGGCAGTCTGCTGCCGGTCCTCACCATGTCTCTGGTCATTGGAGGTGAGTCTCACGTCAGGTCACGATTCCGGAGTATTCGCTGACGCCTTGCAGCCCTGAAATCCGACAATGTGCCCTTCCTCGTCCGGCCCATCACGTCGGTGGTGGCAAACCGGATCTACAGCATGGTGATCTTCCCCAACGCCAAGAAGCACATGGCCATGATTGACCAGATGCTCGAGACGTCGCCCAACGGCGGCAAGTACATTTGCGGCGAGCACCTCTCGGCCGCCGACATCCTCCTCAGCTTTGCGCTCATCGCGGCGCAGCCCCGCTTCGACGGTCTGGGGAGCTGGCCCGGCGGTTCTGCCAAGGCGGCGCACCCCCGTGTGTTTGAGTACATTGAGAGGCTCAAGAAAGAGCCCGGCTACGAGAGATCGGCGCAGAAGATTCGCGAGATTGACGGCAAGTTTGAGGCCACAATCTCCAAGATGTAAAACGTGACGTTTGATGAATTGGGTTCGGGAACTAGAGAGATATACCACTTTACTAAATTGACATTTGCTTTTATTGAACCGTCGTCTCAAATTTGATACTTACCTACCTCTGTATACATCAATACGACCAGTCAACATTTCATGTAACTCAAAGCGCGTCGCAAAGCTCATCATCTCACGGCTTCATCTCAGAGCTCTTGTATGATGGTAAGTGGCCCAAGCTTCCCGAATGGATCGCTACCGCAGGGACCAACGGCAGGGATTCCGGGCCGCTAAATCGGCGTGCGTTCCTCCCGCTGTCGGCAGCTTTTCCAGTGACGCCCCGACGTATTTTTTTCGCAACATCATCCAAGTCGCTTCAACCCGCCAACGCACCCGAGGGCCAGACGAACGCCATGCTCGCCTCGAGGACGGTATGCGCCCAATGCCGTTCGAGGCTTCTGGCCGGTGCTGCGACAATCGGCGCGGTCCGACCGAACTCGACGACAAGCTTCCCGCCCGCCGCTGTGGACCAGCCGTCCCGAAACCCGAAATCCAAAGCGCCACGACCACCCACGAGGAAGCACAAGGGCAGCGGCAACGAGACTGCGAAGCAGAGAGTCCTGGATCTATTTGAAGAGACCGTCAGCAAGCAGCCCGCGCCGGCGACTCCTAGCAACGGCCCCGGCGTCAACCAGCTCTACTCGCTTACCGACGAGCTCAGCCAACTCTTGCAACAGAGACAGAAACAAAAGATCTCCGATTTGGAATTTGCGACACAGGCATACACGTTCATAACCACAAAACTTCTGGTGGCCGCGCAAAAGTCGGGGGTCTATCTGCCTCAAGTTACCACAACAATAGCCAGCCAAGCTTTACAACTAATCACGAGAATCAAGTTTGCGACGATAGAGGCCGCCGACCTCCCCCGAACGGTAGACATATGCAAGTTGTATACTCACATAAATAACAAGAGGGTTGTGAGGCGGCTGGAACTCATCAATGGTCTGCTGCGATCAATCATCTCATCTCGAGCGGACCCAGAGAACCAGGCTGTGGAGGACCGGCTGCTGGAGGATCTGGTGGAGTGCTGGAAACACTTTTCGGGCTTGAAGCGCGCAGACAGCGGCCTCGAGTCGGATCCCGTGTTTTGGCTCACGTCACGGCGGGACTTGCTAGGGACCGAGAGACCCGATAGACTCCTCCGCGCGCTCTTCCCCTTTTTTGCAGCCAACGAAACGTCAGGCCTAGGACCGGCCCTCGTAGCCACATACGTATTGCTGTCTGAGTCCAAGCATATGATCAGCAAGGCCAGGTTGGAGGCACACCCGCTGTTGGAAGCACTGGATCCCATCGTCAAGCAATTCGATAAAGACATGCTGCAGGAGCTCTTTCGCGACCATGCCGAAGTCTGGAGCTACGTCCAACCCCGGGCGGACTGGAGGGTGACGCGCGTGGCTCCCGGAACGTGGAAAGAGTTGGATACTGCGTCTCCAGGCAAACCCGACCAAGCCAAGTCGGCGGTGCGGTTCTCCTATGCCCTGTGGCACCGGCGGTTCGAGACCGTCTTCCGTGCAAACGACACTGCAGCCATCCAGCAGGCCTGGAGAGATCTGATCAACCCGGCCAACGACAAGGACCGGACCCTGAGGCTGCAGAGCTCTCCGGACCTTTTCGATTACATCCTGTTCCTCGCGTGTAGCAAGTACGGGCTAGGCGCAAGCTTTTCCAAGCTGACGGAGGAGATATTGGCGTACATGAAGACTCTGGGCATGGCCCCGACGGTCAGGACGTACACGTCAATGATGAGCGGCTGGAAAGAGGCGAGGCGACTGGAGCCGATTGAGAATCTGTGGAAATTCATCACAAATGCAGGTGTCAAGCTGGACCAGCAGATCTGGTCAAGCAGGATCTCCGCCCTCGGCCTTTTGGGCGGCGAACATGACGGCCTGGGTGCCCTCAAGGAGATGGACAGGCTGTGGAACATGGCGGTGAAGAATGGCACGCAAGGCAAGGCCGTCGAGCCTGGCATCTCAAACGTGAATGCGGCCATTTCCGGCTTGCTCCGGCGCGATAACATGGAGGTCATCCGTACCGTACTGGACTGGGCGACCGACAAGGGCATCACGCCCGACATCTATACCTACAACATGCTCCTGTCACGCATGCTCAAAAGGGGGGCCCACGAGGAGGCGGACCGGATCCTTGCCAGCATGAAGACGGCGGGCATCACGCCGGACGGGGCCACCTTCACCGTCATCATGGAGGCGGCCCTCAGCGACCTGCCAGACCAGACGCCGCAGGAGCAGCGGGAGACGATGGACAGGGTATTCTCCGAGATGGCCGCCTGCGGCATCGAGCCCAACCAGGAGTCCTACGGCAAGATGCTCCACGTCCTCGTCCGGGCGGGCGACAGCGGCAAGCACGCCGTGGCCGCGCTGCTCTCGCACCTGCGCGCGTCCCGCCTCCACCCGTCGACCGAGATGTGCACCATGCTGGTCGAGTACTACGTCAACCGGAGCCGGCCCGACCTCGACTCGCTGCGCGCCCTTGTCGCGGACCGCCGCGCGCGCACGCGGGCCCTGACGGACCGCGTCTTCTGGGAGAGCGTCATCAAGAACTACCACCGCGCCGGCGACCTCGACAGCGCGCTCGAGGTCGTCTACGACCTTGACGACTGGGGCATCTGGCCCGGCTTGCCGCTGCTCGACCCCCTGCTGCGGTCCCTGGTCCACCGGCAAGACTTTGAGGGGGCCAAGAAGCTGGTCGATACCGTCCGCAAGCAGGCCAGGCCTCAGGCCGCGGACAAGGCGGGTCGCTTTTCGAAGCATGGATTCTGGGCGTTTGCTCACGATTATCGATTGTTGCCGGGGCAAGAGGAGGCGTAGAGTAGACATTAGATTCTCAGCCGACTATTATATTGTACAAGTAGAAATCATCAATGTATAACAACTTGGGGATACCTTTGTTCTCCATTTCATGCATCTGCGAATCCAGGATGGCGTGCTCCTAGTCTCGTAACGTGACATTATCACATCGTATACTGGCGCTTGAGTTCCTTCACCATTAACAAAAAGGGCCAATGCGGTGCGAGGGTATTCATAGAGTCCCTGGGAAATTAGTCAATGCAACGAGAGGAAAGTGAGACGGACAATATCAGTCGATACAGCTTCAACGTCCCTTCGATACGTCTTTCTTCAGAATATTGTATCATACGCAGTCTACCCAGCAGCGCTACATCCATGACATGTACACATTCACTCACCAACAGCACCCAGCACATACTTGATCCCCTCCCAATGCTCCTCGGCCGTGGGCAAAATAAACTCGGGCGCCAGGATGAACCCAGACCCCCCGCTCCCGCCGCTCTTGGGCCGCAACTCGACGCTCCACGAGTACGTCGCATTCAGCGCCCCGTGGTGGAAATCCCTCGCGGAGCCCGTGGAATAGTACAAAATCTCGCACGACGGGCCGACCTCGTAGCCCTCCCCGCTCGTCGCCGCAATCGTAGCGGCGTACCCCGCGCCCACGTCCCGCTGCGCCTGGAGGTTCTGGGGAAGCACATCGGGCTCGCAGGAGAAGCCCCAGGGGAGGAGGATCAGCTGCGAGTAGCTGTGCCAGTCGATGAAGAGTCTGATGCCGCCGCCGCCGCCGTCGCCCGTGGAGTTGGTAGCTGCGGAGGCTAGCTCCCGCGAGAGGGCCGAGAGGACGACGTTCTCGGTCGTGTCGCCCGGCGCGAGGCCGCGGAAGGTCTCGCCGCACGGGTCGGCGGAGACGCTGCCGTCCTCGAGGGGGTAGTCCCACTGGAAGTTCCAGTTGCGGTTGCCGTCGGTGCCTATGCAGGTCGTGTTGGAGCGCGGCTGGCGGTTCTTGCGCCAGAGGCGGTTTGTGGTCTGGCTGTACACGAAGCCTGAACACGGGAGAGAGTCTTGTGAGTGACTTGGACAGGGGCTAGTAAGACGACGTTTGGCTTACCATCGGGATTGTGGAAGGGCACAATATAAAAGTCGTAGGCGTCGAAGAAGGCTGTGACGTTTTGGTCTCCGGACTTGTAGCCGTCGATGAGTTGGTAGGTCAAGTACTCGACAGTCTACTCGCAGGCATCAACAACCTCACTTACAAAAGCGCCTGGGACGGGCTCACGTACCATGGTAGTAATCCATTCTCTGGCATGAACGGTACTGTGCCAGAGAACAACGGGCTTCGTCCCCGTGTCCTCGCCTCCCCAAAGCCGCAGCCCGAATATGTTGCGGCCCTCATACGAGGCACCAATGTCCAGCCACTCCGAGTTGTCGGGAAACGCAGCGTGGAGGTCCCTCCAGTACTGTACGTGGTCGTCGTACGCGTGGTACGAGTCGAACCAGCTCAGGTCCGGCAGCTCGCCCCTCTTAGTCAGGCCAGGCTTCTTTTCGGCCTCGGACTCAGCCCTGATCGCTCGTCCGAGGTCCTCGTCCAGAAGCTGCGCGCCGTCCAGCAGTCCCAGAGTCTTGAGTGACTCAACCTCGCTGAGCGGGATCGCGACTTCGACGGAGCCCTTGAGGTCAATGGACGGGAACGAGCGCAGGCGGGCGAGTTGGTTTGGTGGCGCGTTGGCAGTTGATATGCGATAGACTTGATAGCCGTCGTAGCTGACCTTTTCGTCTCGGGGCGTCTTTATCCTACCGGTGCCGGTGAAGGCGATGACCGGTGTGATGAGCGCGAGTACAGCTGTGAACTTCATGATGATTTTTGAATTGAACATAGCCAATTCGCTGTCAGTCGTCGGCTGTTCAGACGAGTACGGGGAATTGGCGTCTGACGCTTTTATACAGACATCTCCGGCGGATATTTGCGCGGTTTCATTCACCTTCCCTCGCCGTGTGAATTGCACAAAATCCTCATTTTGGCCCTGGCGAACCTAAAGGGCAAAAAGTGAGGGGTCGACGGTTGATAACCATGCAAGCCAAGACCGAGATGCTTGTATGACGCTCTCGAATCTCGACGTTTCGCGGGCCAGCGTAGCATTCTCGCAGACATACTGTGAACCGCTTCTTTTGGCGTGCTGGAGAGGGTCTAGCAAACTCAATTGCAACGTCGTACGCGGGGATGCGAGGCTACACCCAGAAGAGTAGGTGCTAGGCCTTGTTGTCTTGGCTTGCGAGGATAGCCGAGAGTCAGGTTAATAGACCTGGAAAGCTCAGGATATTGGTTCCGACGAGGCAAAAGCGAATGAGGTGATGAATGCAGCGGCTTTGATGCGGGATATTTAGAGAAGGGAATTGGTACAGTGATACAATGAGCAAGGAGCGAATCTCATGAATATAGACCAGCAGCCTCAATTGCGAATAATTTGCCCACAGCGAGACATCCGTTCCATCATTTCCAAGGTAACATCTCAAGTCTAGTGGATTAAAAGGTCCATCTAAGTACCTACGATACCCGTAAGATCTTCAGGGAATGTGTCTTACACGGAGGCTCCGGTCCAGTGGAGCGCCCTGACGCCGCCCGACTCATGACCCGGCCCGGAAGTGGGATCCGGGTCATCACGGCGTTTTATTACCTTGAACATCGGAGCAGGCGACAAAATAGAGCAGAAGTAGATCCATCTGATTGACACTCATTCGATGTATGACTATTCGCTGACTCTGCTCTTCACAGCATACTCGCTATGGACGATGTAGAGAGTGAGGAGAAATGACACAACGAGGGCAACAGCAGCAGCAGCAATAGGAGTAGTGAGAACGAAAATGGCATTGAGCGGCAAGCTACAGTGTAGCCCATTTCCCATCCTCATCACAACTCAAAGACGTGAGCCGCCAAAATACATAGTGTTCTCGGAGAACCATATTATTTCAATCTCCGCCTGGTCCGATATTTTAATTGTCCTCTTCGATTCCTTGACCTTATGGTCGATCCCAAGATCATCAGCCAGCAGTTCATATGGGTCGAGAGGGATTACCTCGCTCCGGAGAACTGTAACTGAACGCAGCTTCACCATGCTCTCAGTTGCCAGTAAGCCTTGTACCTGAAGGTTTAAACGTTCCTCGCTCTTTGACGAATCTTCCAGCAGCCTCAATACCTCCAGTGAGCTTGGTAGAACATTGCTGAGGTGCAGAATAGACATCATTGACTGATCCTCAATGTTCCCGTCGTTTGGGCTCGATCCATGCCCGCCATCACTCCCCAGCAGCAGATCGAAGGGAATCTCGAGCGTCTCGAGCCGCGTCAATTCTCGCAGGGACCCGATACGTCCCAGTCTCACTACGTCATCAGGGTCATGGTAGTCATCCGTCTTTTCGAATTCTGGGCGGCAGTCCAGCTCCAATTTACGGAGGTTTTTGCCATGTTGACGCAGGGCCTCGCCGATTCCGTTGCACTCGGGAACGCCGCCACCGTAGTTGAACATGCTGTCGAAAGCCTTGCCCCATCTAAGGCCTAATGTCTCCAGATCGGGACAGCGTCTGAGCAGGTTTGTCAAGTCCGCTGCGTTGTATAGCGAGTTGAACAGGCAGACCGACTTCAGCGCTAAGGGGTGTTCCGTTTCATTCCACTCGATTCCCCTTCCGCTGAAGGCCTCCACTCCCTGTAAAAGCAAGGGCTCCCATCGAGAGAGCCGAAAGCTTTGGCTATCCTCAAGATATTCCCATTGGTTGGCACGGACTTCTCGTAGACGGGGAAAGGGTCCCGGTTGTTCCACCTCGCCGATCAATTCCATCTGCCCTACTTCTGACAGGCAATGCATGATCTCCACCTCTGGAAGCAGCCAGGCTAGGAGTAGCATATGCGGAGCTCCTCGGAAACGCAAAAGCTCTCCAGAGCCACTTCTGTAACGGTCAATGGCGGCCCTGAAATGCCCATGTTCGGGAGAGCGTTGCAACTGGCATAACTGCTCTTCGAGGTCTTTCTCGGCCCACGAGCGACGGAGCCCACGGGGGATGGTGAGATGCCTGACGTATCTTCCTAGGTAGCGCTTGCTTCTGACGGTCTCAAGAAAACGGTTGAAGCTGTACTCCGAAAGCCAGACCTTGTGGTAAAGAAAGGGCTCTGCAACTTGCTGGAAACCTTTGGATACGCGGCAAAGGTCGGACAAGGTGGCATAGTCTCGGCCGCTGGGGCGCATGTAGGTCGGTTCGGGATGTGGGAGGCTTTTGATGATTGCGAGGAAGATCTCGTCGGGTAGATGAGACGGCATCTTGGTCGGTGATGCCGTAGAAGTGAGAGGTGCGCGATGTGGTGGAGCTGATGAGGATGGGGTTTGACAGCAATAACAAACGGCAGGGTGTCGCGGTGATGTAGGGTCGAGATTAGGTAATTAGGCAGGCACCGCTCTTTCCTAAAGTCAGATATTAGTTTCTGTCTACCTCTTGCCTCACTTGGAATCCCAGCTCACCTAGAGGCAGCAACCCCGTTTCAACTTGGGGCGTCACTTCCTTCCTTGACCGAGTGCGTCCGATGGAAAGAAGGACCCTTGGTCACGAGGTAAAAATCTGGTTCTTGCCAGCCACAGGTGAAAATTGTAAATGAATTTGGTGTCTTCAGGTTCCAAGAATGGGCCTATAGCCTGAAGTTTCTCTTCTCTCCGTCTGTCCTTCCTCCTTGCCATCCTTCTCGGTTGAACCACATCTTATTCCACGTATATTGAATCCAACAAGCTGTGATATGTTTCAGCCCATCCCTCCAATGCTCTGCGTCCTTGCGATTCCTCTTCAGAAGCGACGTGGGGCCCTCCTAAGGCGATTTCGACATGAGGGAAGTCTGCATCATCGAGCCATCGGTAGTCTGCTCTAGCCTAGCTGGTAGTGGCAAGACACCATGGCCCTGGTCCATGTGAATTCTCGTTCCCTGTCGACGCCCCAACGGTGACGGTATCTTAGATAGCTGCCCTGCAACTTTTCGTGTTTGGCTGAGGGAAGCAGAGAGCTTTACCCGCCCCAGGCACATCGAGTTTCTATCCTGCCATGGGTGTAGCAGGTGGCGCGGTGGAACTTGCCGCCTTCCCATCAGTCCTCAACATTGACTGGGATCCGTCTGAGTGATAGCACGCTGACGGGGAAAGCGAATGGTCGCTCTGCGCATGAGCCAAATCGCCCGACCTGGCATCGCAGCTAAGATGGCGACGGTGCCGTCGGGGATGCTTTTAGCAGCCAGTGTCCCGCGGCATGCTCTGTCGGTGGCGAGCGTGTGAGGTCATTTCAATCTTCTCAAAGAAGTTGACATCCGAATGCTCGCTTCATGACTCGTCCATTGCGTCGGGATCGGGTTGCTCAGTAGACTCTCCGGAACCTCCCCCGAGCGCGGCAACCACCTGCTCGAGCCCCTCCACCTCGCCCATGGCAAACTTCCTACCCTCGCCTTGCCACTCGCCATCGCGCACATCGCCATCCTTGCCGAGCTCCAGCCCACGCACATGCTCCAGATGCTTCCGCGTGGCTCCCTCGACATACTCCATCCTCTCCCGTCTCCAGCTCTTTTGCTTCTCGGGGCCGTCCTCGTTGCTGGACGGGTCCTTGAGGTCAGGCATAATGTTACGTAGCGACGTCGATAACGCGCGCAGCGCCTGGAGTTGCGACATGTTGAAGGCGGTTGTGGTCGTTATGGGCGCCTTGAAATCCCCGTCTGCCAAGTCGCCCTTCTCCTGCAGGAACTGGAACGGCGCCCTGTCGTCGGACCCCTCGACCTTGACCTGTCCCACCAGCGATGCCCTGGATCCGGCTGGCTTACCACCGATGACCCCTCGCAGCTTCGCCAGTAGCGCCGCATTCTTCGCCTGCTCAGCGTGCAGCATCACGTTGAGCCGCTGGCTGGCCTGTAGCTTCCTTCTCAGCGCATCGACGCTCTCCCTCGTCGGCGCGTCCTCGTGAGTGGCGTTGAAGTCGAGACCGTCGTAGTGGGCGAGGCGCATCCAGTTTCGCTGGCCCTGTTGGATGCTCAGGATGTTCTTCATGACGTAGAGCTCGAATTTGTCAAAATTCTTGTCAATCGCGGCGCACAGCAGCGTCTCCAGCTTATGGACGCCGTCGACGATCTCCAGCTTCGCCGTCTCCTCGACGTCGACAACCTCGTCCGCGGACCGTTTCTTCTGCTTCAGCGCCTTCTCGAACCCTAGCGCTTTCGGGGGCGCTTTTGAAAGACCCTGCTCGACGCGGTCGAGCGTCTTGTCGGCTACGGCGTTAACATTGTTGATGATGCTGTCCAGGAGCGACTGCGAGGAGATGTTAGTCCTGGGGCGTCGCGTGATCTCAGTTTCAAAGGTAATCTCACAATTGGTGCGTATCCCAGATGTTCCGTCAAAAGTTCCACGTCGATTATCGTGCGCTGCGCCATCGTGTTCAATCGGCTGGCTGCTGGGCCTGTCGGGAGGAGGTTCGTGGTTAAGTGGGCGGACAAAGTACCGTCTCCAAAGACGCGACGGACGCGACGAAAGTCAATATTTGGTAAGGCACATCGACCGACCGAGGGGTCTATTCCCCCGAGAATGGGGGAGGGGGGGAAGGCCTGAATCGCAAGGCGTCTAGCAGGGGGCCACCCTCCCCCAAATTCCCAGTCCAGCGGCCCAGCACGGCGACACCCGTAATTTTAGCGACTTCGATAGCGGGTAACACTGCCACGCACCTCGGGCGACGTCACGCAGGAAACCAGGATGGAGCGCTGACAGAGAACCACCGCCGGGGACGACGCAATGCGAGCCTCCACCGGTGCTTTTTACATTAATTGCACAACCTGTCGTCGACAAAATCTCCCCTTTCCACACTCCAAGGGCACGAGTCAACAGCAACACTTCTTCCCCCTTTCCGTTTGTTCGACCCAGCCTCCGCAACAATGTCGTCGAACTTTGGAAATTTCATGAAGAATGGCTGGCACCCCGAGAAGCCGGGCACCACCTTCAAGGGCCAAGTGGTATGTCACCGGGCGGGCGTCTCTGCAACTGCCATGGGAAACTGACCAGACACACGACAGAACGGCCTCCTGGGAAGGAAAACGGAGAACGACAGAGAGGAGCGCGTCGCCAGACCCCTATCGTCCCTCACAGATCCCTCAACCTTTGCACCGCCGCCGAAGCGTGTCCCAGGAACAATTGCACCCCCGCCCCCGCCATCACGTTCCAACGCAACATCACCTGGCGTACCACCGCCGCCGTACGACGACTCGAACCGATACCAGCAGCAACACGAGGAAGGCGTAGAGGAAGAAGCGGCGCCGCCCAAGCCTTGGCGCACAGATACCACTGGCCTCTCAACCGCCCATCTACCGCCCCCGCCGGGAAGAAAGGATGGCGCCGACGGACGGACGCCGGTGCCGGGTCAAGCCGCCGCCGCACGGCCGCCGCCCCCGAGCTTACCACCGAGACTGCCGCCTAGGACACCCTCCGCTTCGTCGGTATCGAGACCGGCCTCACCAGCGCCAGCACCACCACCGACGTCAAGCAGCGGCGGAGGCTACCTGAACCAGAACGCGATGAACAGACTAGGAGCAGCAGGCGTCTCCGTATCCGCACTAGGCATCGGAAAGTCGGCGCCCGCACCACCGACCCGATCCAACGCCAGCAGCCCCGCGCCACCTCCCCGAGCCGGAGCCTTCTCGCCGCCGCCGCCTCCGCCTACCACCACCAGCAGCAGCGGCAGCGGGGGCGGCCACATGAGCGAGTTGCAAAACAGATTCGCCAAGCTGGGCAAATCCGCCGTCGCCAACCACCAGTCCTCCACCCCGCCGCCGACAGAAGGCACCACGACGGAGCAGAAGCAAGCCGCGCTGCGCACCGCAGCCGACTTCCACAAGAACCCGTCGTCCGTCTCCGTCTCGGACGCCCGGTCCGCCGCGTCGACGTTTAACAACTTTCGCCAGCGGCACGGCGAGCAGGTCAAGTCCGGGTACCAGAGCGCCAACAACTTTAACCAGAAATACGGCATCACGGAAAAGGCGGGGAACTATGCCGGCAAGGCGAAGAGCTTCTACAACGACCAGGTCGGGCAGAAGCAGCAGGCTGGGGCTACTGCGGACACCACTGCTGCGACCACGGCACCCAGCCCGGCACCGAGCCCGCTGTCACCTCCGCCTGGGCTGGTGAGCGCAGTCGGAAAGAAGAAGCCGCCTCCGCCGCCGCCCCCAAAGAAGAAGCCACAGCTGGCTGGAGCACCGGCACCGCCGCCCGCGCCTTCGCCTCGAGCATCCGGGCCTGGGGACGATGATGACGCACCTCCCCCGATTCCCTTGGCAACCAAGCCGACTTTTTGAGCTGGGCAGACTTTTTGGGGTGGTGGTGGTGGTGAATGATGGTGGATGAAGGTGGCTGGTGGGCATCACGTACGTTCTCGAGGCCGAGTTGGTGCATGCGTTTTCCTTTGCAGTCGGCTAATGCATCCTGTGGCGTTTTGTTAATGGTCAGGCTACCTCACCTTGTAGGGTAGCATCAAAAAAGAAACCGAACCACTTTGTGGGAGCATCACATAACTTTCACCTGTTCATATAGAATGAAGCTCGTCGAGCAAGTTTATAAGGCAAAAAAGTTGTTTCGTTCGTATGATCATAAGCACGGCCGACGCCGGGTGTGCGCTTTTTATTTTTTTTGCTTGCTACGGGGGCTTTTGAAGGGATATATGCCAAAGCAGATGGGTGGTACGCTATAGCAAAGGTGTTTTCTTGTAAGACGTCAAATTCTTCAGTCTCCAAAACAAACACCGATAAAATCTCGAGAAAAAACAACAGGGAAAGAACTAGTTCCGTGTCGAGATTTAAACCTTCATGCCCTCGAGGCCGTGCTGCCAGACGATGATGTAGGGGGTGACACCATCCTCGCGGTAGTTGAGGAGGACGACCCTGTGCACAGGTTAGCATCATTTGGGCGGGGTATATCGGGGGAGATCTTGGGGGGATGTTGCTTACATTCCATCGGGGTTCATCGACTCGCCAGTGTAGAACTCGAAGTCCTTGAAGTTGGGAAGGAGGGTCTCCTTGACGTACTTCTGGGCACCCTTCTCGAAGGCGGTGATCTTCTCGGCGGGGGCGTTCTTCTCCTGAAGGGCAGTCTTGACGGCCTTCATGTAGCCTAATTGCGAAAACTTGTCAGTACACCAATAATGCTTCTAGTTATATATGAGACGGTTTCACGCACCCTTGAGGTAGCCGAGGAAGCTCTTCTTGTCGAACTGGGTGGACTGGAGGCGGAAAGAGTGGACAATGTTGTTGACCTTGATCTCGGCGTCCTCAGTACCCTCGTCAGCCTCCTCGGCGGAGGCGTTGGCGCCGGTGTCTGTGTGCAAGTCGCTTCTGTCAGAATGTTGTTTTTTCTAATCATGTTTCGATGGGCTTGGGAGGCGCGCGGGGTAAGCGCCCAGCGGGGAGGGGTGATGTGGGCGGATGGGTGGTTCACGAACCGACGTTGACGGCGCCCTCGGTGATCATGGCGCAGTCGGCCTCGAAGACAATGCCATCGATGTCCTTGAGGTCGTAGGAGTCCGAGATGATCTCGTCTCCGGTAATGATGTCCTGTGTGGCGGTTGTTCGGTCAGCATATTGAGAACGACCCTCATCTTCAAAACATCAACATTTTTTTCAACCCCCCCGGCCGTCCAATGGCGGGGGATTTCCGAAGGAGGGGTAAAAAACAGCTATGCCTGGCTGCACAAGCCGTCCACAGTCCTCGAGAGAAGTGATCTGGCAATGATAAAATAGACGTACCTTGTAGATAATCATCTTGGCGGTTTGTCTGAGGTGTCGAGGAGGTGAGGTGTTGGCGAGACGGCAAGTTTGTTGTCTGGGTCTGGAGAAGTAGGAGGAACGAGCAGAAAGGAGAGGGGTCGCTTTTGAAGGGCGAAAAGTGTTCGCAAATTTGGCAAGTGGGAGGGACTGTGTTTGGTGGGGTTTTCTAAGCTAGTCTTGATTTGGGTTGGCGGCAAAAAAAGCCAGGCGGGTTCCTGTATCCGTACTCATGGGCTGTTAGTGCTCGAGCTGTTAGTCCCGCGAAATCCCTAACACCGTGGCGGGCTGCCCGAAGGGCGAGAACACTGAAGGTGCGGGACGTGGGACCTGAGCCTGAAAAGATATCAACCTGATGAGGTTCGTCTTTCAAGGTATCCTGCGATAGTATGGTATTTTACCATTTTTAATATGTATCTCATTATTCAGGTGAAGATATAGTGAAGCAAATATTTCACTGGGCTTCAGATGCCATCGGCATCTTAAGCCTGTGGCATTTTTCTCGGCCAAGACTGGATGGTCTGGAGCATGTGGTGTTGATTTTGGCGAGGTGAACTGGATGTCTTACCTAAGCCGTGGATGGAATCGAGCCCTTGACGGCGCCGCTGCCGCTGAAGGGCCTTTTACGATACCCACCGCAGGTCGTGGCTTAATGGGATTGAAGCTGGGATAGCCTCAATTACGTTCTGCGGCTGGTCGAGAGCGGTGAGCCCAGCTCAGACTCACACCAACCAGTTCTTCCGGGTCACATGAACACTCCTGACGTGTAACATCGTCTGGTGTTTTGTAAGGAGCCCGACACATGGGTTGGGAGTGGGATGGCATTCATGATCAAGGGCTGTCCTTGAGACAAAACAATGAAGTTGATCCTCCTTTGTCAGCACCCCTCGTCACCTTTCATCATCTTCCCATTCTTCACTCGTCCTTCTTGTTGTTTTGGTCTCACTGACAAGCTTTCTGTACTGTCGCTGGATCATCTGTAAAAAGGGGCGCTTATTCGAGCCCATAGTGGGCGCATCATGCTCGTGAAATTGCCTTGCGGGTTTACCTAAGCCCCTCTCTTGGAGACAACACCATCTGGCGCTTGGCACTCGATCGCATCGCGGTAACACGGGCTTACTTAAGCTACCGAAGCGTCCGCGTATTTACGGCATCGACAGGGGAGGGCCCGGTGGCCTGACACGGCAGCGTAGCAAGCCGCACATGGTTAAAGAGGTGATGACAGCATGGGCAAGCCCACAGAGCCCGCCGTAATTTACGCGAGCAAACCCGTGACGGGTAGGTACTCGAGGTAAGTCCGTCCGTGATGAAAAGAGTTTGAATTGCAGGCCCACGAAGAAGATCTGATCCAAGAGAGGCACCGCGTTTGACGTCTTGTTGACGATTCACTAGCCGGATACCGCGGCCGTGGATATGGACTATTTCCACGATGGTAGTCAGGCACAACTGACCAGGTCGAAAGGCCGAGGAGACAAGTGAACAGTTGTGGTTCGATCTGTGGCAAAAGCCGGGAGACGGTCGAAAGGCGAGAGGCCCGCGCCTTTTCACAAGCGAGATTGATAAAAGCGCATCATTCCTGGGCCTGGGAACCTGGCGCGGCGACGCCTGCGTAAGGATACCAACCTTAGTAGGTACCTCAAGTACGGATATTTGCAAGAGATCTACTGCTGCGTGCTCCGTAGAGGGAGAAAAAATTGCCCCGTTGTCGCCGCTAATCAGACTCAACTGGGTATCCGTACAGTCCACAGACCAAAGGTACCCAGATAAACTCCGTTTGTACCTACTATCAGGCGCATTGAAGCACCGCATGCACCGGGCGCGCAAGTCACTCCAGTCAGCGAATACTTGCAACATTTTGGGCGCATTGCGAACAAGGGCCAATGCTAGTCCAAGCTAGTGAAACCTCGAACCAACTCGCCACCAGTCTCCCGACATCCTCTCACTCACTACCAAACTACCTACTACGCATACTACTAATTACAGCTCGCCCTGCTGCTGCTGCTCCTCTGCTCCGTCTCAGCCCTGTGCTTCGCTCTCTGCTTTGACATCCTCCACCCTACCACCATCCACCCACCTACCTGGCACAGGCAACCCCCGAGGATTGGCATCTCATATATCCAACTTCCGTCCGCTCCTTACAAACCGCCTCACCCGCCACACGAACCCGTCACTCCCTACTTTCTCCTTTCAATCTGCGTTCCTCCGATTCTTCGCCTTGAGACGCACGCGAGCATACAATTCAATCCTTCTCTGACCGACGCAATCGCTAATCCCACCACATCCGAACCGACCGAGCAAACGAGAGAAACCGCCGAACCCGAAAACCCGCCATGGTAAACGAGACCATCCCACCCACGATGGCGGCAAACTTCACGTCGACCGTCGGCGACCTCCCGCCTCTGCCGGAATACACCCTCAAGCCCTATGCCGACCTCATTCCCGGCTTGCCCGACGTCTACCTGCGTATCTTCCTGCCCATCGTCGTCTACTGGATCCTTTCCCTCTTCTTCCACGTCATTGACGTCTACGATGTCTGGCCGCAGTACCGCCTGCACACCCCCGAAGAGATCACCAAGCGCAACCACGTTTCCCGCTACGAGGTCGCCCGCGACGTCCTCCTCCAGCAGCTCATCCAGGTCGGCATGTCCGTCTTCCTCGAGTACATTGACGAGGAGCAATTCACCGGCAAGGAGAACTATGACGTCGCCGTCTGGGCCACCCGCGTCCGCGTCGCCCAGCGCGCGCTGCCCACCATCCTCGGCCTGCTCGGCCTCAACGCCGCTTCCCTCGCAAAGAACATGTCCGCCACGCACCCCTTCATCGCCGGTGCGCTCGCCGGCGGTCACTACCCCTTCCTCACCACCGAGCTCGACGGATCGCACGCCGTTGTCCCCGTCTTCGCCGCCTGGGAACTACTCGTCGCAAAGGCAATCTACTGGCTCGTCATTCCTGGATTCCAGCTCTTCGCCGCCATCTCTATCCTGGACACATGGCAGTACTTCCTCCACCGTCTCATGCACGTAAACAAGTGGATGTACAGTGAGTTATGACCCAATTCCTCCCCCCGACCTCTCGGGACTCCGACTCGGCCGAATGGCCTCCGGGGTAGTTCGGCGCAAAAGTGGCAAACAGCTCAACTAACACAACAACCTCCTAGCGACATTCCACTCGAGACATCACCGTCTCTACGTCCCCTACGCCTACGGAGCCCTCTACAACCACCCGTTCGAGGGCTTCCTCCTCGACACCCTCGGCGCGGGCATCGGCTTCCTCCTCACCGGCATGAGCGCGAGGCAGGGACTGCTGTTCTTCTGCCTGTCCACCGTCAAGACCGTCGACGACCACTGCGGCTACGCGTTGCCCTGGGATCCCCTCCAGCACATCACGAGCAACAACGCCGCCTACCACGACATCCACCACCAGACGTGGGGCATCAAGACCAACTTCTCTCAGCCCTTCTTCATCTTCTGGGACCGCGCCCTCGACACGCGGTACAAGGGCGACAGGCAAAACCGGTTGCTGGCGTCAAAGGGCAAGGGAGCCGCGGTGGCGGCTAAGTCCGAATGAAAGGGTCCCTCGGCGATATGAAATCACAACAAAAACAAAACACATATAATACAACTTGCTCCTCTTTTTTTCCGATTCTGTAAAACAAAACCCAGACCTGCCCCGATACCACACAGCCACAAAAGAAAAAAGAAGAAAAAAGTCGAGACCGGTTTCTGGATTCGCACATACAATACTCGTGGGGAGGAAAAGCCCGGTTCTTTGCAAAGCAGTAACACAACAAACCACCACTTTATACACTTAACTACAATTAGGGAATGCATTGGGAATGAGGCGTTTTCTTTTCAAATCATGTCGAAACAATGGCACACGTTCGATTAAAGGGTTGAGGAGCAGGTCGTCTTTTTTCCCCCCCTGTTTCCTGTTTCAAGTATTGTGACCAACGAAGAGAAAGACTGGCCTGGGAATTTGTATTTTTTTTTTTTTGTTCTTCTCAGCTGTACACACACTCGCAAGCATGCGATGTTTACCGTTTACACCCCCTTTTTTTGTTATGGCTCTTGGGGCTTTCAAGGCTTGTGTCCGCCCACCGATATCCTTTGAGAACTGGGAGGGAAATTGTAAGGGCAACGAAGGATTGGAGGCGCTGGTGAGGGTGAGGGATGAGGGATGAGGGAAGTGGAGGGGGGAACAAAACACACAAAGATAACCCGGTTACAATTACATTGACTAATGGAAAGATTATAATAACTCCTTACACTCGTTCCCAGGGGGTTTTGGATCATGAGATTCCTGAGATCTTACATGCTTCCATCCCTGAAGCGTGTACCCAGCAAACCTTTTCAGTAGACGCAGTATATGTCTTGACAAGGTAAGATCTGCATACACCACATCTCAGTTGAATTGGCGTCCATATGTTGTCGTTCGGTCCCCAGAGAAGCAAAGGAATTCGCTACACGACGTTTCCTGGCGGTTCCATGTGACTTGCAAAGATACCCATTCTCCTGTCACGTATTTAATTATGCTTCATCTGCAAGCAACGGCACCGCTTCTATATTTATCGACGTGCGGCGCCTCAAACGTAGATGCAGATGGGACACAGGTACCTTGTGTATAGGCAGTCAGATGCAGGACGTTGGAACTATTTGATATTTCGTACATATTACATATAACCCGCAGGCAGCAGCAGCAGCATCAGCTTTGCAGCATGCAGTCACAGAATAGGGGCCATCGATGTGTTTGTAGTTCATCGGGGATGGAGAGACATGTAACTTCCGAACGAGGGGGGGTTCGGTTCTCGGTCGTCCGAACGCTTGGAGCATTATTTCTCTGACTGTCTGTCTTGAGGCCTGCTTACACTGCTTCCACTGTTTGCCTGTTTGCTTGTCTCTACTCCGGCTGCACTCGACGACCCCTGATTTGACCGGATCCGTATCTTCCTGAGTGAGCGTGCAAATCCACCCGCTTGATTGATGATTTATCCGTGGCACGAATACTCTCCACCAGTCCACCTCACGTATATTCCCACGGGGCTTCAAGCTACAATCCTTCATAGGCTCCAGAACTCTCCTGGGTTCTCCAAGGGAAGCAGCGCCTGTTGTAGACGACGGCCGAACGGGTATGATTGTGACTTTGACACCCCATCATTGGAGTGCCGAGATGGGCAGCCTTGAGTGGCGAGCGAGTTACCACAAGTGACGCCGCAGCGGGCAACTTCTGTTTTTTTTTCATACATTTTGGTTACTAGTAATTTCTGGTGACGGGGCGACGTAGCTTTTGGGATCCTTCACCTGAGGTTATGTACCTGTCTGTACTTACCCTACTCAAGTACTGCCTGGGCCTCGAGATTGAGGGAGGTCGTGGGTCCGCGCCGGCTTTCTTTTCCAACTTTTTTCTTCACATTTTTTAGAATGGACTGGTGTTCCTCTCTAATCATAATGTTTAGTGAATATTGCTCGAAATCATATGGCTCCTCGCCAAGTCGCAACTCGATATAGTCCTACGATCACGACGGCCAACTTTGTACCTTGCTTTATGTGAAGAATAGTCTCCCATCGCACCGCCCCGTCTGGAATAGGACCATCCGACAATCTGTTTCCTCCTGGTAACCTGGAAGGATCCTTCCCGCTCGTGCAATGGCATTCGGAAACAGAACAGAACAACTCACAAGAAACGGGATGCGCGCACATACACGCATGCGCACACGCGCGCGCACATTGAAACGGGCGGCGAACTGGAGACACCAGACCGTGCCACGAAACAAAGGCATGGGAGACACCCGGGAGACTATCTCTCCCTTTCACTCAACACTCGAACCCAGCGCGTGTTTGGAAGACAGGCCATTCTGTTTTTTTTTTTTTTTTTCGTCATGATCACAACGGCCTCCGTGCTTTCCCAGTGGAAAATCCCAAAGCACGACCAGTGGAGGGAGGCCTCATTGAGGCAGGTCGAGCCTGATTGTTTGATTGATTTGACACTTGACAAGCTCGGGGACGCGGAGTTCGAACGGGGTCAGGGCCTCGGGGAGTCGGCGCCGCAAGCTGATGGATATCGTGGGGAACAATGCTGATCTTTCGAGTCGGGTATACTCACACGTACCGCAATAGGCGGAATGGATATAGTTGTACTTGTTATTCGCTGCTTGCTTGAGGTAAGCAATTAGGAGATAACATCTGGCGTCTAGTATGACTGCAAATGGCTTCGTCCGGTACCACGCGATAGCAGGTCCACGGCTGCGAGGTAGTACACGTAACTGCGCTTCTTCGAGCCACAATTGGAAGTTCGAGTTGGAGCACTAAGGGTCGGAAAGTTTGAGTTAATTGCTACCCACTCCTGAAAACCAACGGCCACAGCATTGCTCCGGCGTTGCTTTTCTTGAGACATCCCACCGCAGTGTGGACACTCTCGTGATATTGAATGTCTTACAACACACTCGTTCAGGAGAACTAGGAGATTGGGTGTGAACAAGGGTTCATTCCACTCTGGCTTTGGGTTGGACCCTTAACGGCTGTTGGCTTCCCAGACGTTACCTCGAGGGAGGCACGACAGCCAATGAACTGTTCGGCACCCGACGGCCCCCGGAGTTCTTAGTTTTCGACTGCGACGCTGTGCCTCAGCCAGAGCCTATGTGGCAAGCTTCAATCTTCAGACATGACAGTTCGTTTGAGTCGGGGAGAAGCTTAGACAACCAGCGGGTGATGGGTCTGGAGAAGTCGAAATGCAGTACAGACGAACTGAGGGCGGCGACAAACATGTTTCCTGTGACGTGGATAGAATGGATCCGAGTCGTGAAAAAAAATACTAAAGCACCAGGCTGTGGCCGCGCGCACAGTCGGCTTCTACCGCTTTGTTTGAGAATTGCAAAACAAAGGTAGTTGTCGAGTCAAGTTGAGACGAGTATGGAGTCGGCCGTAACCGTTAAGCTAGGACCATTGAAACCTTGCAGACCTTGCAGGGCGCGGAACCGAGGGGAGGATGCAGTCTGCCGGCCGAGTCTGCTATTCCCTAACACCGATTACGAAGTCGTCGCCCAGTTCGAGATTAGAGTTATTGGGCAACCACAACTGTTTGAGGCATCGCCGATTCTGCACGAGACAAGTCGGCGGCGGTCTGGGAGTCGCTCATCACGAGGTCTCGACTCGGCGTCCCGTCGCATGAAGAAAGCATACGAGCGTAAATCGTGGTGGGCAGCCATGCCCAAGCCTTTGACGCCAGCTCGAAAATATCGAGATTGCAAAGAGTACGACTCCAAGACGCAAGCAGGTAGGATTGTGCGGCACCGCGGGCATCCGGGACGTGAGATTTAGGTAGCCAAGTCATTCCGATCCATCTTGAAAGAGCTGCTGCCCGCCCTGTGTGATGCAACCATTGCATTTGCTGCTGTCCTCTAGCCAACGGCTAGATGGTGCGCCATTCGTGTATGACCAAAGTCTCCCGTTCCACCGGTACCAGAGGCGACGCTAGATCTGTAGCTGGAGGCATCTAACGCACAGCTAGGTATGCAATGTCAACGCTGTGGAGAGACGAGGAAGCGTTTGCCATTGCAGTTCTGCTACCGGCCGCGAGAAATAGCTGCACAACACCACAAAGGAATTAATGCAGGGTTTCTGCATCTAGTTCCTCGCGCTAGTGCCCTTCGGTGGCTGCAGCTACCACCCCCACAGCGGAGACATACCGCTTTCAATGGCTTGAACGCCTGTCACGATCCAGTCTGTAGTATCGTTGGTGATGGTGGAGTGGATGGTAATGTTCCGTCGACGGACTCCAGTTCGGCGCAGGTCCGATCTGGATTGGCGGGTTCCCGATTCATCTCGATGGTCGAGAAGCGATAGCCATGGCCGTTGACCTAGCTTGGGTGAATTCAGCTGCGACGGAAGCGACTAGGGCCGGGAACGCCAACAAGCTATTGGCACCAAGCCGCAGGATGCTATCTATTAGCCGGTCATCTGTGAGAGAGTGAGACATTGGCGGTCAAAGGCAGCTGGACTCGGATGGAAATGGCGATTGCAACGGAACCAGTCGGCCGTGATTTGCATATCTCGACGGACGGCCATCGAGGTATGACGCCGAATGGGACCCTGCATCGGGGCAACGGACAATGCGGTTGTCCTGGGTTGCTGCGTTGCTGCGTGTCCGGGTCGAGGTGGTATTTGGCCCTTGGGGATCATGTCTAGACTGTTGTCAACTTGGATCAAATCAGTAACACTGGTTAGCTGGGCGCTGCCACGTCGGCGATACCACAAGGGGAACGGCCTGACGATGAGGCCTGGGCTACGATTGAATGACAGGCACGTCATTGGGGAGAGTCGTGGTCGGTGGCATCATGTGAGGCTTGCTTTTCATGCTGAAATGCAGCACGGATGTCGCGGAGATTCCACGACGGCGTGCTGTTGTGTTTGTAGTGTATCGTGTGGTGTGCTGTGGAGCACTGAAGTGAGGTCACTGGTGAAATTGGCAGTGTAGGAGTCGGGTGGGCTTCGTCCAATGTCGTCGAGAGGTACATCTGGGGTCGGGAAGCATTGGTAATGAAACCAGGTATTGGCTGGGGTACCTTGGACGATACACCGCACATGCGGATACGGCCAACTTGATCGATCGAGGTGTACCGCCTGCGTGCCGTGCCTGCTGACGAATGTGCAGTGTTTGATCGCCCGCGGCGCTTCTCCCAGCATCATATTGGATGTCTGATCTGTGCTTTTCAGTACGGAGTATAGCATATACATAGCAAGTCGGATAACGGCAGGTTGTGACGGGCGACCAACAGGGAGGGCGCGGTCTTGGAGTCTTGGGCGTAAGGTAGAGAGAGGCCGACGGAGGTCGGCGTGGGGCTTCCTCGCCGTCCACGGTACCGGGAGACCGAGACTGATTGGCTCCGGGGCTGACACGGTTCACCCGCTGAGCGTTGTCGTGGAAGGAGAGGAGTGGGTGGTGAGTGGTGACTGCCCAGTATGACGAGTGGTGTGCTCGGGGAATAGGCACGGGGGATTTGGAAGGAAGGAATACACGAAACACAAACCCAAACTGGCATCATCATCGTCGTGCTGTACCTGCCTTCTTCCACGTACCTAGAGTACGGCAGAGGCAGAAGGAAGGCATGCCTGCCACCACACCTACCTACTTGTTGTACGTGCTTACTGCCCAAGGTAGGTAGGTAGGCTTTTCAGGATGACTGATGCTCCGCGATAGTTGTTTCTCAAAGGGGAAGACGAATGCGCCGAACGAGACAGGAACGGATGACACTGCTCTTTCCGTTTGCCCGTCTGCTTCTCACGGTTGACATTTTGAGGCAAGAAAGGCGCACGCAAGGTGCTTCGCTCTGACGGTTTCCAGGCTGCATCCTGCAGGTACAGAACGGTGCCTGTCACAACGCACAAGCACATGCACAAATTATTGACTATCCAGGTACTGCGTGTAAGGTACACAGAGCTCTCTTCTCTGACCTTTGGTTGCCGTCAGCCGTCTCAAATGCAAATGGCTTGGCCATCTTTCGGCCGCCTCGAGTCTCGAGTCTCGACTTCACCTTGCCCTGTCACTTTGCGCCGCAAATAGAGAGAGATACAAAGATGCCCAAACCAACACTTGGCTACCGGTACGCCACGAACCAACAGCCAACCGCCGTCTTTTTCTGCTTGCGGTCCTGAGACGGTCCCAACGTCACCTTGATCAAATCGACCTTCAGGGCGGGCTCCAGTCGAAAAGTCACCTTCAAGGTTGTTTCCTCGCAGCTTTCTAGCCAATCCCCACTGCACGGTACCTTACAATAACGGACCTTAATTAAAGCACATCGTCCAATAGATCCTCCCGCACGGCAACATCCCCCTGCCCCTGCACCCGGCACTCAACCTCGAACAAGGAGTCAAGCTCAACCCACATGGCCCGTCGAGCCTTTGCTAGCCCTGGCCATAGTAGCCCGCTGCATGAACTGCTACGCAGTACTCCGTCCGGACACTCGCCTTTGCTCTCCAGGCCTCGGGCTTCAGCAGCCTCTGCCACACTACCGACTGCGTCAGGAAAGGCCCGTCTGCTTTTCCGTACAAAGTTGGAACGCCACGATTCTCCTGCCTACGTCGCCCAACGCCGCTGTCGCCGCCTCATCTCTTCCCAATCTGGTCCAACTACCTTCACCATTGACGCCTCCTCCGACTGGGGCCTCGCGCGGGTCCTACGGAATTACCAGAGGTAGAAGGGGGCTTGCGGGCGCTCAAAGCGTCGCCAGATCGAGTACAAGGACCATTCGGTAATCCACAAGAGCCCACCACGCCTCTCCTTCAGCTCTTGTCTTTCGCTAGTGCCCGTCGAGGGCCCCTTCAAATAGACTGGGAGACCCTGGCTTGGCTCTCGCTCTTCCACTGGTCAGACCGGCCTGCTGAGCATCTCTGCTACCACCGTCTAATTATTCTCTCACCCACGCTACTGCTTCAGCTTACAAGATCCTGGGTCCAACTCCGTCCAAGGCTCGCGAGACGTGCCCCGTTTCCGTCCGAGGTTCATATTTATTACAGAGCGACCTCGAAAGAAACTTCCTCGACAACTATCCCGTACCTGTCCATACACCGTACACCGTACACCGTACTCCGTCATCCTCCCACAAACCGGTCCGCCAAAGGCTCCAAACCCAACCACCAGTCCACCACCAACCTACTCGAGACGGGGTACCTGGCGACCATCTCAACCTCTAACACCCCATCTGGACATTTACAATTCCTCCGTTACCTCGCCTGTTTCCAAACCTAGAAACCGTACCTGCTTTGCCGTCTTTGCTCTGCATGTCCAGGGCCCGCCCGCTTGTTTCTCTAAGCGCTCGCCAGTCAGCGATCGACTTCGCCCTTCCAGATCACCAACACGGCGCTTCCACGCACATCCGGTCCCCTCCATTGGCCGCCCACCCTGTCCCTCAATTTCAAATCTGCCTCGCCTGTCCTCAACCTGGTGCTGCTCTGCGTCTATCCAGACAGAATGGGACTGCTCCTGGCGTTTCATTGATATCGAATTAGACTGTGGTATCCCAACCAACGCCGGCCAAGTCGACTTACACCACGCCGGCCGGGCCAACGTGCAGATCCAAGCCTCCCTCCCCAGCTTTACCCGTACCAACAGACGCGGCGCAGCGGGACAAACATTCCATTAATTGAGACTTACACCCCGCGACCCTATTTGATTCGGGCTTCCGCCTTTTTTCTAGCTTCCCATCATGGACCCTACAACGACGCTCTTTACGTTCATGCTGTGAGTCGCTTTTATTTAATTCTTTGCAATCTCGCTTTCGTTTTCTTCTCCCGTCCGCTGGTCGAAACTTTGGCGTCGCTTTCGCTCCAAAATCCAACAAGATCGATCGCCCTCTCGTTCGAACTCGCATAATTGTATGTCTGGCCAATAGCCTCGATCCCCTCGTCCCATCACGCATCATACATGACTCCTGCACAAATCCCAGTACGGCCGAATGAAGCACAAGGTCTGCGAAAGTTCGCTGCCTCTCCTCATTGAGCATTCACACACATCTCTTCGGTTTCCCCAAAGGGTCGGGGAAAGCAGTCGGGGACCGGCGCCGAAGGTTGTTTGCTTCTGCTTAACCATCTGCTTGGGCTCATGTTTCGAACATTGTCGGATGGAAAGTTTATATCGGGTTATGCTATGCCCTACCTCCCCGGCCCTGGCCTGCGCCCGTTCCTCCCCTCACACCTTCTCACCTGCCATTACCAGCTTCTCAGCGGCAACCTTCCGAGAACTCCGTCAAACACCTTGCAAAGCCAAAAAAAAATCGTCGCCGATAGTGATCGGCACCTCGTCCGCTCCTGGGTGGGGGACAGGGGACCAGGTCTGATGCTCGGCGCAAGCCCAGTGGCTGGTGTCTTGGCTTTCGCATCATGCTTCATACCCTCTCACTTGCTCTTGATATATAGTACCAGAAGCAGCCCCTCTACTTCCCTTTGCTGACCACCACGACTATGTAGTCAGACTCATCCGACTGTAAGATCAGTACACTTGGTCGGCTCCTGGGATAACTTCACCAAACCATACACCATGGAACGAGATATTCGACGAGATCGCGGCCAATGGCGCGGATGCCACACTTTCAAGGACATTGTTCTGGACGACGACTTGGGTGCGAGGGATACCAAGCGCAACGGCGGCCTGAAGATGGGAAACACTTACTACTACTATGTAGGTTATCTGGCGAGGCTAGGTTGATCCGGGGCACTAACACGTCTTAGTACGAGATTGATGGAACGCAAGAGTCGCACAACCCGGCACTGCCTAGCACCACCAACTGCCCTTATCTTCCTGGACAGACTGTCAACACTCTGGATGTCCCTTACGAAGTGGCCGAGAGGAAGAGGAGCGCATCCTTGGGCTCACTCCGTCCTGGTGAACAGAAGACCATGAACCCTGAAGACAAGTTCATTACGCCGAGGCCGCCACCACCAGTGCCGGGCGGTCAAATCAGAAGACTGGGCTCAGCACCGGCTGCACAACCTGGTCGATCCATTTCCCGTGCCGGCTCTACCTCCCCGCCGCCGTCTTGGCGTCGCATGTTCAACAGGAAGCCGTCCACCAGCCGGCTTGCTGAGCGCGGCCGCCAACCCGATGACGAGGACCGCCCTCTTTCACCGTATTCTGGATCTTCTTCGGATGACAACAGAAGCGGTTCATCTGAGGGAAGCCGAACTCGCGATCTTTCCCCAGAGTCCCTGAGACGGTTTCTCTCCGATGAGAACCCCTTCTCCAGCGCTTCCTCTAGCGCATACGGGCGTCCGCCTGTCGTTATCCCCGACGACATTGCCGAGGAGGGAGACGATGATGAGAACTTTGCCAACTCGGCCTACGAGGTCAACCCCTACACGACTAGCCTGTCACCACCGCCTTTCAAACGCTCGCACTCCGACAGCACCTTGCCGGTAGTGCACGCCCCGCGAGTTCTCACACGCGAGAAGAAGTACTCGCCTCTCCCTCCTCTTCCCGTCAACAAGACGCTGAGAGACCTGGCGACGGCACCATCCGCCTCGCGCTTCTCCTTTTCGTCTGACTCCAGCGTCGCCTCCTCAATTGGCCCCATCTCTCCCGATGATGATACACCATCCTTTTATGACTCTACCGAAGAGGATCGCTACTCCAACGAGAGCGACGCCAACTTTGTTCAGCCCTTGTCTCTTCCGAGCACCAGGAAGCCGTCTCTGGAGCAGAACTACAGTTTGCCCCGGGCTCCCGGCATCAAGGCTCACCCTGGTGTTCACACCATGGTTGCGGCCCCTGCTGATAACGGCCTTGACGACTTGGTCAATGAGATGGGCTGGATGGTTGATGTCATCCGCGGCAAGGGCATCTAAACAGAAATTTACTACGCAGGTCACATTACACGGTGACTCTGCACTACCGTCGTATATATCGATGGCTAAGCACACAACCAAAGCCACCTAGACGGATTACATATCAGGTTATACAAAAAGGCGGCATCGTACCAGCCTTCCCCATCGGGGCACAGGGCTGGCTAGCTCTTATTCACAAAAAGGAATCGGATTTTGGACGGAGTACTGGACGAGATATACCCTTTCCTTCCTCTTCTACAGCTACTGCCACTCGTGGCTTTCATGCCAACGGCGCTTTATGGAGTGGACATTTTGAGGAATTCTGGGGGCAATGGAATGGACATCACACAAAGGAAAAGATAAGGGGAACGGGAAACGGCGCAAATGTGGTACACATTACCAAGGTGTTTGGAGTATCTGGGTCGGATTTGTCGTGGCTGCATTGAGCAAGCTTCATTGACGGGAAACGGTTACTCATTGCAAACTAGCGTTGCCAGTTTAGGAGGAACGAAGAGATCGTGATAGATGGACTTGAATGAAACATCTGCAATGACTCAAGAAGCTTGAAACTGCCTCCTCCCCCGTATGCCAAGTGACGGAAGCCGTTTGTCAGTTCCCAACATCCCGGGTTACCGCCGGCTGTTAAATTGCAGCATGGGTCACTGACTGTTTTAGCCTCCCTCGAAAAGTAAGCAACCTTGGCTCTTTTCGAGGCTCTGGCTCAATAAGCTTCTTTTTTGCTGCTTGCGTGCCTTACGAAGACCATCTGTGCACTCACGGTTGCGGTTTCATAGGGTTCGGAGTGGAGGACGTTGGAAGCTGCTGTGAGGCTCGGCCGAGGCCTCGTACGAGCTGGATGGGGCGTCGTGGCGATTGGTCGAGACGTGACTGTATGTGTGTGTGTGCGTGTGTGTGCGTGTGTGTGCCTGGATATGTATGTGTGTGGGTGGTCGAAGGTTGTTGTGTCGGCAAGCTTGAGAGTTGAGCAAGAGTAAGCGATGCTTAGCATGAGCAGTTAAGCCAGCGGGAGAAACTCCTAGTTCCTAATAAGAGCCATCCAGAAGGGGAAATGTGCTCATCAAACCATCAGAGAAGCTTAGCCATGCAGGTCATTTTGTTTTTTGGACCCCTCTTGGGATAAAGTACGGTGTGGGAGGGGAGAGGATGACGACGATGTGTAGGTGTAGTTGGTTGGACCAGATTCCCGACGGGCGTTTCCCCCCTTTTCCCCTCCTTTCTCTTCGAGACCTACATTATTTTCATTGCTGTTCACGATGTTCACTTTGGGGAAGCAGCCGTAACTTGGGGCTTGAGGTCAAGAAGCCTTCTGTATGGCTTTTACTGGCCAGTTGAAAGTTGTGAGATGGTGTTGGTGGTTGATATTTCATTATCGATTGGATCTCACGTTTTCAATCATCAATCTTGGTTTGGAGTTCTTCATGTCTCTCGTTTTCGTCTTGGGTACTTTTTGACTATGACATGTATTCATTCGTGTCCGGCGAGCGTCATCGTGGTCCATCGTCATGGCCGTGGTCCGTCTTCCAAAGGCGGTGTGATCATCACCACGCCCTGCTTGCCGTGATTTCCCCGATGACGTTGGGGGAGAATGACGACACATACTCAGATACGATGGTCCGTCCCCTCTGGTGTGTCTCTTCACAATGGTGTTTTAACACATGTGTATCCAGGGGGACTCACTCCTCGGAGAGAGAGTATGTGAGAAGGGGGTCCGGAGATGGAGGAAGAAGCGGTTGAATTACGATCCTGTTCAACTTACGAGACCCCTCAAATGGATTCTCTCTGAGGAAGCGTATCTCTCATTACACCCGCGAATTCTTCGCCAAGTGATGTCAACGTCGGAACAGAACAAGAGAGTTGAGACGGGAGATTGGGGGAGATGCGAGTATTTCAGCGAGGTATAGTGTGGGTGTTGCTATATTTGCGATCACCGTCCTCGTCCAGCCTAGGAAGCATCCGGGTATGGCTCCCACGCCAGCCAGGCACCTATCCAGGCACCAGGAACTGGGTAATCAAGGTTCTTTATGGTGGATGGAAGGGTTGTATGGCCTGGTTGCTTATTCTTCATGCCCAATCGGCAACCTGTGGGATTGTGTAAGAAAGTGAGGGTGGGAGGGAAAAGGCTCAGACGAGGGGAGGGAGAGCGGAGGGTCTTACTGAGACCGCAACACTATGAATATGGGACGACGATGTATTAGTGAGCGTAAAAGTTGATGGGGTGTGTACACGTACGTACGACCAAAAGAATTATAGAGGGGGGAGGGAGAGAGAGGTACGTAAGGCCAGGTACGACTACGAGGAGCGAATGAAAGCTTCGGATGGTTGGGAGGGAGAGACGGGAATCCGATATCGAACCCGAAAGCTTGGGATGGTTGGTTGTGTACGTGGTGGTGTGTTATGGTATGGTATGGTATGGCAGGCTTATCCAACGTGAAGGTGAAGGGTCGAATGGTCAGGGGAAGAAGGGTGAAGTATGCTTTGGTGAGGCTCAACGTCGGATTTGCGGCTCCGTGTCAACAGCCTTACTTCCTGCAATGCTACTACTACTTCTTTGCTCGCGTATACGGATGTACGAGTGTGTCTGCGTGTGGGAGCTACGAAGATGGATTGTATGAGATGGCGTGGTGTACAGAATGCAACCACGTAACCCCATCCCCTCCATCCACCTATATCTAACGCATCGTTAATAGTGTTTTCGATCAAAGATTGAATTCCGAGTCTTACCGTGTCCAACGGCGTTACATTCCCTCTAGCCTCCACCTTAATTCCCCTTCTACTTCGTCTCTACCCTGGACCTGACATCTTCCTCCTGACCATGCGTTCCTCCATGTCCGCATCCATCACGACTCATGCCCGGAACGAGAAAGTCGAGGCTTCACCTCACATTAAGCTTTTCTTCGCTCACCCAATGTAGCACCCGCCCTATGGGCCGTGGGTTATAAGTGGTCTGTCTACAGTCGTACGTAAACCTGCCCTGGTCTGATCACAAAAAAAAGAAAAAAAGCCATCCAAACATTCTTCGGCGCGCGCGCGCGCGAGAGAGAGAAAGAGATCTGGTACGAGAAAAAAGTCAACCACTACACCCCCAACGTCCAAACAAATTCTTAAATAACGTTTTTCATGCCCTCCAGCCCAACCGTACCACCTAACCACCGTACCACCCTAGCCAGCCATGCCGGACTCCAGCAACCCAGTCTGCTTTCGGTCTGCCATCCCCCCTTTCGTGTGCTTCACCATCCAGCTTCCAAGGACCCCTTGATACCGTTGAATTGTGTCATTACGTACGAGATGGGAGAAGAGAGTCCCAGAAAGAGACTTTTGACGATACGGAGGGGAAGAAAGGGGGGTTGCGTGTGTCTCGTCGGTCTTTCGTCTCCCGGCCGAGAAGACTCACCCGGAGTGCTGTGGAGTTCCGGAATTCTATTTTGCAGGACAACTCACGAGATACTGAATTGGAACCTTTATCCTGATGTAGTCATCACATGCCTCATTGGTAGTACTCATGAACAATACCATATTGTGATGACCAGTGATACAAAGGAAACGAACACACAGGAGGACAGAGTGAAGCATTGTTCAATTTTCTCAGCACTTCCGAGAACGTCAAGACATCCTTTTCCCCCTATCCACGAGGAAAACCTGCCCTACGGGTATTATCACAATAGAAATACAGTATTCCCGTCCGATCCCACACCAAAAAGGCCATATGTAACGCCGTACCCAATACGGCAAACGGCCTGATAAACGCCCGAGAACATTGGGGACCTCGAAAGTCGAGCCCTGGCCCCATGTTTTGACTTTCCTCCTACCCTCCCTCTGAACTCCCCGTGTGTAGGTATGTGTGTATATTGGTGTGTGCCTTGTTTCGGCCCACTCTCTCCGATCTGATCGGTCGGAGCCTATATTTGTTCAGGGCGCAAGGGCAAACCGTCCGATGACAATCCTCAAACAGCCGTGACTTTTTCGTTCCCGTTAACGTTTTTTCTCTTCTGCTCAACTACTCAGGCGGGCCTCCCATAGAGTTTGTCCTTACTCAGACAACGGTCGCAACCGAAGCGGCAGCGGGTTGTGGGGCAGACTCGGCGACGGCCAAGTTCGCTTCCTTGTCCTGGGTGGGTTGAACTTGGCCTGGTGGTGGTGGTGGTGGTGGTTGCGGCGCTTGCGGCTGGGCTGGCGGCGGCGGCGGCTGCTGGGTCTGCGGCTGCGCCTGTGTCTGCCCCGCTGACGGTAACGGTGAGGGCACCGTTGCGGCATCCGTCTTGGTTGTCGGCTGATCCACCACTCCCTCCTGAGCAGGCAGTGTCGTCTTGGCATCATTGGGTTCCTGCTTCTCGGTGCCTTCCCCGACGGCGCCGTTGCCTTTCTCTGCCTCTGTCTCTGGAACCTTGGCCTCCTCCTTTTCCACCTCCTTCTTCTTCGGTTGTCTTGGCGGACCTCCCTTGAGGAACCGCTCCGGCACCCCACGAGCGGCATATGTGCAGCTGCCGACCCATGCGCCGAGCAGGCTGCTCCACTTGTACTCGCCGCGGCGGAGTCGTTGAATTTCGCGGTACGCGTAGGCGTTGAAATAAGGTAAGCCCGTCTCAGGGTCGCGGTAGCGAGCGGGGTGGGCGGTAATGACACATACTGGCCGGGGCGCTGGCTTCGCAAGGCGGTCCATCCGCCGTCCAAAGAGAATCTGGGTCTGAACTGTCTTGTCTCGCACACGCTCTTCGTCAAAGTTGCGAAGAATAAAGGCGTTGCGAGCAACCTCGCTCGGAGGAGGCTCCTCAGCCGCCGGTGCTTCTGCCGGCGCAGGCACAGTCGCAGTCGCAGGCGGTGCGGGAGGAGAGAGACCGGCCGCCGGTTGTGATGGTGGCTTCGGCGGAGCGACTGGTTGTGACGGCTGGAGTGGTGCTAGTGAAGGTGGCGGCGGGGGCGGCCTTGCTGATGGTGGAGGGGGAGGAGCCGGCATGGATAGAGGAGACTTGTGCTGGCATGCATTCGGAGGTGCCAGAACGTTGGACTTTGGCTGCGTCGTGTGTTGAGCGAGGTGGATGCCACCCAAGGGAGGGGCAAGAACAGGCGGCGCGAGCACTGGAGCTGCCAATACCGATGTCTTTGGAGGTGGCGGAATAGGGGGAGGAGCCATGGACATGGAGCCAAAGGTCGGCGGTGGTGGTATTGATGGTGGTGCCATGATCCTGGATTTGTCTTCAGGCTTGGGCATGGCGAGTGACGACGATGGCGGTGGAGGAATGGGCGGGGGAGCCATCACACGGGGGCGCTCTTCCGTCTTCACTATCGGTGTAGGGTCTGTTGTGACGGGCGGAACGGGTAACGATGGCGACGGTGCCTTTGAAGCATCGTTCTGCTGAGGCTGGTCGACATCCATTGACGTCGGGGGAGCTGTCGGAGCGTCAGGCTTTGCGTTCGACTGTGCCTCTGCTGTCGTCTCTGTCGTCGGTGCAGGCAGCGTCGGGTCAGAAGCATTCGACGCTGAGCCCTCTTCCTTGGCATCTTTCTGGTCCTTCTCCTTACCCTTCGTCTTGTCCACCTTTTCCTTCTTCTCCCTCTTCTTCCGGACAGGCTTCTCCTCCTCGGCGACCCTGCCAACGTGCTTCAGATGATGCTCCCACTCACCAATGCCGCTCCAGTACGTCACCACAGGGCCCTTGAGTGTTCGGTTGTTGAGTGCGGCGAGCTTCGCAAGCCGCTCCTCTTCTCGCGCTTTTTCGGCCACCTCCCATCTGTTCAACGACTTTGCGTTGCGCTTCTCCACGAGGGCCGCCTCAGCCAACCGTTCTGCCTGCGTCATGGGCGGTTTCTTGGATGCCTCGAGCTTCTTTGCCTTCTTTTCCATAATGGCCACCTGTTTCAACCGCTTCGCCTCGCGCTCCTTCATCTGTTGGTGCAGCTGCTCCTTGCTGAGCATCGTCGTCTGGCGGAGCGAGGCGCGGATGGGCATGTCAGCCGCAGAGGGCAGCCAGCTCGTCCGTTCCGACTTCTTTTTCGGTCGCGGCGCGGGTGCGACCGTCTGTTCGATGCGGACCTTTTTTCTGAACTTGGCCGGGATAGCTTCCTGGGCCTTGCGTTTCCGCGACGCTAGCTTCTTCTCCCTGGCCTGCTTCTCGAGCTCCTTTTCGCCCTCGAGGTCGTCTCCCTGCTGCTGGTCGTCCTCGTCGTCGGACGACGAGTCCATCTGCACGTCGGAACCGGCATCGTCGACATCGCTGAAGCCTTCGTCGTTGTCGTCTTCGGCGAAGAGCAGTTCGAGGTCCGAATCGGGTTCTTCGTTGGCGAGCATCGACTTCATGCGATTACCGGCGGTAGACCGCTTTTCTCGACCGGTCGCCAGCCATTCTACTGTGGTCGGAGTGGCGACTGTTGGGGTATCGTTTTCGCTGTCGCTGCCGCTCGAGTCCGAAGACTCATCGCGCGATGAAGGTTTGGTATCGTTTGTCGTCGTAGCCATCGCGTCGGTCGAATTGAAAGGTATGGATTTGGGCCTTTAGCCCATCTCTGCCGCGCCGTGAGAGGTGCGGCGTGTGAAGCCGGCGGCCTGTTCGAGTGAAATGGTTGCGTGGATAGAATTTTGACGTTGAGGGTGGTACAATCGTGTCTGCGTGAGACGCGTCCAAAAGGGTAAAAAAAAATTGTAGATGTAGCGGCCGTCGCGGCACTTGTGACGTCTAACAATTCGACTTCCTTAGAACCACCTCCCGGCAAGGTACCAATTACCAGCGAATCGGGAGTTAGCGGGCAGCGGGCAGCGACCAACGGCCCCAAGTCCCTCAGTGGGGCTTAGGGGGCGTTACCTCCGTGCGCCGTCGCCCGATTTCTTGAGGCAACCGGCCACGGCTGCCTACCTAGTTAAGGTAAACTGGCCAACACAATACATGTCGGCTTACAATCGCAGATGAGACCCTGACATGATGTTCTATATTTCAAGCTTGTTTGCATAGTTTCCTACGACTTGTAATTGCTAATCTGTGGCTGGCATTGCCGGCTCCTATGTGTACTCCATTCCGATGACCAAACGCCGCCTGTTAATTCATGTAATGCTCCCGCATCCCTTTCAACCCAAAAGTACAGGTAAACCTAGACCTATGCAAATCACATTTCCTCGCTCCAGCTCTCACCCGCCTGGGTCCATTCTTTACACCATCCGAACCAGTACCTCTTATTGCAGCGAGGATCTGAAGGGGGTGCTTTGGTGGGCGCTGATGTCGGGGTGGCCGTGGGCGCGGCAGTGATGGTGTGAAACGGGGTTGCGCCGGGGAGCAAAGTCGCGCTCGTGGTCGACGTAGTCTTATCCTTGCAGCCAAACCATCCAGGTGTCTTGCAAGTAGTCGTCGTTGTTGTGGTCGTAGTTGAAGATGAAGTGGTCGTGGTCGTAGTCGTCTCGTCCTTACATCCGAACCAGCCAGGGGTCTTACAAGTGGACGTGGTCGACGTGGAAGTAGTAGTGGTAACCGGCGTCGTCGTCGTCTCATCCAAGCAACCCCACCAGCCCGGCGTCTGGCAGGTGGCCGTCCGAGTACGCGTCTTCGATGTTGTTGAGGACTTGGACGTCGTGGTCGATTCGGTCCCGTTGCTCTCATACATCTTCCAGTTGGCGCAGTCGCGACATTCGGGTGTAGCCTTGCACTCTGGAACCGTGTCATACTTCATGATGACATCGTGGATCACAGATCGGATCTTGTGGGTTCCAATGCCGACTCTCCAACCCTTGTCGGCCACAACGTCGTAAACACACTCAAGCCCTGAATGACAAGCCGATTCCATGGCATATCCAGCAAAGGAGCACGTCGCTGTAGCGCCATTACAGGTGCCAATGTAGATGGGGTCTGCCGTGTGGCCGAAGTGGAAGGCGCCTGTATCTGTGCGAGCCTGGTGAAGCATTTGATCGTATCCTGGAGGAACGGGCAGTCCCAGCCTGCTAGCAGCAAGCGCCTCTGGCACGGCCTCAAAAGTCACGACGGGAATACCGTAGGTCAGGCCCAGGAGGGAGCTGACTGCGCCCCCGAGAGAATGGCCCGACAGCCAGATGTTGGAGTCGGGGAACAGCTCGGTAACGTTCGAGTACAATTCCTTGGCCGCCGTGTAGTATCGGTGCTCGTCTTTGAGCGCTTGAACAACGCAGGTGTTGTTGCATGAGTAGGTGGATGTGGCGCAGTCGCACACTTGATGCCAGGTCCACTGCCCCTGCTGAGCACAACAGCAGCTGAAGAAGAGGTTGTCGTTGACCTTGTCGTTGGTGGTGGTTCCCTCTCCGTCAAAGATGGCCGTAGAGGTTCCCTTAAGGCCAATAACGATAGTCGAGTTCGTCTCGTCCGCCCAGATGTGCCCCCGGAGTCCGTCGCCCTCCCATCCGAAATCAGCGCTCCTGTTGTAGCCGCTGCCGACCTCTTCCCAGTCCGCCTTGCCCTCCTCTTCAATGTATGCATTTGCAGCCATGATGGCAAGGCTGATGACCGTGGCCTTGTCCGTGACGTTGGGTCCGGGGACCTCGTCGGTAGTCCAGTCGGATGGCGACATAATGTTGACATAGCCGCGCTGACGAGCTTCGGTGACCATGGGATCAACGACAGACGGCCGACGATCAACCATGCGCTCAATCTTGAGAGGCGTGCTCTGGGCCTTGAGAGGCATCACCCTTTCCCTCTTGTATCCGTCCTCCTCCGCCAGCCAGACCTGGTTATCGGCGCCGTCGGAGTGGCGGACATCCTTGCGTCGGTGCAGCTGAGGATGCCGATATGTTCCATGGTGGAAAATGTGTCGTAATGTAAATATGTGTTCGCCCGTGTTGGGTTGTGCGGTGCTAGGTGGAAGCAAAGGTCCTGGTTGAAGGACGGCCTCGTCGTTGTTTGGCACTTCCCCAACGGAAGCTAGAGTCGGTGATACCGCGAGGAACGATAAGAGCAGCTGTGCCGTAACCCTGCCAGCAGAGCTACACTGGCCCCCTCGCCCTAATTTGAGTCTCATGGCTGTCTCAAGACACAAGAAAAAGAAGTCGCATCCAGGAATAACAGTTGACGAAGAGTAGGGAGCGAAAGTATCGAGAGGTTGGGTCTCGCGGAAGGCGACGCGTGGAGGTAGTTGAGTACAGGAGAATCAATGATGCCGACGTTGAGAGATGCGCAGACAACGTGCCCCAAGTTATGACAGCATCAGGTGGACGACGCTGGCGCTGTTTACGTTGCCTCCGACTCGCGGAGGGTGCACAGATCAGGCCCGATAACCCACTTCCTGCGCCAAAAGGTCTCCGCCTCCGGATCTGCGTTAAGACTTTGTGCTGGCAGGACTGCAACCAGCTTAACAGCTACTCCTGGCGGGTACCCATAGTCTCATGTCTCCCGATAAGGCGCAACCAGGGATACCCGCACCAGCATGTGACCAATGTCCCCTCAGATAGCGCGCATGCCTTCTGTATCCGAAGCTGCCTGGTGCCTGGCATCCACCGTTCCACGCCACTTTGGGGGACCATCGAGGGGCATCTTCAGCGGACCTTCGGCTACTCAACGATCCCGTCGCAACCCGCCCGGGTTGCTGCCATGGATAACACTCCCAACATTGATGACATTCCGAGGCACCATTTATGCATCGGAATAAGGTACGTTGTGCAACGTACCAGAATGGGCCCATCACTGATTGGAAGCCAGGAATCAAGACCAAGCCCCAAGGTACAGTACCTACCTAGCTACATTAAGGTAGTTAGGTACAGTTGCTATGAGGCCCTGAGGCTAAGACATCCGCTGTCAGTCCTCCTCGTGCCCCCCAGCACATGCATGCACTGAAGGTCGGATCCGTCTGCAGATGACACCTGTGGGCTTCCAATAAAACTTGAGCGGGGGCATGGCGGGAGCTACCTTGTCAACCTGTCTTCCTTACCGACCATAGCTGGCATGCTCGGTTGGTTACCTGCGTTACCTTCCTTTCACGGGAACGGCCTATTCTCAAGCTGCTCAAAGACCAACAATCCTCAAAACCTCATTGCTCTCACCCCGTCCTCGCCCTCTTCCTTTGCTTTGCGCTGGCACAAGGCACCCCGTGCACCCCATCGACGGCACTGACATCATTTTGTTAGAGATGCGAATAGACACATAGCTGCCATCTTGGGCCATTTTACGAGCCATCATCCCTGTTCTCCTACTCCATTTATGGCATAAATCTGTCCCGCGTGCCACAACCAGGGATCTCTTTCCTCTGATATCGGGTTTCAAGATCGCTTCCACTACTTAATGCCGCCTTGATAACATCAGACCAGGTACGTTTGCTTGTCAGCCCCAAGTCGGCGCCTGAAAATCCCTTCTTTCTCATCTCCAGGAAGTCAAACTGACCAAGAAAATGGCTTCCAGCATCGTCGAAACTATGGCGTCAACCGGCCCCTCCAAATCCCCAGCAGCTCGTCCAAATACGATACGAGCGCCTTCCTTCACTCGTCAGAGCGAAGACAGCGATCCTCTCCGAGTCCCGAAACGAGCTCAAACATTCCAGAATGGCGCTGCGGCCGACCCGTTGACGACGACGACGACAACGACGCCGACCGTCGCCAGCAAGGTCCAGCAGAAGCCAGCAGACGAGCCCGAGGGCCCTGATGCTTTCGAGACTGCTGGAAGGCCTTCAACAGATAACGACGATGGATTCGACGGCAGAGGCTCTGTGGACCTGGGTGAGCTTCCGATTGAGCTAGTTAGTCTGACTGACAGGTATGGCGCACCATCCTCTTTCGGCTTCATATCATGTACTGACCGCGGATAGCTTCGTCGAGACTCTCAGCTCGAAAAGTCACCCGGCGCCTCTGACCATCGACAATGTTTCTGCATTATTCCAGAGTTTCTACGAAACCGCATCCACACACGTCAACACACACATCTCTAGTCTGATCACACGGCATAATCGGGATGCATCGCCTGCGCCGTCCGCGTCATCCAAGGTCTCCACAGCTAGCAGGCTTCGAGCCAAGGCGGCTTCCCTCGGAAGCAAGGATAAACCCAAAAATCTCCCCAAACCAGAGCCGGAGCAGCAAATGATTACTGCCGAAGAACTCGCCAACAAGAAGAAGGCGCGGAAAGCAATCGAAGCCAAGCGTGGCATCATCGAAGAGGCAGTGGAGCGCAGGCTGTGCGAAGGTATCTACGACAAGATCTACCGCCACAAGAGCACCCAGGACGAAGCGCAGGATTCAAAGCTGCGATCAAAGACCGCGGCACTCGCGCTGGTCGGCATTGGACCGGCCGACCTGGGAATCGATCTTGGCGACGATGCATCTCAGACACCTGAAGCCGCTGCGGAAAAGGTTGAAGAGATCAAGAAATCGCTTGAGCAGGCTAGAAGAGACTTGATTCTCATGAATGAGAAGCGATACCCGCTCGGCAAGGTACACCACTTGAAAGCGGCACACAAGGATATTGTCGAGACTCTGGCGCAGTTCCACCCGTCTGCATCCGCAGATGAGATTATGCCTATGCTCATCTTCACCCTCATCACGCTTCCTCCTGAACATCTCAACGTTATTAGCGACCTGCACTTTATTCAGCACTTTAGATGGGAGCCGAAATTGACGGGCGAGGCTGCATACTGCTTGACGAATTTGGAAGCAGCCATCAGCTTTTTGGAGACAGTCGATCTGTCTACACTGAGGGCCGATGAGTTACCCCAGGGTCCTGCCAGAGGTATCAGCCAGCCGGGTACTCCGCGGGCTGAGACATTCCCTCCGGCGTTCCCGCCTGGACTGACGGTAACGGCGGATCCTTCGGTGGAGACCGATTCTGGCAATGCCACGCCAACGAGACCGCCTGCGTCTCCTTCCGCATCGGCCGGGCTGCGTGCTGCGGTTCAAGCTCGGAATAGAAGACTGAGCGAGCTCGTCAACACGCCTGCCCAGGCCATTGGTGCTGCGAGTGATGCCGTGCTCAACACGGCTGACCAGCATATAAAGACGATCTCAACGAGTTTGGGTGATAGCTACAAGTTTTTGGTGGGCAAGTTACGTGAGACACAGGGCACTCCCACCGAATCAGGCCAGGGGCTCGTCGTGCCTAAGACGCTCGATGATGCTCGAAAGCTGATGAGCACCCCGCCTCCCGAGGAGGAAGGGTCCGTCAGTGGTGCCAGCTCGGTTCATGGCACAGAGGAGGCCGAATCTACTCGCCGACCCCCGGTCCGCGAGGATAAGGTGCTAAACCTCATCGGCGGACGCAAGGTTAGTCGAGATCATAGCGCAGATAGCTCGCGAAGCGTCAACAGCTCGAGGAAGGTGCTCTTTGCCAAAGAAGGGGAGAAAGATCTGCCGACGCCATCTCCTGGAAACGCAACCAACCCTCTGGACTCGGTGAGGAACTTTGGCAATTCGTTCTCCCGGTTCTCCGGTATGAGCATGATCAGAGGTCTGAGCCGGACCGCATCCACGCCCATCGTGGCGAAGGAAGCACCTAAGGATATGACAAAGGATAGCCCGGCTACCAAGGTAGCTGACGGCGGCGATCTTGCAAGCGTATGTACTCTGATCTCCAACATTAACACCATGTACTGACTTCCGCAGGCTTTCCCTGATATTGCAGCTGCGTTGCCGCCCAAGCAGATACCAAAGATCAGCCCGCCGAACAAGCGCTTCATGGAGATGCAGAACCCCGGCGACCTGAAGATTGGTGAGGTTCTCGAGTTGCTGCGCGACTACCGGCGGCTGGCGACTACACTCAAGGACTTGGGAGCCTTTGAGGGGTCCAAGTGAGGAAACGAGGGGGGAAGTGGTTTAGAAGAATCGTGAAGAGATAAGATACGGCCTAGACAAAGCTTGCTGCACTCATTTGTAGGATTCCTGTGGGACATGGATAAGCATACTGGACAATGGCGTTTTGATTCTTTATACTACTGTTTTCTGCAAACAAAAGTCTGGCAAGCCATTCTGGGTGGGGATGGCTCTGCCCGAGCTTGAGATCCGTACCAAGCAGGGTGAGGGATCGCAACATTCGGACTTGGGTGTTTCAGAGAAGGCCGAATACACACAGAGAGGTACAAATGCACACACACACACACTACACAATGGAAAAGAGTTCTTTTCACGTAGGACCGTTTCGTGAAAGTTTCTGCAAGAGACTGGTTATTTCGACTATGCGATATTGACTGTGCGTCACTGCTAGTCACGGTTTTCGTAATCCCAATTCAGTCTAGCTAACTCCTTCCTCCGCCGCAATACCAACAGAATGAGCGATTTATACAGTCGCAATTTTGACGATATTTTCTTGAAGTAGCTTACCAGGCGTGATTGACCATTGCGACTGAAGTAGGTTGGGAGTATAAAAGTACTGGCTGGCGCTGGCACACAGTCGAAATAGCCAGACGGCAAAGTGAACATGGCCGACGTCTGATTCTGCAAATGTGAAGTTGTCGAGAAGGTGAGGCGAGCGTATCCCATCACAATGTTAGATTGCGTTAGAACGCTTGTAACGTACTTTTATAAGCGGTAGTAACCAACTCCTATGTCTATCTACCCTTGTTTCCGTCATATTCGTCTATGAATAATCATGAAATAATGCAAAAGGGTAACCGGAATGTCAAGCACGAAGACGTCTAACACGAAAGCATGGTGCTGCTCAGATTGGAGTCCCGAATCAAGCAACCTGCCCTGCCAAGCGCAACAACGCCCCTCGACCCCGGCCTGCGAAGGGGGTAAGATGTGAGGTTATGGCCGGCTCTAACAACAGGGAGACAGACCGTCGACGGACACAGGTTGTATATACTAGGTCAGCATACCAAGATAAAGTAGACCTCACAAGTTGTGATCTATCATATGCCCACATGTATGAGACAGAAACGTCCATGCGTCCATGATGTATTCATCGTCTTTAAAGATTTGATTTTTTTTATTTCTCTGCTATGCCTTGCTTTGCCTGCCTGCCTGCTTGCCTGCTTGCTTGATGGGGTGCCGTTATATTTAAAAGAGGAGTAAAAGGAAATCTGCCTGGTTGTGGGTTGTGTTTTGTGTGAGAGAAGAGAAGAAGCCTACCCACCCCCGTTCTGCCGTTGAACCCTTCACCCCGTCCCCTTATCGAACCCGACCATGGCCCGCGGAGGTGTTCCCTCGTGTGTTGGTTGTTTTCTTTTGTCTTACTGGTTTCCTTTTCTGCACCATCTTCCCCCTTTTCCACATATGGTTCTCTTTTTGGTTTACTTGATTTTTACTTCTTTTTATATGTACTGCCTCACGTATCCCTCAGTGGTTCCCATTCATCTTGGACTCCTTGGGCGGCAACATACTAGCGCGGTTCGTGCGCTCCTGCAAGACGCCGCTGGGCACGCCCGCCCCGGCGCCCCCCTTCTCGTCGCTGATGAGCTTGTCCATGAAGGCAATGTAATCGTACTGCGGCATGCCCCTATCCTCCGAGGTATCGGGCCCGTTGTGCGGGGGGATGATCTCGATGAGCTTGTCAATGACCTCGTCGGGCACGAGGGAGTGGCGGAGGTCCATCTCGGTGACGTAGGGCTTCCCGTCGGCGACCTCGCGGAAGGACTGGAAGACCTGCTCGGCCGTGTTCTGGTCCTCGGTGACGTCGACCATGAAGCGGATAAACTGCTCGAAAGTGACGTGGTCGCGGCCGTGCGACGTGTCCATGAAGTAGTCGTGCATCTCGTCCTCGGAGAAGACGAGACCCAGGGAGGCGAGGGCGGCGCTGAACTCGAGCTCCTGGAGCGAGTTGGTGTCATCGCGGTCAAAGTGGCGGAAGACGGACTCGAACTCTTCGAGCTGGATGGGCGTGAGGTTGGTCATGTTGCGGGCGACCATCTGGTTGTCGAGGAAGGCGAGCTTCTTCTGCACCGACGACTTGACGAGGCTGTGCTCGTAGACGAGCTCGTCGTAGGTGTAGATTGTGAAGTCGTTTTCCTCAATGTTGGCCTCCTGGCACTTGGCGTCCACGGCGGCGATGGTGTCGAGGTACTTGTCCAGCGGCGGCAGGTTGTCGCTGAGCTTGCGGACGTGGTGGAGCTGGTCCTCGACGTCGCCGTCCAAGCCTGAGATTGCCAGCTGCATGGTGTTCAACGCCATGGCGAAGTCGTTGGCCTTGTCGGCGAACGACTTGCGTAATGCGTTTTTGATGCTGCCGGAGGGTTAGCACTGGTATGAGGGAGGTCGCATACAGGGGCACTCACTCTCTGATGGTCTCGTTGATCAACTGCGCCCTCTTCATCTCCGTTTGTGACAAGCCGGCCCAGTCCTTCTCCATCGTCTCGAGGGACAACTCTGGTGGAGGGTCATACGGCCGCAGTCTGTATGTGCCTAGCTTCGTCTTGATGTTGCCTAACAGAGTGGCAAGCTCGCTCTTTTCAGCAACCCAGTCCCTCTTCTTCCCTCGCTTGTACGCCGCAAACTCGTTCGCCTGGGCCTTTGCGTCGGCGTATGTGCCCTCAAACGTGGCCTGCTGCCACTTTTCGATCTGCTCCTTGATCTGCCTCAGAAGCTCCCTCATCCGCCTTTCGTACGCGCTCTGCATATCCCAGGCGCCGGCCATGTTATTTACAAACTTTTCTACACGGCGTCCGGCGTTTTCCACCTTTTCCATTTGAGAAAAGGCGTGGAACCAGTAGGCGATGTACGTCATCAGCGATCTTTCGTCAGGCTTTGCAACGTCGCACACATCCTCGACGTCCAACAACTTGGGAATGCCAATCTCCTTGTGCGCAATGTCGAAGGCCATCTGCATGTTGCCGCGGCGGTCCGACTTGTCCAGTGCGTCGTAGTCGATCAGATCTGGTCTGTGGATATCCAGCAGGGCGCAAAAGGCGAGTCCGTCGTTCCAGCTGCCGCTGAAGTCGCGAACATCCACCTCGTCGTAGCAGGCCGTCTTTCTTTGGCACCACAGCAGCAGTCCCTCCTTGGCCGTCATGCCCTCTTCGTTGATGTCGCTAATGGTGAAGCGCAGAATGAGCGTCCATATCAGGCCGAGAATGATCTTTCTGTTTCCGTCGACGACATCCTCGGCACCAATATTGGTCATCTGGATGCCGCGGCCCTTGATGAAGTCGAGCGCCGTGTTTGCATTCTCGAATCGTTGTACGCGAAGTTTCGGCTTGGACGCATAGCGCCCGAGGGTGTCGTTGGACAGACATTCTAGCAAGTGGATGAGGAGGACCTGTTGTTGGGCGAAGAATTCTGTAAGCCAAGCGAACCCCGCAAACCAGTGGGAAGAAATAGGGGTCCAACTTACACCGTCGCTCAAATCAGTCACGAGATCTTTTACTTCGAGCGACCGAGCCTCCAATTTGGTGTTCATCCTATAGTGAAAAGAAACGCAAAAGTCAGTTCATGATCGTTGTAGCACCCAGCAGATAAACTGCCAGGTTGGGGGTGGGGAGGGTGAGTGGTTGTCGATGTTCCGCTCCCCTCTCCCGCAGAGAGTAAAAGGGGTCCCCGTCGTACCATTTTGTGAAGGTCTTTTGCTGGACCGTGATCCATTTCTGCTGTTCCGCAAACGCCATCCTCGTCAGGCCTTGATCATGCGGCGGCTCGACGGCGGCGAGGGCGGATGCGGGCGAGGAGCCTGTGGCGGAACGGAATCGGTTCTTCTTGGCTACGCTGCTCTTGCGTGCGAGTGCGAGGTTGCTGCTCCCGGATCTCTGGAGGCGGGCGGCCTGTAGCTCGGTCTTGTCTCGTCTGCTTCTCGGGCTGGGGGAGCAATTTGTGTTGGTGCTGGCTCCGCTGTCTGTACGGACGCGTGAGGCGGTAGAGGAGGCGGGGGATGATGTGTTTTCGGAGGTTGTCGAGAAGGCAGACGACAACGGGCGCTCGGCGGTGGTCGGGGTGGTAGGGGTCGTGGATGCGGGTGAAGATGTGGACGCCTGGCTGCCGGCCGAGTGGTGGTCGTGGTGTAAACAAAAGTCGGGGAATTCCTCGTTGCACCCTACGTTGCCGGGCAGACTGGCGCCCGACAGTGGGCGCGCCCCCTGAGGACGGTCGGCGGTGGACGTCATTTCGGACAATTCTAGTGGCTCGCTAAGACGGTTGGCAGCGCTCGTCCGCTGCAGGCGCCGGGATTCGATAGCGAGTTTGGCTTATCGATAACCACTGAACTGCCGAGAATGGTATTCGAGATCGTCGTTAATTTAAATCGAGTTGCTCTTTTGGGGTTTGTACGTCCAAGTCAGGTACAACAGATCTGGTCATGGACTCATGGACTCATGTAACCGAAGAAACAAAACAACTGGCGATGCTTCAAACTGGACAGTTGGAAAAGAGAAGGGACAATCAATGCAAACTTTAGCCAAATAGGGGGAGCCCTTCGTTGTTTAATACCATCCCGTCCACCCACACACGCGCACACACGCACACACACATATATACGCCATCAGACAAAGACCGCCTCTTTCTTAGCCCTCGCCTCAACTCAAGCAAGGTACCTTGGTTGAACAAAAAAGGGCCCAAGACAAGTACAGACGAAAGACGTCGCGCGGCCACTCACACTCACACATACCCAGGGCATTCAGGAGAGATGCGAGGTCTCCCCCAGGCGCGCCATCGCCTCTGAAACAAGAGCCTGTCTCCCGCCGTCCCCTCTCCACTTCCCACGATCAGGATCGCTCCCCTTTCGTTGATCCCGCCGCTAAATAAATGAACCCTTCGACGAGTCGCCGGTCGAGTCTCGTCGTGTCCTCCAGGGCTCGCAAGAACCCCAAGCACTACCGCGGGGACCATTGGCCTCGAAAGTCATCGCCCCCGGCCGCAGAGGGGTCCCCGCACACCCAACCCTCGTCCCACTCACTGTCGAAGCCACTCATGCATGCAATCATGCTTGGAGCTGATCGGCAGGGATCCCCAAGGATGCCATTGTGGCCGTGAATACCCAAATAGGGCATGCGAGCAATGTCCTGTTCCCTCCATCGTCGCGGATAAGTCAGTTTGCAAGAGAAAAGGGGAGGCTCTGTGGTCATATCTTATGCTATTCGCCTGGATCCTCAACTAACCATCCCCGAGCACCCCCATGGGCCCTGTTCTGGTCGTCCGTCTGCCTGCCCTTCTTTGGGTTCTTTGGAACATTCTTGCCCCTCAGCCACTCCCGAATGGGAGGGACGGAAGACCGTTGCAAACTGAATTTCTCTGACAAGTTTGCCCAACCCCGCCGCGCGTGTCACTCCCTATAGTGTACATCACCCGTCAAACCATACCTACCCCGAGCCAAGGCCGTCACAGGCTCACGGCCACTCGTGAGTGGATGGGCGTTGAGAGGAGTGCATGAATGAGAGCCCGGTAACTCTAACGAGGATCGCGTCAAGAACATTGGACGGAGATGAGCCAGGACGGTGCAAGCCCAGATCTCTTCAAGTATTTCAGTTTCACTACCACGCTACCTGGCACCAAAAGGGACTGAATTTCGACTGAAGTTTAGCCGCCCTGCCTGCCTGCCCAGTGTCTCGTGGACTTGAGCCCCTCGCAGACCAGATGCAAGACAGGAGAGTTCCCAAATCTGATCAAGTGGTCCCTTTTGGTGTGTGTGTGTCCCGGCCATGGCTCATATTGCGACACCTTCCCGGCCCTAGCCGAGACAACAGCTCGAGATGAAGAATGATGAGGCCAGGTTTTGTCCCAAGCTTGGGAGGAATTTGTAAATTGCTGGGAGCTAAGACCAGAGGGCATGTACCAGAGGGTACGTGACAGAGGACATGTAGCGCAAAGCAATTTGTTGCGCGGGTTTGCAATGAACGACGATGTGTTCTCTCTGATACTCAGCCTTCAGATTGTCTAGTATTCCAGACAAAGGCTCAGGATAGGGAAAAGCAGCTTCTCAATACACCGTCACTCTGTGAGGGTGAGACATGCAGCCCGTACTCTCGGAACTCGACGTGCAAGAGCAAATGCTGGTGAGCGTCATCTTGCGAGGATTGTCCTTGTTCCTCGGTGCTACTATGTCTGGACAGTTGCTATGGAGACGTTGCCAGATGGCAGCTCAGCCTGTGTATCGCAGCGACACGATCTTGATGAATTGACTAGATTTTGTGGTATATGAGCATAAGTGTCAATCAGCCGTGGAAGTCAATGTCAATCTGTTTACAGACATCTTCAAGGATGTCGGCGTCATTGAGATGACATGCAGCAAGTATCCACGTATCCACGGGATGGGTCACTTGCGGTGATGACTAAGTACAGACAGTCTCAGTGAGTGAGATGAGATGAGAGAACATTTGATCTCAAAAATTCGTCATCAATAAGATGTACTTCTCATGCACTTCTTCTGATGTAATCTGTTGCAAGTCGTCTGGTACCGACACCTTCATAAAACCAGTCATTCTTCTGGCAGCTCGAGCGAGGAAATCAAGGTAAGCAAGTTGCGAGGAAGTGGTGAGCAGCACTCTCGGCCAAAAATGCAAACTTTGCCGACGGTGAAAAATTCAATTTCGCCGAATGACATTATCGGGCGTGCTTCCCCGTGGAGAGACGGGAAGGTGCTGCAGCTACAGGCGGCTCAGCAGCACTCGTCACGCAATTGGGTTGCTAATTCCGCCCAAGCTACTGGTCTCTCAGAGGAATTCCACAGGGGTTTAAGTCGATTTTAAAGCCGAAATCGGGGTTTTATCATCCAATTGTCACTGCTCGGATTTTTTTCTAACCTGGAAATCACCAGTTCGCCAGAACTTCTGACGAAAAAAAAAATACAAGAAAGACCGAGAGTCTCGCGTCCCATCTCGGCTGGTCTTTTGTCCTCCTCTCCTTTCCTTGCGTCCAATTTTTCCCCCGCCACACACAGTCACACAATGGCCTCCAGATCAAGAATCCAGCCGCTGCTCCGGACAGCGGCACGGAGACAATCCCTCCTGCCCGCCGGTGGGCGGCGCGTTTTGCGGCAATCCACGGCTCCGGCCGGCGCCGCCGTCGCCACCACCACCCGTTGCATCGCGACGACGGCCGCGAGACTGTCCGACGGCGGCGGCCTCAAGGAGATCAAGCTCACATCGGCCGCCTACCCGGACATCAAGCGCGACACCCGCTTCGCCGCGGTGACGGACGCCCACGTCGCCTACTTCAAGGACCTCCTCGGCCCCTCTGGCGTCGTCGACGGCGTGTCCACCGACGCCGCCGACGACCTGGCCGCCTTCAACGAGGACTGGCTGCGCAAGTACCGCGGCGAGTCGCACCTCGTCGTCAAGCCCGCCTCCACGGAGGAGGTGAGCAAGATCCTGGCCTACTGCAACGAGCAGAAGCTCGCCGTCGTGCCCCAGGGCGGCAACACGGGTCTCGTCGGCGGTTCGGTCCCCGTCTTTGACGAGATTGTCATCAACATGAGCCGCATGAACAAGATCCACTCCTTTGACGACGTCAGCGGCACCCTCGTCGTCGACGCCGGCGTCATCCTCGAGACCGCGGACAGCTACCTCGCCGAGAAGGGCTACATCTTCCCCCTCGACCTGGGAGCCAAGGGCTCCTGCCACGTCGGCGGCAACGTCGCCACCAACGCCGGCGGGCTCCGTCTCCTCCGCTACGGCAGCCTGCACGGCAACGTCCTCGGCCTCGAGGCCGTGCTGCCGGACGGCACCGTCGTCGACGACCTGTGCACGCTGCGCAAGAACAACACGGGCTACGACCTCAAGCAGCTCTTCATCGGCGGCGAGGGCACCATCGGCATCATCACCAAGGTCTCCATCATCTGCCCGCAGCGCTCGAAAGCCGTCAACGTCGCCTTCTTCGGCCTCGAGTCGTACGAAAAGGCCCAGCAGGCCTTCAAGGCCGCCAAAGGTCAGCTCGGCGAGATCCTCTCGGCTTTCGAGCTCATGGACGGCCGCAGCCAGGACCTCGTCCACGCCGTGCGCGGGAACAAGCGGCCACTCGAGGGCGACACCCACCCGTTCTACTGCCTCGTCGAGACGTCCGGCTCCAACGGCGACCACGACTACGAGAAGCTCGAGGGCTTTCTCGAGCACGTCATGTCCAACGACATCGTCTCGGACGGCGTGCTCGCGCAGGACGAGACGCAGCTCAAGGCGCTCTGGGGCTGGCGCGAGGGCATCCCAGAGTGCCTGGGCCACTGGGGCGGCACCTACAAGTACGACGTGTCGATCCCCCTCAAGGACCTCTACCTGCTCGTCGAGGACACCAAGGCCAAGATGGAGGAGGCCGGGCTCGTGGGCGACACGGACGAGTTCCCGGCCATCGGGGTCGTCGGGTACGGCCACATGGGCGACTCGAACCTGCACCTCAACGTCGCGGTGCGGCGGTACGACAAGCGCATCGAAAAGGTCCTCGAGCCGTTCGTGTACGAGTGGATCCAGGCGCGCAACGGCAGCATCAGCGCCGAGCACGGCCTGGGCGTGGCCAAGAAGAACTTCATCGGGTACAGCCGCAACGAGACCATGGTCGGCCTCATGAAGCAGATTAAGAATCTCTATGATCCGGTGAGTTTTACCCTTGCGTTCGTGTCCTGGCTATTGCCTTACGGCTGCCTTCTTCTTCTTCTTCTTCTCTCTCTCTCTCTCTCTCTCTCTTCCCCCGCTTGCTTTCCCCTTCCCATCTGGTCATCAAAAATCTCACTCTTACTTCCCACCCCTGTCTGGTTCTTTCTGTCTCTTCTCACACCGACAACAACGTTGCGTCACGTTTCTCTCTTACGTCCCCCATGCAGCCTCCCCCCACCCCACACCGTGACCGGGCCCCCGGGGAACGGGTTCCTCCATCACACGCTACACTATACACACAACAGAATCCCCCATATCACCGGGTTTCTCCCGTCTGCCTGGCGCCTGGAAGGAATGCTGACGTCGAACCAATTAGAACGGCATCATGAACCCATACAAGTACATCTAAAGGAAGCGCCAAGATTTACGATACCCCCTCCCCATCCACATCCATCTCTGGACGGAGTTATAGGGAAAGAGACAGCGAGGGAGGCAACAGCGGCAGTGAAATCTTGAACATAGCCTAGGATAGCCGGACCTAAGTCCGCCGTTCCCCCCGCGTAAGATCGGGTTTGTTGCGTGCGAGTGGGTTGGAAAAGGCACACTTAGGCTATGCTCATTTTTTTTTCGGTGTGTGTGAGTGAGTGAGAGAGAGTGTGTGTGTGACTGACCTAGGCAATCACACTGCCCACATCATCCCACTCATCTACACCCACCACACCTCGTTTCCCCCCTCGTCTTTGCTCTTCCACCCTCTCCGTCTCATTCATACGAGCAACCGAGTTTTTCTTGCTTTGTAATAACCAAAGCGAAAAAACTTTTCCTGTCTTGTCGTAAAAACAAAGTGACGACAAGTTGTAAAACGCCCCCTAGCCAGATTTCGTTGTGTAGTAGGGAAAGACATGCTTCCTAATCCGGACATATCTTGAGATCTGTCCTGGTATGTCTCACCTGGCGGGCGGTGCGGAGAAGACAGGAGACAGGAGCATATTTTTTTGGTCTTTCTAAACTAGTTAGGATATCATCACATCAATGTACTTCATAATACCAAAAAAGAAAACCAGGAGTTCACACCAACGGTAACCGATGTGAGCCAATGCTAATTCTCTCGGAGAGGGGGAGGAAGGGGTCGGTGTGTACAGTGTCTCGTGGTAGGCCTCCCTCTACTCCGATCCCTCTCAATATCTCGCCAAGAGGATCTAATACCTCTCTCCTCATCTCAGATCGGATGTTTTGAACGAGGAGGAGCCAGCAGCCAGCAGACGTAGTGTAAGGGTAGATCAAAGAGCTGTCAGTTATAACAACAGCCTACCCTGGGCCTTTTCAGCCGCAATACCCAGGGCCTTGTTCCCAGCCAGCAGTTCTCGTCACTTTATAGGTTGGGATTCTCGCAGGTTCCGAGCTCCGGTCCGGTTTTTCCAAGTCAGCCCCCGCAGCCTTGGATACCGGTGACTCGATCTCACGGCTCCAAGTCATCCATCATGGGGTGGATTCCTGGTTCTTAGACTGCCAGAGTGCCAGACGTGCAGCGCCCAGTAATAACCATTAGGCTGGGAAAATCAACCAAGAAAAGGTAGAAAAGAAAACGAAACGAATGGGGTGATATGCGGTACCAGGTTCGTGAAATCACCAAGAAAACGAATCGATTGGCTGAGGTACGTCCCAGCCCACCGATCCTGGAGAGGTAGGTGTTGAACTGCAACCCTCCAATGACATGGCGTCGTCACCGACTCCCGGTCCGGTGGTCGCGGTGGTGATCATCAGAGGGTTCCGTCTCTGGGTCTCTGGGGTCTCTGGGGTCTCTGGGGTGGTGGTGGTTCGCGTGAGTCCTCAATTGCTTGGTAAACTCCCAATTGTATATCCGTAATGTAATCCGCAGACAGTAGTGTAATATGTACCCCTGTCGACTAACCTTTTAACCTGGTGTATGTCTCTCGGCGGCCCCCTGGACCGACCGGGCTTTCCGTGCGCCGTTTGGCTGACGGTGAGTGGTGACAGGTGCTGGCGGCCCCTGGGCACCGACAATCTCACCCCTACTGAAGGCTGCTGTTCGCTTTGCTGCGCTCTCATTTGCTGCTTTACTTTGACGCGGCACTTGGGGAACGGCCGCACCGACGTCAGCCTCGGCGTCAGCCAATCACGCCGTCCAGAGCATCCCGTCCTGCAGACTGCTCCGCCAGCCGAGGGTGGGGCTCTCTTTCGAGCAAGTCGCACCTCCGAGCCGAACCCCTGTCTGTTCGGTCTGCTACGGCATGCAGCCCTACGGGGCCTTGCCTGGAACGTGCACTCATCCGCGCGCGGGGGACAATGCTCTCATCTACCCGTAGGTAGTCTCATCGGACTCGACTGAGACGGAGGGATCAGAGACGGTTGACATCAATCTTGTTTACACTCTTGATTAGCATCGATCGATAGTCCCTCTCTTTCTCTCTCTCCGTCACTCTGCCTGTCTCTGCGTGTAGGTATGTACTTACTTCCCTGCTGCAGGTGTCATTGACAGGGTGCAACGATCCCTCCTGAATGGCCGAGGCATCTCGGAGCATCTCACACATACGAATGCACACAATCGGTGCTAAATCACGCTCACTTTCCTCTTCCAGCCTGTCTCGCCCACTGATTTGCGTTCGTGGCCTTGTCTTCCAAGGTTTGGGTCTTGTAAAAAGGAATGTCCTAGATATCGGTTAGATTCCACTCCTCGTGTAAGGGGAAACGAGCAAAGATGGCCTCATCACCTCTTCATCCACCCAACCTACCCTTTGACCAGATGTCACTGGTATTACATCTCGGCTACAACTCGCCCGGCGCAATCTACCCGCACCATGCCTGAGACCACGACAAGAACAGGCATCGCATTCGTTGATCGTCTCGGGGCCGCCTGACTGCATACCGCAGCCGCAGTCGTCTTATTCGTCCCGGGGCGAACCAGACCATGTGTGATTCCCGCGCCCTTGGTCCCGTCTCATACGTTGTCGCGGTCCACCTTCGGTAGTAAGGCTGCATCACACCATCAACTGGCTCCCGCGAGGGGGGCTTGTTTGAAGCCAAGCGTATGGTCTACCTTGGGTCCCACAGCCTCTCCGGCAGTAGCCAACGTAAGAAGCTCACTGATCCGCGCCCTCCTTTCAGTCTTGGGGGCCGTTTGATGCCTGCTTCCCCCCTTGCGGCTCCCCATTGTGATATATATCGACCGTCCAGTACGTCTTCTTCCCTGTTCGTCTTGACGAGAGAATATCATCGGTTATGGTCATACTGTCTTTGCAATAACCTGTCTCTCACCAAAAACGTCCGAGTTGTCAACATGGTTGGAGTCCGCGGCAAGTACAAGGGATGCGAGACATGCAGGGCTCGAAGAGTCAAGGTAAGCACTCTAAAGGCGTTTCGACAGCAAAAAAAAAAACGCCCCCCGCGGGCTGACATGTCAACGGTTAGTGCGATAACGAACGGCCACACTGCCGCAAGTGTATCGATAGCGGCCGCGAATGTGCTGGCTACGAACGAGAAATGGTCTTCATCACCGCAACCATAGACGACGCCGGCCGCTGCTCATCACATCCGCCCCGCCAGGTCCAGCCGTCTTCTTCGAGGAGTTCTAGGAGAAGCCAAACCGTGGAGGACGAAATTCCTCGCTTGGTACCGACAGAACCGTTGATGCCAGCATGGGATGATTTGGTTTCCGTATCCGACAACGGTGTCATATACTCGATACAGATCGCGGCATTGCACACCAGGTTCCAGAACATCCTTAGGGGTCCCGAAGGGCAAAGCCAAGTAAAGTTCCGGATGGCCCTACCGCCCTACTCACCAGTTGATATGGAGACATGGGATAACGGCGGAAACATGGACCTGAATGCGCAGAACATGATCAGTCTGTTGCCATCGGGGAATGACAACGGAGCCCCCGAAGGTCTTTGCGTGTTTTTATTCGAGGTGAGATGCCAGTTGGTCGTCGTGGAAGAGCGTGTGCTGACTATCCTTGTAGCAAAATCCATCCTTTTTGGTGACCAACGGCATGACACCCTGGAGTGTCCCCCAAGAGCATATGGACGTCGTCAAGAAGCTTGGACCGGAACAATTTCGTCAGTTCCCAGCCCACCACTATTTCGTCAGGGTATATAGGTGTAATGCTGTAAGACACGCGTCGTTGGCCCTGCGGATGAACCATCAAGCTGACTTGGTGCCAAGATCATACTCGCTCTCTTACACCGAAAGACGACGTTTCTTTCTTCGTTCGAATGGTGCACTACACCGTGGGAACAGCACCCCAAGACGTTTCTCGACAGGCTCTTTGATATCATCGCCGGGTTGCCTGGCGTCTTCTCTCGCGTCGACCGAACGGTACCCTTTGCTGCAACCTTGCAGCGTCGGTTAAAGGCACAGGAGCTGTTGGAGAGCTGCTTGGAAATAGAACGAAGGCTGGAGGAGTGGGAGTCGTACGCCCGCGCGCCTACTGCCGAGCACCCGTATGCGTACTGGATAGAAGAGCCGGATGATCCAGATGCGCAGCAGCTACCCTTTGCGGACAACTTCGCCTTCAAGGATGGTGTGTCGTCCGTCATGTTCCTGTATCACTGGATGACACTGCTGCTCCTCCACCGCTGCATCGAGTGCCTGCACCACACCATCTTCCAGCCTGTCATCGAGGACTTTCCCGACATGTACCCGGATCTGCCTCCGAATCTGCAGATCAACCTGGGCAGGTACCAACAGAGGCGGGAGTTTGCGTCAAGAATCTGCAGGGCGCTCGACTTTGCGCTGTCGACGACAGTTCAGCCGGACATGTTGGTTGCACCACTAGCCGTGGCCATGGAGTTCTATCGCGAGATCAATGCGTCGTCAAGGGACGGCGAGCTCGAGATTATGTGGTGCGAAAACTTCAGGCTGCGTTTGACCTCCAAAGGTCACGATATTGCCAATGTTTTGCAGAGCAGATCATGGGCCGACATTGCCAGGTTCTGAGCCAGCTGGCTACTCGCTCCGTCTGCCTGACGGTTGAAAAGGGGAGTAATGGGTACGATGAAAACATGGTGGAAGGTATGGATTGGCGCAGGTGCATTGCATTTCTGAGAGTATCAAAGTCGAGAGCGCTGGCCATTTGACGTTCGACCTGATGTAGAGGGTATTGGTGGACTGCCACCTATATCCTGCCATATATTGTTAATATTTTGATGGAAAAACCAAAAGGTGTGTTGTAGAAGACGATCTTCACTGAGATATAGAGATGTCAAAAGAACGTTGCAACCCATCTAGTTTGTAGTCCATGAACGAGTAAAATATAACGGACGGGAACTTGTAATTCAAAAGGTGCCCATTACATACAACCTGGACGTTGCTGCTTGCCTGAGCTCCTACCTAGCGGGTGAGGTGTGATACGGATAAGCGCACAGACCTCTCAGCTTGAGTGACCATTACCCGGACTTTCCCCGGCCCTGCAGGAGCTTCTGGAGCTTTTCAGCCTTTCCTACGCCAGCAGGCGCCAAAGCTTCGTCAGACCTGCAGCCTGCCTCTCTTGACCTTACCTTACCTCACTACTCCATCCACCCTCGACCGACCGCACCTCTTCAATCACGGCGATTGTCCTGCAACATCCAAGCAAATCGTCAATTCACATACCACCACACACATCTCCGATAATCCGTCCCTCAATCAGTCAGTCACCATGGCTTCAGGATACGACAGAGCGTTGTCCGGTAAGGGCCCCCTCCTTGTTGCCCCCCAGCTCCACTGTACCAAGCTAACATGTACCTGCAAACAGTCTTCAGGTTCGTCACGGTTGCCCCTGCCCCTGCCCCGGAAACAATTCATGACCCCCAACTGACATCGTCAGTCCTGATGGACACGTTTTCCAGGTCGAGTATGCTGGCGAAGCTGTCAAGAGAGGTAATGCCGCTTGCCCGCCGCAATCAAGGGCGGAACCAGCTAACCATTGGCATAGGAACGTGTGCGGTCGGCGTCAAGGGTACAGATGTCGTCGTCCTCGGATGCGAAAAGCGATCAGCCATGAAGCTGCAAGATACCCGAATTACCCCTTCCAAGATTCAGCTCCTCGACACTCACGTCTGCCTGGCATTCGCCGGCTTGAACGCCGATGCTCGCATCCTCGTCGACAAGGCGCGGTTAGAGGCACAGTCCCACAGACTCACCGTCGAAGACCCCGCCTCCATCGAGTACATGACCAAGTACGTTGCTGGTGTCCAGCAACGGTACACACAGAGTGGTGGTGTTCGTCCCTTTGGTATTAGCACCTTGATTGTTGGCTTCGACAGCGGCAGCAAGGTCCCCCGCCTTTACCAGACCGAGCCCTCTGGCATCTTCTCCGCATGGTACGAGCGACTAATCCATACTATGCGATGCGGTGCATCTGCTAACACCTTGCAGGAAAGCCAACGCCATCGGCCGTTCCAGCAAGACCGTTCGCGAGTTCCTCGAGCGCAACTACAAGGAGGATATGGACAGAGAGGCTACCATCCGACTCGCCATCAAGTCTCTTCTCGAGGTTGTCCAGACTGGAGCCAAGAACATTGAAATCGCGTTGATGGCACCGGGCAAGACGATTGAGATGCTGCCCGTGGAGGAGATTGAGAACCACGTCAAGAGCATTGAGCAAGAGAAGCAAGAGGAGGCGGCCAAGAAGAAGACTGGACGCACACCCGGCACCGGAAGCGCGGCGATCCTCACGAGAGGCTCGGGCTCGGGTGACGGTGACGAGTAAGGAAATGACTAGGCGTTGCGGTTCGCGGATAGACGACACTCATGAGGGTATCTGACCAAATACCAATGTATTACCACCTTTAGACCGTGGAAAATCTACAAAACGGTGTCCATAAACTCGCTTGCTGCCACACTGATGCCCGTAAACCAGCTAACCCCCCCCCCCCCCCCCCCACAGTTTAGCCCAGCTTGTCCGCATCGTCTGTTGGGTCGAATATTGAGCGTCCGGCGATTTGGCGGACACGCTCGTCCTTGATCATGCGGCTGTCCTTGCGCGCGTCCTCGCCCTCAACGGAGATGGCTGCCTTGGGCGTCTTTGCTTCAATGACGAAGTGGTTGTCGCAGTGCGGGCAGTATTCATCGGCGTCTTCGAATTCCTGGGCGTCTTTGCGGAAGCACTTCTTGCACTTCTTGCAAGCAAAGACCATTTCAAGGCTCTGGAGCAGGGGGTGCTTTTCCTGCTCATGGTGACACTCGGCGCAATCGAACCATTTCTTGCCTAGGAGGGCATCCAAATTAGTCGGCGTAGCTTGGAGTAGGGGCAGAGGGGGTTCGACGCACAGCAGGGTGACCTGATTGCGACTTGCGCGTTGAGAATGTGTTTGCTGCGGTGATATATTAGCTTGTCGGCCAGGGGTTGTCGGTTCTCGTTTGGCTCACCACATGGTGGGCCGTCTTCGCGGTATACAGCAATAGATCGCGTTGTGGTTACAGGTGCGCCAGCTGAAGGCAGATGAACGGAGGGGTCGCGGTAGACTGGTCAAATCGAATGTGTCGCGGTTATGAATCGGCAAGTCGAGGCAATGGGGAGAATCTTCTATCGAAGATTTGGCGGTGCTGATAAATTTGGCGGGGTCTGGATTTGTCGCCCAAGCCTTCCCTCCCGGTACCTACCTACACCTTGCACCCCGCGAAGTCGCTCTGTAGTGGTCTCCACTTAAGGTGCCGGCCAGTGACAAAGGGTGCCACCCCTGTAAGGCCGTACTCTTTGCCTGCGAAACCTTAGGTACCACTTTAACGCCGACGCTTAGAGTTGCTTACCTTTCTCCGATGCGTGCCTGCAGGCTACATCATCCATCTATCCATTTCTTAGGTTTTCTGATTTCACAACCACCCATCTGCTATCTCTCCTCCAACAACCCGCAATCCTGTCACGATGCCACCGAAGAGGAAGGCTCAAGGGGCCGCCACCGGCAGCTTCAAGACAGGAAAGGGCTCTGTGGCTTCAACACCTGGAGGCGCCACCCCCAGGAGTATCGCCAGCGATAATGAATCGGTAGCGGATCCCGTGAGCGAGTCGGAAGACGAGAACCTCGAGAAGAACGTCGACAAGTTCTCCGTCGAGGCGTATCTGGACAGGCCGAAGACGAACGGCCATGAATCCATGACTGGACTCTTCAAGAAGAAGCGCGACTTCTCCTTCCTCCAGCTGAAACCCGATTATCAGAATCGCCCGCTCTGGATCGACCCTGCCAAAGGCCGTATTTTCCTCGAAAGCTTCAACCCGCTGGCCGAGCAAGCACAGGACTTCCTCATCACCATTGCCGAGCCAATTTCCCGACCGTCCTTCGTTCACGAATATGCGCTCACGACACACAGCTTGTACGCTGCTGTTTCTGTGGGCTTGTCACCCCAGGATATCATCAACACTCTCGATCGGTTTCTGAAGATGCCTTTGCCCGACAGTATTCGCAAGTTCATCGAGGGCTGCACGCAAAGTTTCGGCAAAGTCAAGCTGGTGCTTAAGAATACGAAATACTTTGTCGAGAGTACGGATCCGGTCATCCTGCAGAAGCTGCTGAAAGACTCCGTCATCGGGCCGCTGCGAGTACACGGTACGGAGGAAATCACTACAATAGCGGCTCCGAAACAGGGCCCCCTGGTCATTCCAGGTACCGCCAATGCTGCTGGTGTGCGACAGGCAGAAGAACAAAAGGCCAAGGGACGCGAGGGTGAGGTGAAGGAGGGCGAGGTCTACGCGGCACTGAACGATGACGACGATGACGATCAGGAGATCACGCATGCCTTTGAGATTGGGGACGAGGCAGTCGAGACCGTTCAGAAGAGGTGTCTTGAACTGGAGTACCCGGTGTTGGAGGAGTACGATTTCCGACGAGATGAGGCCAACCCGAACCTGGAGATCGACTTGCGGCCGGGCACCTTGATTCGACCCTACCAAGAGAAGAGTCTGAGCAAGATGTTTGGTAATGGACGGGCCAAGAGCGGTCTCATCGTCCTTCCTTGCGGTGCTGGAAAAACGCTTGTCGGTATCACCGCAGCTTGCACCGTCAAGAAGGGCGTCATCGTCCTCTGCACCAGTTCCATGTCTGTCGTGCAATGGCGAAACGAATTCCTCAAGTGGTCCAACATCAAGCCAGAGGATATCGAAGCATTCACGTCAGACAACAAGGGCAGAATCTTCCCGGGTAACACCGGTATCATTGTGACCACATACTCCATGGTGACGCAAACAAGGGAGCGTTCTCACGAGGCCAAGAAGATGATGGACTTTTTGCAGACGCGAGAATGGGGTCTGATGCTTCTGGACGAGGTCCACGTTGTCCCCGCCAATATCTTCAGAAAGGTCACCTCGTCCATCAAGACGCATTCGAAGCTTGGCTTGACCGCCACACTGCTTCGTGAAGATGACAAGATCTCAGATTTGAACTTTTTGATTGGCCCCAAGTTATACGAGGCGAACTGGATGGAGCTCAGCGAACAAGGCCACATTGCCAAAGTTCAATGCGCTGAGGTCTGGTGCCCCATGACTACAGAATTCTACGATGAATACTTGAAGGCGTCGGCCAGAAAACGCGCGCTGCTGTACATCATGAACCCGAGGAAGTTCCAAGCCGCTCAGTACCTTATCAACTACCACGAGTCTCGAGGCGACAAGATCATTGTCTTTTCAGACAACGTCTATGCTTTGAAGACATATGCTGAGAAGCTGGAGAAGGCTTACATTTTCGGCGGCACTGGACAAGCAGAGCGCATGAACATTCTGCAAAACTTCCAGCACAACCCTCAAGTCAACACACTGTTCCTGTCAAAGATTGGTGACACATCCCTCGATCTTCCCGAGGCTACCTGTCTCATTCAGATCTCCTCACATTACGGTTCTCGTCGTCAAGAGGCGCAGCGACTCGGCCGTATCTTGCGAGCCAAGAGGAGAAACGACGAGGGTTTCAATGCCTTCTTCTACTCCCTGGTGTCGAAGGATACCCAGGAGATGTACTACTCCTCCAAGAGACAGGCGTTCCTGGTCGACCAGGGCTACGCCTTCAAGGTCATCACGCAGCTCGCCAATATCGAGAAGACACCTGGCCTAGCCTACGCCGCGGCGAGCGAGAGACGAGAGCTCTTGCAAAAGGTCCTCATCGAGAACGAGGCCGGCGGCGAAGACGAGGTCATTGATGACTTGTTCCACAGCGGCACGATGGGCCGCGCGCCGGCCAGGGGTAGGAAGAAGGCCGCCGCGAGGAGGACGGCTGGTCTGTTGGGCGACCTGTCGGGTGGGCAGGACATGGCCTACATGGAGCAAAACAAGAGAGTCAAGCTCAAGAAGGCAAAGGGAGAGAGCAGTGCCTTCTTCAAGAAGATCCAGAGAGAGAAGGCCAAGCGATAGATTGCAATCACGAACAGGTTTACGGCGTCTGTGGGTGGGGAATTTTGGGAAAGGCAAACGAAGGATTTGAAGCCGCTTCATTGTATTATAGATCATACACAAACACGCCGTGGAGGCGTAAGACTGGGAAAGGTCAGATAAATCTGCACATGATACGATATTATTCGATAACAAGTCAAAGGCCCAAGCTTGTTGTGCCAAGCCTATGTAGATCTCGTCAGTATGATCTCTAGAAATACGCAGACAATGTCCAATAAGGGATAATCGCCCATGCCATTTGGCTATAATCTACTCTCAGCTCGTCCGTTCTCCCCAATAAGAAAGGGAATTTTCCTCGTGGGCTTCACTTCTCCCTTTCCCCCTGTTCCAGTTTCACGAAGGAGTTGATTCTGGCAAATGGCAAACAAGAACCAAGAAGAAAAAAAGAACAACAAACGCAGCAAAACCCGTGGTTGCGGCCGTTGGAAAACGGCTCGTAAAACAAGATTGGATTTTTGGATTCCATGGGTGCATAGCTATTTTTGGTGAGCGTCATTCCCGGGGTATCTTTACGATATCAATCGATCAGAGTCTGATCTAGTTACGGCTGTAATGAGAATTCAAATAAAGGTAACAAAAAAAGTGAGTACGGGTAGAGCGATTACTCGAGTCGCCAAGATGCCACCCCCTTTCTCCCGTTTGTAGTCGAAGACCGGGGGGGTTAGGAGGCGCCACAACATCAACACATTGTTTGGCTTTCCTTCTGGGCCCATCTATGCGGCCGGATAGGATCTTTCGGTCAGAACCTACCAAGTCCTTCACGTGGGCCGCATGGGCGAATGAATCAGAAGCAAATGGGTGTGGTCTTGGCAGACAGCGGGTTGAGTCGGATTGCTGCATTCACCATCATCTTGCGTTGCCTATCTGGCAGATCTGGGCATTGTTCCGCGCGGCTGGGGTATTCGTACTGGAGGCCCGGAGGGATACTTGGCGTCCGGGTTGGGAGATGAGCGTCCCATGTACCCGTACCGTTGCCATCTCACAAATCGCATGCAGGACTCGCTACGCCGGAAGAGGTGTACAGCAGTAATGGCGGCATGGCGGTGAACAAGCAGAGGAAGGCGGTGGTGGAATATGCTGGCGACGACGTCGTGTTGAGGTGGTGAGAGTGAGAAATGACCTGTGTCACGGAGAGTGCTTGGCAAATGGCAGTGGTTATCGGCTCTCTCTACTCGGCGGATGGTGTGCTAGGTCTGGACTCGGTCGGTGCGACGGACGGAAGAAGCGACCGGCAGTCCGCGGGCTAGCGTTGTGATTGACAATGAGAATGCCAGAAAGGCCGTATTGGAGGTGCATTGCGAGTTCCTTATCGGCAAAGGATAAGCCAGTGTGGTTGAGCTGGTGGTAAACCGTTCTTCTCGGGCGACTTTGCCTCTAAAGCCAACAAACGAGACGTACGGGTTCCTCATACAGGCATCCATAGATCATCGGTTGGGCAGTGCTGACGGCTGAAAGGCCCCCGTTGTAAGAGATACGTTGCGCCTAAAAAAGAGTCAATGGGCATCAGGATGAGGGATCTGCTCCTGGGGACGCCGACGGGTTTCACAGGCCGCCGTGGCTTGCAAATGGCACCTGCTTGATAATATTACCATAGCCATGGGCAGCGAATGAGTGTTTCTGGTAGACTGCAGGGGTTGGATGTTCCCTGGCAAGGTACCACTCGCCGGGAGCTTGGTCGGACTGATGGTCTTCTCGGCCGGGATGACCTGTTGGAGGCGAAGTGCCACGCCGTTTCAATGTATAGGGGTAGAGAGGCATAATTCGTCGGTGGTATTGTGACCATGGGAATATTGAGGGTGCGCGCGTCCGGGAGTTTAGCCAGTTTCCTACTGATTGTGAGGCGGTCGCAAACATGCCAGAAGCTTGCTCGTCAGGTACCGGTGGTAAAACCCCGGATTCGCGGTGCTAATGGGAGTGACGGACGAATTGGACTTTGGTATACGTCCAGGTGTACTCGGTACGCCTGCACCGAGTATTCGTAGACAGACCAGCTGAGGGGCACGAATTGTGTAGGATACCTAGGCTGCATCTTAGGTCGATGGTAGTATTGCCATTGCTGTACATATATAGGTATCAAACCTAGTGGGATGTCTTGGCTGGTCCGTTAGGTGGTGTTGGGTAAGTATGCATGTGTTCACATGTTGGAGGTGCGCTAACTGCAGCTGAGAAGATGGTCAGTCAGGAACATCAGGGATGGACAACGTCGGAGAAAACCATGAGACGCAGCAAAGGAGGGTAAGAGACGAGATGTGCTGGCACAAAATGACGTACTAGAGCCATGCAGTGTACTCCAGAGGCTGGCGTGGGAGGGAGGGTAGGGTGTGGTGCCCCTGTCACGATGCAGTTGCTCTTGTTGCTCCTTTGGGCGTGAACAGCGCGCGTGCGAGTGTCTGCTTGGACAGACGGGCGACATGTTGCTTACCCACTTAAAATTAAAGTTACTTGGCACTCCTCCGCCAGCTTGGTTGGGGGATTCTAGGGATTTAGGGGATTTTGTTCTGGCGTGTCTTGGAATGGTACGCCACGAAACAGATCTCGCGAGTCGCAACCAATCTTACCTTGCGTAACCATTAAAATGGTAGGCTAAGTGTTTGGTGCCACGTTAAGACAGACTGGTGGACGAGATCGGAGCAGACCGACGCGTGCCGAGGGTGCAGGCGTGTTGCAAGCTGTCCCGACTCCCAAGTAGGTAGTGTAGTAACGCATGGGGGTTTAAAGGACCAAGACTCGAGCGGGCGGACGCCGATGCTGGATGTCGCATCAAGATAGTAGCACATGAATGATGTGCGCAGATGATTGGCGATCATTCCGACAAGTTTTTGACATGATGCTGCAGCCATCTGCTATAGCAGGGGGTTTTTGGTGCGATCAACCATCCAATGGTCTAAGAAAAAGGTACGCATGAGGTGAGGTGGTGCAGGCAGTGTGAGGTGATCAGCCCTGATATGACTGACGTGAGGTGACTGCAGCCGCATCCGCGGTGCTCCCGAGATGTTCTGATCCTCCGTACACATTTGGTAAGCACGCAAGGTGGTACGGTGAGATGCGGTGAGGTGAGGTGCTGCCCGTTGTAATCTCGATTTTCGAGAAAAGGAAGACGGCTCCCTCCTTCCATGGCCCACTCCATCGTTCTCGTCTGAGATGCAGAAGTAGGGTACATCTAAGATGTATCTCTTCTGTTCCAATCGCGGTGGAGCCGTAGGTACTTCCCAGTGCCAGGAAAAGCTTAGCTCGGTACGGAGTACCTATCGCCCAGGCACCGCAAGGAAAGGGTCGAACTCGACACACTTTTCCACAGAGTTCCCATGCCAGGTTCCAATGGTGCCAGTCCAAAATCGAAAGTGCTGACGGGACGGTTACCTTTGGCGTCTCCAGTTCCACGGCAAGGATAAGAGTGGACATTGCAGACTGTGGATGCTGCTGGATGCACCGCGGTTGGATGGCTGACCGTAAGGACCTCTTTGCGGTCAACTGTCAACTCCACACTTCACACTCCAGTCTCCAGAGTTCCAGGGCAAGCGTCCGGAGCTTACCTACGCCCCCCGACACGCCCGCAAGCCGATTGCTTCCCTCCCTTTTTCTGATTAAGGAAAAATGAAATAAAAAAATAACAGCGAGGGAAAAATTGGATTGACGCCTTCGTTTCGTCTTGGCCCGTGGGGGGTGGGTAGGAGAGCACAAATATCTGCCTACCTGGTACATTAATCCAGTCTGGCACTTCTTTCCCATCTTTCTGCTCTCGCTGACCTTTGTCATACGAACAGTCGCGCCTGCAGCCCAGGTTGCTTCTTCCTTGTGAAGAGCCAAGAGTTGAGCCACTTCCCACTTGGAGCGGTAGTGGTGCAGCGTGCTTGCTCCCTGGCTCATCTGGCGTTGGCATCTGCAATCCAATCTGCTTGGCTGCACCTGCGACACTTGCAGCACCAAGTTTGATCTTGATCTCATTTCTTTGACCCGTCCGATCAAGGCCATCCATACCTTAGCACGCAGTACCTACCACACAATCACCTGTACTACGTACTGCGTTCAGGATACTTCGACTCTTCTTTCTCCATCCTGTTTTTTCCCTCTTCCGTTGCGCCCTCCGACAAAACCTACCTGCCCTGCAACAATAACAGACGATCAAGACTGATGTCACACTTGCTACGACTGGCTACTGCTACCCCATCCACCTTTCGCCATACCAATTGATCGTCATGAATTCCAGCTTAGCCGTCATCCAATCCTCGACCTCTACACCAGGACGGTTAGACTAGAAAGCTTTACAGCCACAGCCACAGTGCCAAGGCCTGGACCATTTCGCCCATTCTCACTGCACCACCTCTCTTTATACCTATTCCCCCCGAAGGCCGATGTCTTGTCTGCTCTGGTTCTAAACCGGAGGGGAATTTCCTCCATTACATCAACAACACCAACAAAGCCCATTTTCGCGATCCGAGAGAAATGCTCGAAACCGCGCGCGGCTGGCTGCTCGACCAGCTCCGGGCAGCCAAGCCTTCTTTTATATCCAAGAAGCCTCATTTCAACTTCATCTCGGCTCACTGTAAGTTCACCACCATCCCAACTGCCATCTATCCCCAGTGCCCACAAGGCCTTGCGCTGCGCACAGCACTAATCTGCGCACCGCGCTCCCCCTTCAGACTTTTGGATTGTCAGTCTCACCATACTGGGCTCCATCCTCATCTTTGCCTCGGCCGGCGGTCAGTTGGCTTACATTGATGCACTCTACTTTGCAAGTGGCGCCAATACCCAAGCCGGTCTCAACACAGTCGACGTCAACCTACTCAATACCTTCCAGCAAGCATGTCTCTACTTCTTTACCATGACCTCGAACCCCATCACCATCCACTCTTCTGTTGTGTTCCTCCGACTATACTGGTTCGAGAAGCGATTTCAAGGAGTTGTCCGCGAGGCTCGCCAACAACGCAGAAACACCATTTCAAAGTCAAAGTCCCGCGCGAGAGATGATTTGAACCAGGCTGAGAGGGGCCGTTTGAGCGTGCGCAATATTAAGGTTATGCACACCAATGGCCACCGCTCGAGAATGACCAATGATGGAATTCTACTCGATATGAAGGAGGATGAGGATGGCCGCATCTCGCCGGGGAGTAATGGTTTTGTGCCCGTTCCCAACACCCCAGCACATAACTCGGGAGAACACTCGCCCGCCAGAGCACCCGAAACCCAGGAAGAAACCGGCACAGACATCACCCAAGGTCGAATCACGTTTGCCCAGCATGTCTTCCGAAGCGACGGCACGGAACCAGAAGTCAAGCTTCCATCGCCGCACTCGCCCGCTCATTTTGCCATTCTTGAGCGCCAACGCGCCGGGCCTGATGAGACACTGCGAATTCCAAACCCCAGAGACGCAGAGAAGGGCATGAAACCAAAGCGAGTCGAAGATGATGCAGCACCTGAACCTGAAGACGAGAGGGACGGCAGTATTCCGCATATCCACGTTAACGGCGGAGCGAACAACTTGGCGGATGATGTCGGCAATAATGTCCACCGCCCACAGACGATCAAAATCGAGGAGCCTGAACGACCCAGGGATACCGAGAGAACGGTCAAGGACGAGATTGCGGATGAAGCCGAGGTGATTGGTAGAACCATCTTTCCATTCTCGCTCCGTAAGCCCAAGAAGTTCTTCAAGGGTACCAGCAGTGACAACGGCGAAGGCAGCAGCTCTGACAACCCTCTTGCGAGAGTCAGGAGCAAGACATTCGACACCATCAGGACTGCATTGACCCGCGAAAAGGTCGAGGACATGCCGTATCTGAGTTTCACGCCTACCATGGGACGCAACTCAGCCTTCCCGGGCTTGACCATTGAGCAGCGTGAGGAATTGGGTGGGATTGAATATCGGTCCTTGAGGACACTCGCCGTTATCTTGCTCTGCTACTTCTGGGGTTTCTCGCTCTTCGCCATCACCTGCTTCCTTCCCTGGATCTACACGAGCTCTAATGCCAAGTACGCCGCCATCGTGGAGAACTCGGGTGTCAGCAAGGCGTGGTGGGGTATTTTCACGGCGAATTCGGCCTTCAACGATTTGGGGCTTACCCTCACGCCTGACAGCATGAACTCGTTCAACGACGCGTCTTTCATCCTGTTGATCATGTCTTTTCTGATCATCATTGGCAACACCGGCTTCCCCATCATGCTCCGGGTCGTCATTTGGATTCTCTCCAAGATTGTGCCAAAACGCACAGGACTATGGGAGGAATTACGCTTCTTGTTGGACCACCCGCGTCGTTGCTTCACTCTGCTTTTCCCAGCGGGCGCTACCTGGTGGCTGTTCATCATTCTCATCGGCCTCAACGTTCTTGACCTGCTGTTCTTTGTCCTGCTGGATGTAAGTCATTCTCGTTACCCATGACGGAAATACGCTGACACTATTTGTAGCTGAACGATAACGCCGTGAGCCATTTGCCGGTGCACGTCCGCATTGTGGATGGTATCTTCCAGGCTGCGTCGACAAGAACTGCAGGTTTCTCGGTTGTCAACATTTCGCTGTTGCATCCTGCTGTGCAAGTGTCATACATGATTATGATGTACATCTCCGTGTTTCCAATCGCCATCTCCATTCGTCGCACCAACGTGTACGAAGAGAGATCTTTGGGTGTTTATCACAGCCCTGACGAGGATATGGAGGGCACCAACGAGAATAGTGCCTGGTCATACGTCGGTACCCATTTGCGTCGCCAACTTTCTTTCGATTTGTGGTACGTTTTCTTGGGGCTCTTCATTCTGGCCATCACAGAAGGCAAGAGGATTCAAAACAAGGACTTTGACGTCTACTCGGTCTTGTTCGAGATCGTGAGTGCATACGGTACGGTCGGGTTGAGTCTGGGTTATCCCAACGTCAACGCTTCCCTTTGCTCTCAGTTCACCACTGGAGGCAAGCTTATCATGATTGCAATGCAAATCCGTGGTCGCCATCGTGGTCTCCCCTACGGCTTGGATCGCGCTGTTCTTTTACCAAGCGAATCTCGGTTCGAGAAGGAAGCCGCCGAGGCGCAGCCAGTTCTGGTCCGGTCTGCTACTGCCGCATCGACGGGAACTGCACTCAGCGCCACGAGGTCAAACCTGAGGTCGAGAAGAATGAGCACGAACAGGGGTCAAGGCATCTTTACTCAATTCCTTCACCCTGGCCCCGTGATCCCACACGAAGATAGCCTCACCAATCTCCCCAGACGCAGCAGATCATTTGGAGTCGACGAACGGCCGCCGATGGCTGAGGATATGAGGAGACGCAATACGGAGCCCGTCGATGACGAGACTACGGATACCGACAGCGACGTGATCACAGCGCCTCCGCGGAGAGTAGTCACTACACCCGCAAGACCCGCGATTTGACCTGTTTTGTGAGAAAAGGAAAAAGGAGCATACATTGCAAGGAGTTTGTACTATGGAGTAATCCGGGTGGGCACATGTTTTCTTGATTGGCGCGGTATCCAGTCGTTTCTATAAAACCAAGGCGGACTAGATGGCTCAGGCCGCGGACAGACTTTTGATTTTGGCGTTTGTTCTCACTGTACATTCTTAGTATACTGTACACTTATGACGACTGATGAACAACTATGCGCATTCCATCCTTGATGTGACTGTGATGATGCTGCGTATCTGCTCTAACTCAGGCCTCGACATGACCGATACAGGCAACGCCGTTGTTGAATGTGTTTGTCGCCGCGACCTGGCCGTCTGCCCCTTTGTCAGCCATCATGTCACTCGATGTCATTCTCTACTAGCCATCACTGCCTCTAGTATTTTATGTGATTTTGCTCATGTACACGACTCTACACAGGCCAATGTTGTACAGCTCGCCCGTTTTTTCCCTAATCGTACATTCCACCAACGTACAAGCCTTCCTCCTTCATGCAAACGCGTCCTCTCCAACCGGTATCTCGTCTTCATCTTGTAGATAAAGCCCCTAAGAAGCGACAGACCGTCCCATCCCCGCCTATTTCTGAAACCCTTCCCCGATCTCTTCAGAACCTCGAGCCAGCCCTGCCCTTGCTGCGCGTACCGTACCTCTCCTTCTTCCAAGCAAACACGAGGTGATCGACGTTGCCCATGTCGTGCTTGGGCTTGCGCAGGTACGTCAGGCGGGCGCGGCGCGCGCGCTTGGGACGGCGCCAGACGATGTCGATGCCGATGACGGTCGGGGAGTAGATTTTGTACCACATCTCGACGCCGACCTTCATGAGCTGGCCGCGGAGGAGGATGCCCGTGTCGACGCCGCGGCGGCGGATGGACATGCAGACGCCCGAAAAAGGTTCGCCGGATTTGGTGGTCACCATGAGGACGTCGCCTACTTTTGCGGCGTCGGGGCGGGCTGGGTCGAAGAGGCGGGTGCGGGCGCCGGTCGGGTCGAGGGTTGTGCGTTGGGCGGCGTCGAGGGAGGGGAGAGGGTTCTTGTGGGTTGTTTGGCGGATTGAGGGGAGGGGAGGGTAGACTGCGAAGGTTGGCTTGTTGCGGGGGCCGTCTGTGATGTGGTTTGTTAGCTTTCCGAGGGCTCATGTGGTGTTGTAGATGTCGGATTGGGGCTTACAGTAGGACGGCTTCACTGAGGGCGTCGCCGGTGAGGGTGTAGATGATGGCGGCTCGGGGGCGGCGGCGGTGGCCATGGACCGGGCGAGGAGTCTCTGGTGCCGCGTCTGGCGGAGGGCCGTCTTCAGGCAGCCCATCGGCCGCAAGAGACTTGTGGCGTTCATTGTGGTGATGGTGTCTTGTCGTGGGACGGGACGAGACGAGACGATGCAACTACGTCTGATCGAGCAGGTCGACAGGCAGAGCTTGGTTAAAGGGTTCAAAAAGTTCAAGAGGCTCGAGGTGCGAATTGCGGGCTGTGATTGGCTCGGTGCATCAATGATGCGGAGCCGTCGGGCCGGGAGACTCGTTCGATCCAAAATTTTGGGTGGCTACCCTGCAGGCCATCCCGAGTAGCTCCCTTTTCGCCGACGACGGATAGGAAAGCCTCTGACGAGCTTATACACAACCCAAATCGCCCATCATGTCGAGGATATTAATGGGAAGGGCCCTTAGGGGCGCCAAGGCGTCGGTGTGGGATCAGCCGGCGTGCATGGCCCAGCAGCAGCAGCAGCGGTCCTTTGGTCAGACGCCTGCCCGTCAAAGTACGTCGTCTCTCGATATATTTCTCAATAATCTCCAAAACATGGTCTCCGGCTGACAGCTTGCTTTATTTGCAGACCCCCAAGTCCTCTTCGACAAGACCACGACGCCCGGCCTCGGCCCGATCCTCGAGGAGATCCAGACGAACATCATCCTCCCCTACCACCTCCCCATCCACCAGCGCAAGCGCGTCTTCTCCGAGAAGCTCAAGCACCGCCTCAAAAACGACCCCGTATACCTCGAGATCGATGGCCTCGAGCACCGCTTCAACCACATCAACGAGGAGGCCCTGCCCCCCTCGCGCGACATCACCTGGAAGGCCCTCCGCGCCATGGAGACCCCGCAGGACTGGAACAACTTTGGCCGCCTGCTCTCGGGCATGCGCACCGCGGGGCGCCACTACAGCCAGACGGATTTCGCAAAGATGATTCGCATCGCCGGCCAGCAGGGCCAGATCTACACCATCATCGAGGCGGCGAGACAGGTCCGCAAGACGGGGATGAAGCTCGACAACTCGGAAAAGGTCAACGAGGTGCTGCATTTCGTGCAGATGCGCGCCGTCGAGAGCGAGTGGGACCAGGAGAAGACGAAGCAGGCGCTGCGGTGGGCCGAGATCGTGCTCGAGATGCTCGAGGACAAGGGCCACGCGCCCAACGCCCGCAAGCTCAGAAAGAGGCAGCTCGCCCAAGAGGGCGCCGCGACTCCCGAGCAGGAGCGCTTCGCCCTCTACAACGACCCGCAGATCATCGGCGCCGCGCTGCACCTGTCGGCGGTGCTGGCCGTCAAGCACAACGACAGCAAGGACGTGGACGGCAAGGTCGGCCGCCTGGCCAGGAAGCTCGTCGACCGGTGGCCCGCCGGCAAGGGCCTGCTGCAGCTCCACCCGGCCGAGGCGTACGCCGACCGCGTCGACGGCGTGGCGTACCTCGTGCACAGCCGGACGCAGTACCTCTCGTACGCGAGCCCGATCCTGCACGGCCTGTTCCTGGCCGCGCGCGTGGTGGAGAAGCCGATCGCGGACCGGCTGAATGCCATTGCGGCGGCGTTGGGGCCCGAGGTCAAGGATGTTGCTGAGAACCAGACGTTCCCTGCTGAGCGCGGGCTCAAGACGTACAATGCGCTCTTCGGGTCTGAGTAAGCACATGATGTGTAGGATGAAGCGATGGCTTGGGAGAGGGCGGGAATGACGTGTGATAATAGCAAGGCATGGGGCAGATGATGGAAACGGGGGTGACGGGAAGCGGAGAGAGGGGGACGAGAATCAGAGAGGCTCCAAAAAGGGGCTATGTACAGCTGATATGTAAAATTATCTATGTATACAACACAATACACACACAACCAACGACCAAAGACAAAGGTCCGCTCTACAACCACAACCAACTACATTGCCTCTCAAGGCAAAACAATGTACTTTTCCAAATGCTTCGGTATCGCCCCCAAAAGCTTCTTCTCCTCAAGCCACTTGCGCGAGAACAGCCGCTCGGCATACCGATACGCGCCATCGCACAGGATCGTCACGACGGTGTTGCCCTTGCCGAGCTTCTCCGCCACCTCTTTCGCGGCGACGACGTTGAGCGCCGAGCTGGCGCCGAGGTACAGCCCTTCCTCGTCGAGGCAGCGGTACACCATCTCGATGCTCTTCTCGTCGGCGATGGTCAGCGACCCGTCGACGAGGCCGATGTCGGGCTGCAGGTTGTCCGTGATGCGGCCCTGGCCGATGCCCTCGGTGATGCTGGACCCGCTGCGCTCGACGAGCTGCCCGCCCGAGGAGACGTACGAGTGCAGCACGCTGCCGGGGGGGTCGGCGAGGAAGGACTTGACGCGGCCGCCGGAGACGTCTTTCAGGTAGCGCGTCGTGCCGGCCAGGGTCCCGGCGGTGCCCGTGGCGCAGGTGAAGGCGTCGATCTTCCCCGCCGTCTGCTCCCAGATCTCGGGGCCCGTGGTCTCGATGTGCGCGCGGCGGTTGGCCGTGTTGTCGAACTGGTTCGTCCACACGGCGTTGTCGAGCTTCTCGGCGTGGCGGCGCGCCTGGTGGTTGTAGTTGTCTGGGTTCTCGAACGCCACGGCGGGGACGGGGTAGACCTCCGCGCCGAGCAGCCGCAGGAGGTCGATCTTGCCCTGGGACTGGGTGTTGGGCATGTAGATGACGAGCTTGTAGCCGCGGGAGCGGCAGACGTGCGCGAGGCCGATGCCCGTGTTGCCCGCGGTGCCCTCCACGACGGTGCCGCCCGGCTTCAGGAGCCCGCGCTCCTCGGCGTCCTTGACGACGTAGAGGGCGGCGCGGTCCTTGACGGAGCCGCCTGGGTTCATGAATTCTGCTTTGCCGAGGACTTCGCAGCCTGTTTCGGCGGAGAGGCGGTTGAGGCGGATGAGAGGGGTGTTGCCGATTGCTAAGGGGGGTTCGGTGTCAGTGGACTTTGCTACAGATAGGTTCTTTTCGTCCCTTCCCTCGTGCGAGGTCTGAATTGAGTGCGTGAGGGAGCATACCGCCGGTGAGGCCCTTGACGACGCCTTGCGCGCGGGAGAGGTTGAGGGAGTAAGCCGTCGGCGGGTCAATGGCGCGGACGGCCGTTGTCGCGAAGCGACGGACGGCGATGCGGCTCATTTTGGGCTTTCTAATTGCAGGAGCTACCTCGAGGCAGTGCTCAAATATTCAACTAAATCAGTTGGCCGTGTTGCGGGTGTGTGTAGCAGGAAAAAGAGCTTAGGGAATTTGAGTCCAAGTGATGAGGAAACGGGCCTCCGGCATTCGGCTTTCTAAGCTTGCAAGCATGCATCCGTAGTGGGGTGGCTTTTCTTCAATTGGGTTCAGCTTTGGAAATCACGTCAGAGCCGCTAGCGGCCGTCTGTGTGGGGCGCGCGGGTGACGGGGCCGGGGGCCGGCAGTCGGTGACTACGACGGCCGAGCCGGATTGACTCAATTCTTTATGCATGTTTCTCAAGATTGTTGATTCGGACTGTGACATCGAGATCCGGTTCAAAAGCATCGTGGTTAAAAGAAGCTCCACGGAGCGATCCTCAATGAACCAAGAATTATCCATTTCGCCTATTAACGGGAGAGTATCCGAGATGGGGATACGTGCGCGTCCAAGTCGCCGTTGCATTCATCACGGCTTACTATTCAGGCTCCCCCCAATGACCACCGACCGATTACTATCCTGCATGATCATCAAGCCGCCTTACGTACGGCGATGGGAACAGTCCCTTCGCACCCATGTACACCCCAAAGAACCAGTCCCCGTTCACGTCCTCAATCTCCCGGATCTCGGCCCCCTTGGGGAATAACAGCTCGTCCTCGGCCTTGGGATACCACGCCCACGTCGCCGTCGCCCTCATCCCGACGCCGCCGTCCGCAGGGAACCCCTGCGCAAGTCCCTCGCCCGTCGGCGCGTCCGCCGCGACGTCCCTGGTGACGAAGCGCTCCCGTGTCTGCCCGCCCTCGTGCCACCACCATTTCTGCGGGGCCTGTTCGTCGGTGCCGTCCGACTGGGTAATGCGGAGGTTGCGGCCGCCCACGAGATCGGATAGTATGTGCCGCAGCTGCCCGCCCGGCCCGTCGCGGAAGCCGACCACGATCATGCGGTGGCCGTTGAGACACCGGCGCCAACCCGCGTGCCCGTTCTCGGGGCTGATTTGGTCGCGCGCTTCGAGGTTGGCGTAACAATTCGTGCATACATCATAGTCGCCGGGTTGCGTGTCCGGCTCGATTGAGCTGGTGCAAGTGAAGCAGTGATATCGGCTGTGGTTGGGAGAGATGGGGTCCTGGCAGACGTCACAGCGCGTCGTGAACGTCAGGGGCTTAAAGGGGCCGATATTGTGAATGTTAGGACCCGTCAGCACAGCGGCCGCGTGAGGCGGCTGAGGCGATCTGGGACTGGCAGGCGGCGTGTGTGACGGCTGAGGCTGGTATGTCAGAGGCAGCAGCGGATGTGTACACGATCGTCCCTGGTTCACACAATTATTGCAGAAACCCCAGTCGCCAAAGTTGCAAAAATCGCAGCGCCAGAAGCACTCGTTCGCCCAGGCCTGGCATCGAGCACAGAAGTTGCCGCTTTCCAGCCGCTTCATCGGATCGTCAGTCGTGAGAGTTCGCCTGCCTTCCGCTCCACCCGGGATGATCTTTGGCTGGAGGTAACGATTCGCCGTCAACATGTGAGGTCTAGGGATATCCTCATGTGCCGTATGCCGAGCCTTTTCCCACTTGGCCCACGCTCCGTATCCGAAACCAAACCAGTGCAAGCAGCCTTTGCCCGACCTGTAGCAGTCGATGCATATGTTCCAGTTACCGCTGGCGCAGATGCCACAGTTGTAGTGTAGCTCGTACTCGATGTGCTGCTTCGCGCAGCGCGAACACGTAATTGAGGGCTCCGGGTACAGCTGCGAGCGTGTTCGATGATGGCCGGGGGTCGTCGGGCTCCCGATACCCAAACCCAAACCTAGCCCGACGGGGCCTGAAGTCGCTTGGCTGATGATGGACAAGTCTGCCGGCCGGTTTGGTCGCTGCAGCCGAGGCGATAACGGCTCGATGGGCGGAGACGCGGCAAAGTTGGAAGACACCAACGCAGAGGAATTCGTCATGCGGTTGGCAAAGGTCAGCTCGCGCGGTGCTGGCGAAGTGGTGGTCGTCGGTGACTGCGTCGTGGTAGGTACTGATGGCGTGCTCGAGCTTCTCGCCTCGGTGAAGACGGTTCTCGGGGCGACTGCTTCACCAAAATGCGTTCGTGACGACAGATCGGTCTGCGATCGAGTGGCGACGCGGGTCTCGGACTGCGTTGCTGGAAGGGGTGTCGTCGCGCTGCGGCCGCCGCTCGAGGTTCGCCTCCGTCGCCGCCTCTCCTCTGGTCGAACTTCAAGATGCAGGGCGCTCTGTGAGAGTGGCGGCCGGCTGCGATCGTCGGGAAACCCAGTTGCACTAGTTGACCTTGAGTGCGGCCGTTGCCTGCTACTGGGCCTGCTTGTGTCTGATGTACTTGACCTAATCTCCTGCACACGATCTGGAGAGTGCCTGGACTGGCCACTGGTGTCCCTTCTCCTCGTTCCTTCGGCCCTGGTGCGCTCTCGTTCTCGCTCCCGCTCCCGTTGCCGTCGTCTGTAAGCTTCTGTAATCTTCCGACTCAGCTCATCGTTCCGGCTCAGGTCGATGTTGTCTAGGTCGAGCCCATCCAACAAACCCTCTTCCTGGATTTGTCTAGCAAAATCCTCAATTTCCTTCTGCACGTCGCGCTCGCTCAAATCGCTCGAGCTTATGAGTGATCTGAGTGACGACTGGTGCTCGATTTGCCGACGCCTCATGTCGGATGACTCCTGGGCACGCTGTCTCGACTCACTCCTTCGTCGTCTTCTTTGCTCGCCCGACCTCGGATCCGGCTGCAGCTGGTCCCCAGTAGGCCTCCCTTCGTCGTCTCGCGGTCTTCGACTGCCCTCATGTCTGTGGGTGTGGCGGCTGTCCCGACTGTGATCCCGGCTCCGTCTGGTTCGTCCATCGGCAGAGCTGCTGTCCTCTCTCCGCCGTCGATGTCGATGTCCCGAGGAAGAGTCTACTCCGGCGTCTCTGAGGCTCATCTCCCGCACATCTTCCAGCAACCTCCTTTCTTCCTCGTCTGCGCGCCTCTCTTCCGGCGTTCTCTCGGGAATCTTGACTTCTGGCAGCACCTGATCACCCGGCTTGTACTTCTTCACCATTTCCGCCACGTCGGATTCGGATCTCCTCCTGTCCGGGTTCGCAGCCACAAACATATCGAGGAGAGTGGCGACGGTGGCATTGTGCCTCGTATCGCGAACCTGCGCACGACATGACGGGCAGGTGAAGATGTTTGTCCCTGGAGCGGGCGGGGTCGGTGAGTTCTCGGCCTGCTGCGCTTGGAAAGAAAACCAGTCCTTCAAGCAGGCACCGCAATACGTGTGTAGACAATCGAGCAGAGTCAGAGGCTGGTAGAGGAGCTCGGTGCATATCTAGAAGGCAAAAAGAAAAGTCGGTCAGCGCACATATAATCTCTAGAGTCCTGCAGAATCCAATGGGGGTTTGAAAAAAAGTGCCCCTCTCCTAGGGCGGCGCTACAGAGCGTTGGATCAGACGACACTTACAGAGCACGTCAACTCCCTCTCCAGATCGAGTGCGGGCTTTGAGGAATCCATGCAGGAACTATCGCTCCGCGCGATCCCTGGATTGCCGGACACAAAGACAATGTCATGAGGAGATTTGGCCAGCGGGATCGCGAGGGGAACATGTCGGTTTAAGGCTGGCTGTCAGGCGAGCCTTAGGTGAGGTGGGTGGCGGGGCCGAAAGCTGGGCGCGCCGTGGCCGCTGCAGCACAAGCACCTCACAGGCTCAAAGGCTTACAGGTTCAGGAAGGAAAAAAAGGTGTGTAAGGGGTCAGAAATGGTCAGAGACCGCCCTGTGAGGTGACCCCGACAAATGGATTGGATGCTAAGGGACGGGTCCAGCGGCCTACAGGCCACGGCTGCCCGCTGGCTGCCCCAAGTTGGGTGTCAACCCCACGTTGGTTCCCGCCCGCCGCCGACCCCTACCCCTGCCCTTAGCTTCAAAAAGCATCCCAACTCCCACGCGGAGCCAATAAGCTGAGATCATTGCAACCCCTCCGCTACTTTTTGGGACGGGCTAGCCCCCTGTAGGTTCCAAGTAATACGAACTCAACGCCCACCGACTCTCCGGACTTCTTCAGACTGAAGGTTAAACCTGCGTATTCTCGGCGAGGCATGTGAGCTGCTCGTAACGGTTGAAGACACTTGGGTTTATGTGGTTCTCTAGGCATCGGCTAAGGTAGGCGAAGAATCTCGGGACTAAAGTCATCATGCATGCAAGCGAGTGCTGTACGAGAGAGAGACCCCGAAAAGTAACATCACCCTTTTTCCTGCAGAGCAACACAGCCAAGCAAAAGGCGGTGCTGGGCTGACTGTGTGCTCTTACCTGGTCTTATTCATGCCGAGCAGTCTGACGGATTTCCCCAAACACACGCACGCATTCATTTGCCCAAGATCATGGTTGCACAACATCATGTCTTTGCCAGACTCGGCTATTTCGCATACAACTAGTCTTTCACAAGCATTACGCCCTCAAGAGTGAGTCCACTCTGCCTTCTTCTTCTCTGCGAATGCCTTCATGCCAATCTTTTGGTCGTTGCTGCCGAACAAGCTGTGGAACACTCTCCGTTCGAATTCGACACCATCCCTCAGAGGCAGGTCCTGGCTCTTGTTCACAACTTCCTTGCACGCGTTGATGGACACCCTCGAATAGCCGGCGATGGTCTCTGCCGTCTTCAGCGTCTCCTCCATGAGAACCTCGTACGAAGGGAATGCCTTGGCCGCAAGACCCCACTTCTCGGCATCGGCACCACTGAAGGACTTGCCCGTCAGGATCAACTCCATGGCCTTGGACTTTCCGATGGCCCGGGTGAGTCTCTGGCTGCCGCCGGCACCCGGGATCGTGCCGAGCTTGATCTCGGGCTGGCCAAAGTTGGCAGTCTCGGTGCAGTAGAGGATGTCGCACATCATGGACAGCTCACAGCCTCCGCCGAGCGCGTGACCGGAAACGGCGGCGATGATGGGCTTCTTGACCTCGGTGGTGAGGAGCGACCACGACTCGATGAAGGACTTGGTGTACGCCTCGGAAAAGGTAAGAGGAGCCATCTCCTTGATGTCGGCACCGGCGGCAAAGGCCTTTTGGGAGCCGGTCAGAACGATGACGGACGTTTCGTCCGACGCGTTGAAAGCCCTCAGCGCATCGTTGAGCTCATGGATGAGGGGAGTGCAGAGGGCGTTCAAGGCCTTGGGGCGGTTCAACGTCACTAAAGTGGATCATGGTGAGCTTCGTCGTCGTAGAGTGATGATTGATTACGGCTGAAACAGTATTTACCTTGACCAACACCGGGCTTGGGCTGAGAGACTTGAATGAACTCGTATGTCTTGCTGGCGAATCCACGTGAGAGTCTGGGCAGCGTCGGCGCCTGCATACGCGAGGCCACCGGCCGGAGGTATCTGAGTGAGTTCATGGTGAGGCAGATGAGAGCTGGGGAAGACGCTCAATGATATTATGTTGTGAGCTGTAATCTACACAAGATGATTGATCTTGACCTCAATTGATAGAGAGATGTCGTCTAAGTAAATGACACGAATTGTTGATGGAGCTGTGATGTAATGGGTAGGTCAAGCTCCATTTGACGTTTAATCCAAGCTCGAGGATAGCTGGAAAGCATCGGCTCTGTAAAGCCGAGGATACAGTCGGGCGAGGCACAGACACTCGCCGCGCACTGTGACAGCTTCCCCCGCGTCACAGGCTCGATCTTCCAACACCGCATTCACCTGTATTCGTACCTAAGCAGCGGGATCCTGGGCAGATACGGACCCTCTGGCTGGTTCCAGGGTGCAGGCTGCGCCACAGGGGCTGGTTCGGGCCATTTCCAGGGGATCCAATCACTGACGGGCGCAATCCAATCACTGGGCCGGATAAGATTCGGGCGAAAAAGCAGGCGCGGTGCAGCGCGCTGCCAATCTCAAAGGGAAGGGACACTTTTGTTGCAAGCCTTACGTGGCTTGAATCCATCTCCAGAGATCCCGTCAACCCAAAAATTCGTCCTGACAGATCGCGACAGCGCAGCGGCGGCCTCTTCCCACAGCATCGTCATCCCAGCTTTGCACCCTCGTTAACGGCTACATATCCACGCCAACCCACGCGAACAAGCTCATTGCACGAGTATCCCACCAAAAAGTTCATTCGCGCAACGACCGCCCAAGATGGACTCTGCCGAGCCGGAACAGACTGCATTCTCGTCGGTCACAGCCCACACCTCGAAGCTGCAAAGAGTACGGCCACGATGATTCCCCCCGAGTCTGCCAGCGACGTCTTGCTAATTCCCATCGCAGCAATACCAAGCGCTTCTCGATCAGTCAACCCCCTTTGTGCTTTACAGATGGATCGCCACGGGCGTCTGCCTCCTGGGCTTCTTCGCTCGCATCTTTGTGGCGCAGGGCTGGTACATTGTCGCCTACGCTCTCGGAATCTACCTGCTCAACTTGTTCCTGGCCTTCTTGCAACCCAAGTTTGACCCCTCCAACGAGGCTATGGACACTGAGATGGAGGACGGTGGTGTCGGCATTCTCCCCACCAAGCAGGACGAGGAGTTCAAGCCCTTCATCCGCCGCCTCCCCGAGTTCAAGTTCTGGTACTGGGCCACCCGCGCCATCGCCATCGCCTTCTTCTGCAGTTGGTGGGAGATCTTCAACGTCCCCGTCTTCTGGCCCGTCCTGGTCATGTACTGGTTCATCCTCTTCTTCCTGACGAGTACGTTTCCCACCCCCACGCCTTGTCTCCCTGGCATTTCACCCTGGCACACAGCTGACCATCCCCCCTTTGCAGTGCGCAAGCAGATCCAGCACATGATCAAGTACCGCTACGTTCCCTTCACCTTTGGCAAGAAGAACTACGCCAAGAACAGCTCCTGAAGGGGGGCCACGCAACTTTACGACGCGATGGAATCAGCGGGTTTTTACGAGGGACAAATGTCGTTGTCACGCCCGTCGAGGTGGGACAAGTGTAAGAGTCTAGGCACGTGGAAGGGAAGAAAAATTAGACAGTGCGCGAGGATGAATACACATTTTTGACGAAGTCTGGATGGCGACGATGGGCGAAGGCAAACTGTATGTACCTATAGAAAGGAGGCCACGGGTATGAGTGCATGGATGGTTGCGACGGGCCAACTACACGGGGCGCATCAGGAGGTCCTCCTGCACGGTCGGGAGCCATTGCCCCGTTGATGAGTGACGGTTTTGCTTTGAAATCATTCATCTCATACTACGTATTGTAATAGAGAGGACAAATCTGTCTCTGATTCTTCATCCACGACATGGCGTCTTTTTTTTTTTTTGTCGTGGTGTCCGTCAACGTCAAGCTTGACAGCTTTGGGGGTGCTGTGTCTTCGTCTGATAGAGCTGATAAGGCCACAGGTCGAGGTCCGGGCGTTTGGCTGGCGCAACTACAGTGTAAAGGTAAGGTGCCCCAGACTCCAGCCTCGTGGAACTTTTCTGGGCCAATTGCACCTTCCTACTCAACGCGACCGCGACGACGACAGCTCCCCGCTGCCAATACTCGAAGCCACCCTCTCCTCCTGAGCAACTCAATTCAAACCTCAATTGCGACGCAGATATCGAAACGATACCACCAAACGCACAAGCATTTAAACGGCCACGATGTCGTCCTCGGCGCCTCGCGGCGGCGAGCGCATGATCCATCAGGACTTCATTGCCAGAATCCGATACTCCAACGCCCTCCCGCCGCCCCCTAACCCTCCCAAGCTCCTCGACATCCCAAACACCGGCCTGGCTAGCGGCCAGTATACGACGCCGGGATTTGCATCACGTCTGGCGAGAGAACAGCCTCTCAACATCGAGGTCGATGCGGAGCTCGGCATGCCCTTGGACTTGGTGGGCATGCCGGGTATCTTTGACGGAGACGAGAGCTGTAAGCGCGGCCGTATTTCGCCAAAGGGGAGCTCAGTACTGACATCGATACAGCTATTCAAGCCTCTTCGCATCCGCCTGCCGTTCATCCTCACGATAGAGCCCTCCTGAGACCACTGTCGACCCTTGGCCGAGCTAAGAGCAACGCCGACGCATCAGTCTCCTTCCTGAGAAGAACAGAATACATTTCCTCCGTGGCACCCAGAAAGGCTGGTGTCGCCGCGGGAGCATTCATCAACCCCAAGATCAAGCGCGCAGAGAAGCGTCGCTCCCCCGAGCCGGACAAAGACTCACCGGCCGCCATCAGACGCAAGATCGAAAAGAGCTTCGAGAGCGCCGAGCGCTTCCTCAGCAACCCGACCCGCCATCGCCACCCGAGCAAACCAAACGTCCATCTCACGCAGTCTCTGCCGCTGCTGCCCGACCACGACGCCTTCCCCGACTCGGGCGCCTACGTCACCGTCAAGCTCCTCACGAACCCCGTGGCCAGCGCCAACAAGTACGACAGCCGTCTGCTCAGCGGTCTGCTCCGCCCGCTAGACAGGAGCCCCGAGGAGAACGAGGCCTTCCAGGCCGCCGTCGAGGCCCACGAGCGCGATCCCGCACGCAACCCCAAGCCCGCCAACCTGATGGACTACAGCTTCTTCCTCCCCAAGACCAAGACGACGGGCGACAACTTCCGGGCCAAGTTCGATCCGGAGAACCCCGACCGCGACGACGAATCGCTTTACACGTACCAGAGCGGCTCCAACCCGTGCTTCCAGTTCTCGCGCCTGCGTGCGTATGAGACGACAAAAGAGATTGAGCTGGACCACAACACAAAGTACAGCGAAGAGGTCATTCTCGCCTTCAACGACGAGCCCTCCGCGGGCGGCAGGCCCAAGGCGGCGTACTACTACCCGGTCATCCAACGCACGACCATCCGCCCCCAGCGCGCCAAGAATATCGCTCGTACCCTTAGTCAGGTGGACGACGAGACGCAGGTTGTCAACGAGGTGGAGATCTCCATTACCGATCCCAAGGGGGCCCCGGCCGAGAACATGAAGCGGTACAAGGAGAAGCCCATTGGCTATGTCGAAGAGGCCGAGCCGGTTGAAGAGACTTCTCGTGCGCCTGGCACGCCCTCGGACCGGGACGCTGATGGCGATGCTGATGCCGATGAGGAAGATGAGGACTGAAGAGGTGGCGTGTTGAGTTGAGGGTGAGGCGCGGTGATGTAACATCAGTTCCTTTTTCACAAACCATTTAGGCGTTTGGACGTGAAGAATCAAAACAAAACAGGGCAGCCGCGATGGTGGCCATCTTAGACTTCATGGATGTCCCAATGATGGAAATGACTCTACCAGATTGATAAACTGTCATGGCAGTACGGTCAATTAATGCATTGGTTAGTGACTTGCTTACCACAGCCATTGACAAAAGAACAGAAAACAAAGCAGAGAATGGGTTGAAGTAATACGTTGTCATGACTTTGGATTAAGTATATGTAGCTCTTCTCATACAGCGGCTCGAGCTCGGCGAGGTTCTTTTTTCCCCCGACTCGTTCCCCATCATGTGTAATTTCTGGCATAGACGGTCCTCTCCTGTTAACCATACTTTGTGTGGAGACCGAGCAGAAATGGGTAAGAAAAGTTACAAAGAAAGCAAAAAATCTCATGTGGTATAAGGGAACAACAGACAGACTCTCTAAGAACGGGGGAAAAAAAAATAACAACGAAAAAACAGACTTTGATATCGTCCCGTCCTCCTCTCCCTCCCGTTTCATAGCGTAAAAATGTTTACCCAGAGAACTCCTTTTTTTTTCTGCTTTTTTCCCCATTGGGGAAAAGGAAAAAGAAATACATAGAAGACGCAAAAAACGTGAATCTGGCCAACGGTGATATGTGGCCACCTGGCAGGCACGAACGCAGCAGCGAGCGTCTACGCCGGCGGTTCTGGGATGGTTTCGACGGCGAAGCCGATGTTATCTCTATTGTCGTCAATGACGCGACCGTATCTAAGTCGAGTTAATTAGCAAATTCATAAAGTTCTTTCGTTGGTAAAACTCACTCTAAAAGGAGGCGGAAGAACCAGACCTCCATATCCTCCTTGCGAAGCACCTTATTCGCCCAGTCGCGGCTGCTGAGAGCCATGCGCTCAGCCTCATTGCGCCCCAGCGCGCCGTCGCCAAAGAAGCGAACGCTCTCGAGCCAGTCGTCGCCCTGCAGGCTCATGGGGATGTAGTGCGCCCAGGGCTTGAGCCACTCAAAGTGCCACTCGCGGAAGATGGCGAGCTTGAAGACGAGGGAGCGCGACTGCAGGAAAGCATAGAAGCGTCCCGAAAAGGCGTTGCCGTCCATGTCGAGGAGGTACTTGTACTTCCAGGCATCCTGCTGCTCGGCGTGGCCTTGGATCTTGAAGAACTCCTTTTCGGCGTCGCAGTCGCCCGGGTCGCACTGCCCGACGTGCGAGAAGAAGACGTCGACGATTTCGCGGTAGTCGCCGCGAGGCACCTCCTTCACCTCCCACTTGGGAGTCTGCTCGTCGCCGCGGTTGATGTAGATCTTTGCCTGGTCGGCGGCGTTGAGCTTCTGCACGAGGTGCTGACGGTGCTGGCGGCGCCAGCCGCCATTGCGGGAGAAGCCGCCCGTCGTGGAGCCGCGCCAGTAGAGGCGGTCCTGCTTCTGCTCCCAGAGCATATCCTTTGACTCGTCGTAGGCGACCTTCTTATACCAGTACCAGGGCGAAGGATAGAGGATATCGTTGTAGGAGGAGATCTTGGACTGGGAGAAGATGGGGAAGAGGTCGTGGACGATGTTGTAGGCGTTGGGGCGATCGAAGAAGCCGTAGGTCGCGCTCAGGGAAGGCGAGAGGCAGATGTCCGACATGGCGGTGACGTTGTAGACGAAGCCGAGCTCGCTGACGCCGTACTTGCTCATGTCGTCGGACAGCTCGTCGTCCTCGAGACCGCGCGAGGGGCTGTCGGGTGGGCAGGACATGCGAGAGTGCGTCCAAGTGGGCTGGTGGGCGAAGACGTTGAAGCGGGTGCGCTTGTACTCGTCGATGATGTTACCTTCGCTAAGACCGGCCGCGCGCTTCGTAAAAGCGTTCTCCGGGTTAATGGCAGCGTTCGCCTTGGGCATGTTGACGTCCTTGGCGCGGCTGACGAGGCGTGCGAGGTCCTCGTGAGGGACGACCACGCGCGGCTCGTCGTGGATGTTGAAGGCGATGTCCATGCTGGGCAGGTGCTCGATAAACTTCTTAATCATGCCAGAGGTGGCATCGCGCTGCCAGTCCGAGCCACCCTGGATGTGCTTGATCTTGTGGTCCCGGAGCAGGAGGCCGATCAGCTTGTTATCGAAGCCCAGAGCCTCCCGCGCCCGCTCCCGTATCGTCGCCGGCTTCAGACCCCAGAAGGGCGTGAGCATCTCGTGTATCATGTCGAACTCGTCAATGAGCTGTACGCCGCTGGCCTTTGCGAACTCGAACCACTTGTCAAAGTTGGGGGGCGGCGGGATGTTGTAGCGGCGCTTGTACTCCTTGACGGCTTCCTCGAGCGTCTTGGACTGGCGCTTCAGCGTATCCTGGAACTCCTTTTCGGCGCTCGTCATGAGGTGCCACATGGGGTGTGACCCGGTGCCGCCAGCGGACTTTGGTCGTCTGTCGGGAGGAGGGGCGGCGGCGGCGGCATCGTCACCGAGTGTCTGTTGATCTTGCGGGGGCGGAGGGGGTTTGTCGGAGCCTGGTATGGGGACTGGCGGTCGTCGATCTGAGGGAAGTGTGAATACTGTGTATGCGCATATCAACAGGAAGACGAGAAGAATGACGACCGTCCATTGACGACGGCGCATGGTTGGTTGCTGGCTGTCAGCCTGCCCCTTTTGTGGCGGCGGGCTACGTCGCTTTTGTCTCTCGAGCCTTGGTCGGGTGCTTTCGGGGGGTGGTGGAAAGGGCCAGCAGTTTTTCGCAGTTCGCCCTATTGCGTCGATGGGGATGAAGGAAAGAAAGACGGAATGAGTTCAGGGCCTCATCGCAGGAGTAAGCAGAGATGCCTCACGAAGTAGAAATGGAGGCAGAGCTTCGTAAGGTAGTGAATACGTCGTGGATAAAGGAAAAGTATCCTTGTGGTCTGGTTTGGTATCGGTGGTAGTGGTGGTAGTGGTGTTGGTAGTACCTTACTGTGTACGTGGTGCATGTGCTACGTGCTCACCCATTGGATGCAAGTGCCAAACTCAGGTTTCCATTGGATCTGGGCCCGGCGGACACTAATGTCAAGGAAGTCTGTGGACTTTTGGGTGGTTGACGTGCCCCTAGGGGAAAAAAAAAAGTCGCCTGAAAAAGAATATGGCTTAGAACCTTGGTGCAGCGCGTCCGTGGACCTTGGTTCCTTGAGTAGTGGCGCCGCGCCCTTGGTGGCAGGGGTTGTAATTGGACATGCTTGGGACAGGGGAGGAGCTTAGTCTTGGGGGGCACCTCAAGATTCTGGGGGGGGCAGGGGCTAGGCTTCTGAAAGACTCATAGACTGAGCCTCCTTTGGAAAGCTTGGTGGGAACGACTACTATTTTCATGACGCTTCCATAATAAGAGTATGGCAGACCAGGGGACGCAAGACATTTCCAGAGCAAAGCAGTGGGCTGACACTCAACCGGTAAGGTAAGGTAGGGAGACATCGAAGTACCGGCGTCGACAGCACAGCGACTTTTGACAAGTCCCTTGCACCGTACCTGCTCCCCGGAAAGTCCCCCTGGGAAAGTATAAGATACAAGAACCAGCTTTCCGGAATTTCGCCCGCAACTAGCGCATCTCTTGAGTCGGACTGAGACACGACAACTGGAATGGGGAGACAAAGACCTCTTTGCTCGCATTTTCCACTGAAAGAGAGAAAAAAACAGACAGATCGCCGGGTTGTGGGGGTGCAACTGGGACACCAGGACACTTTTGGGTGAAAAGCCTTTGACCCGCTCGATTCTTCGAGCCATCTTTGTGTGACCGTGTGAATCCGCAGGATTCTTCTTGGCCAAAACATCATTTCATCCAGAAACGTTGGAGGCGTCGAGAGACATATGTCTCTACGCCTACGCCATTTTTCTTGTCTCGAACGGGAGTGGTCCGCTCAGGGGAACACAAGGCTTACCTAAGGCAAGGAACCTTGGACAATTGCCGGTATTACGAGTCCCCGAGATCTGGATTGCTTTGGTCCATGAGCCGCGTTTGTCAAATTGCGATGCATTTCAGACGCCAAGTCTCCAGGTCCTAGACTTGCTTGACTTTCTTTTTTTCCAAATGCATGCAGAAAATATGCAGGAATTACCTACGCATCTGCAGGTATTGGCGGGAAGGATGCGCAAAAGAAAAGGTTCCCAGAACTATGCGAGCTGGCGCAAACCGTAGACTCGCCGACCTCATCTTCGTCCTTGTTGACATATTTAGATCACCACTGGAAGTTACATCAAACAAATTCCAAGTCCCCAAAACTTCAAACTCATAAAAAGGGAATGTTTGGTGAGTCTGCCATCTACACCAAGACTCTCGAGAAGCAGCTTTCAAAAACAATGCACGGCATACCTGCATCGCAGCAACGGCCCATCACGTGGAGGGCACAGAGGGCATAAATGCTACGGCCGAGACCGCAAAAACCGCCAGAAGCGGAGCCAAAATGCCCTCGAGATATCGCAAATATGCACGACATACTTGCATTGCAGCGTCTCGCCATCACGTGTGCGTGGTCGCAGAATGGGCCTCGCTTCTGTGCCAATGTATGCCGTTTCGGGTAGTCAAGGTGAAGGGGCTGAGACGAATCATTCGTGAGGGCCTCACCGAGAGTTGATCTTGCGGCCTCGGGGTGTTTTTCTAGGAAGACAGGCACTAGTTCTAAAGGTGAAATATCAACGTTGGATCCCCGGTCTAAGATGAAGCTTCGTGTTCTCCGAGTGCCCGGCGTCGAGGTCATGTTTCTGATAATCCATGGTGACCTCTGCCTCCTTGACAGCGTGAAGTCAGTGCCAAATAAAAGGGTTGCGAGAACGACGAATGCCGATATTGAAATACCGACCAAATACTGTCGCTGAATCCGAACCCCATCAGACGCATCTCTCATTCCTGAGGTTCGATGTAGATGAGCTGGTCAACCGGCTAACGAGACAGTCCGCCGATGCCCTGTTTCTTATATAGCCACCACTCATGATTCTGGCCTATCGGGCTTCTGAGTCATATTACACGGAGAATAAAAACGGAGAGCTGGAGAGGGGAAAGATAGGGCAATTACTCTTGACAGTAATGATCGATGAAATCGAGACTTATCCCCGAAACAGTAAATTATGTCGTGACCCGCATGTATCTGATCCAGACAGCTGGCAATAGCATTTCCGGGTGTCTCAATGCGAAGATATACAAAATAGCTGACCAATTACGAAGTTATAGTGTCAAGAGTGCCAACATACATCAATTCCCGTACATCAAGGAGTATTTGCAGGACGCAAACTTGACGAACCCGACTCCCGAATCTATCACCATACTGTCTTACGAACCCGTGGTTGACTAGACAGTGCTGCGTGTGCCGAGACAACCAAAAGTCGATGATACATTCGAGAGAGATGGCTTCTGCAGAACTGCCAACCGGAAAAGGGGTCGCGAAATTCACAGGCAGAAAAGATTCACTCCAGCAAATACATGGTAAAGAGCATAGCCCTGAGCAGCTTGGAAATATATGATCAAATCCATCACTTTTGACGGCAGTTAGCCAAGATTTCCCTCCCATCATCTATACATCACATTCGGCCGCACCCTCATCTCCTCCGGCACCTCCTCCAACCCATCCATCGGCCTGAGCAGCACATCCGACCCGCTCGCAACGATACAATACCTCTCCCGCAACGCCATCGTATCCTCCAAGATACTCGACGGCATCTTCTCGTCCCCCGGCGGCGGGCTCCGCATCGCCAGCGCCAACAGCTCCGGCGTCGACTCCCAGCTCTTGCTCGTGACGCCCACGACGAGACTCCACGCCATGAACGCCACCGCGACGGCGCAGTACACGAACAAACCCACCATCGAGTACCTGACGGTATCGTCCCCGGCAGAGTACGCGAACCCCTTCATCTCGCCCCGGAAATGCAGCTTCTGCGCCGCGGCCCGCACGCCCTCGGGCACGTCGAACGCCGTGCCGGACTCGGGGAACCCGAACTGCGTCTTGCGCGGGAAGAAGTTGCGCCACCAGGCGCCGTCGGCGTCCTTCAGAGTGATGATGGGTTTCGCGGCGGGCGCGGTGCGGGACACGCCGTTGGCGAGCATGGCGTTGATGAGCGTCTCGACGTGGCCGACGGTCCAGGGCAAGCCTAGCGTAGAATCGACGAGCCGTGCTGAAGAGGCGAGGCGCTGGAAGACGGTGGTGCCCTCGGTGTCGACGGCCGCGTTGGTCAGGTTCGCAAAGGAGGTGTCGATGAGGACTTTGCGGCTGCCGGGCTTCCAGGTCACGGGGAAGGGCCAGCCGTCTGTCCAGACGTGGTTGTCTATGTTGATCCAGGTGTTGGCGCCGATCCATTCTGCGTCTGTGAGGCATCCGTAGACGGCGATTCCCCCTTGGCGCGGGAGGGAGATGATGGCGCCGATGGAGACGTTGGCGGCTAGGTCTCCTTCTGGGTCGATGTTGAAAAAGGACAATTGGGGACTCGTGTCGTTGAGATTTGTCCAGAAAGCTTGCGTTGTCGGGTTCTCTAGGGCCATGATATCAGTGTTATTGGTGAAAGAGGCCTCGTTCCGAACTTCTGGAAAGTTGACAAAACCACGACGATCACCGGACGTGGCGTTGTTGCCATCGATCATGGTAACGCGGCATCGGGTCTCCATGGACGAGAGCTCCTGGAACGTCGAGTACCGATAGTCCGACCCGCGATAGTACTTCTTCTCCTTTTGATCCATCAACGTAAGGGCATCCTGCCAGAGCATCGTAGTAGCTGCCAACGTGGCACCCGTCACACGATGCGGCAGCGTCATACGAGACTCGGCCCACCCGCGCGGCACACCCGGCTCGCGGACGGACATTGACAACTGCAGAATCGATTCCGGCGTGGCAAGCGGAAAGAGCGCCGGTATCCGGATGTACGATCCCTTTGTGACGTTGAGAATGGCCTGGTCCGGGAGGTAACTCACGAGATGCGTCAACGAGTCCCATCCGGCGGACGGGCAGTCGAGGTTGCCGGCCCTCTCGCACACGTCGCCGGCCACCGTATCCGCCGCCGTCAGCGTCCGAGGAAAGATGTCGGCGCCGGCTTTATCAATGTACACCCACGAACCGCCCATCATCCACCAGTCGTTCAGGGGCGTCAGAACGGTGGCCGTCGCTGGCGCCACGACGACGGCCAGGACGCAGCACATGACGAGGAAGGAGACGAAAAAGACCTTTTTCCAGACGGTCGAGAAGCGGCCCCGCAGCATGGCCGTCATCTCGTCGGACCACAGGAACTCGGGCGAGCTGAAGCTATTTCCCGCGAAAAAGGCCGCCAACGGGGTCCCCTGGCCGAGCGTCACTTCGCGACGGACAAAGGTGAAGATCATGGTGGTGAGGGAGCCGATGATCATGATCTCGAGGAATTTGGCGGCGAACTGGATCAGCAGGTTGGCCGACTTGTCCCACTCGCGGTTCGGCGTGAGGTCCGCGCCGATCCAGTACTCGTGGTAGATGAGGTGGCTCATGATGGCGGTGGCGACCAGGGGCGGAACGTGGACCATGATGGCGAGGAGGGCCATGGGCCTGTTCTTGAAGATGACGACCTTTGTCTGGTTGCGGATCGAGTCGCGGACATTGTAGAAGAGACGGTATAGAGAGTGGAAGCTCCATGCTTTGAGCGTGTTTTGGAGGACAGCTCTGAAGCTGAGCTTGCCTTCGTACACTTCGTAGGGAGTCGTTTGGTCGTTGAGTCTGGCCTACAGGTTAGCAATTATAGCCTTACTTGTGTTATTTGTGCCCCAGCTTGAGGTCTAGTTCTGTGTCATGGGCAACTGGGACTATAATCACCTCTCTGTATCTTTGTAATCATGAGTGTCATTTTTGTCTAGGGAAGTTCCTCGACGTCCTGGCGGGCCGCCATCTTGTGGATGCAGAAGAGGGACGAGAGGCTCCCCCCTTTCACCAGTCAAACGAACTTCAGGCATTGTGAGACTTTTCCTTTTTACCGAGCATCAATCGACAATGACATCTCTCTCAAAGCACTTAGTGAGCTCGGAAGCTTGTGTTCACATATAAGTTGTTCTCCTCCACCGCAGCATCTTCAGCTCACCACGAAAAGGGAACTTTGACTGCGGCCGACAGGGGCATGATGCAACATTAGAGGACAGGGTGCTGGCCAGGCACCAAGATAAAGTCCTCCAAGCCCGGCTCCGGTGAAGCGCTTAAGCCGTGGCAGCAACAATATTATTGGATGTTGAATTCGAGATCCGCTTTCGGGAACGGCCTGAAGCTGTCATGTTGCGAAGCCGCTCATGCGTGTCAGACTGTAGAATCCTTCCGTTGAACACCCAACCTCTTTGAGGCCCTTTGGGAGCATGGCAAGCAAGGCTGAGGAGCCATATCCCTGTGTGAGTGTCCGGTTTGGAGGATTTTCGGTACCCAGTTTCATTGCATACGTGCGTTAATTCAATGCCTCTGAGTTTCTCATTCCGAGAACATCAGGTCATCAGCCAACGTCGTTGAATCAAGTTCGAATCAAGGTCTGAGCTGGGCTCTCAGCGCCTAAGGAATAAGCTTGTTGTACCGCAGGCGCAGGGACCCGCCTTGGGCCCGGCAGCCCGCAAGATCTCGCTGAGGTAATCAGTACCTATCAAGACCCCCACGTCCTGATAGTGGTGCCTGCGGCCCTGCTCGACCAACCCCAGGTGCCCAGATCTGTAGATGCTCGGCGCGTGGTCATCGACTTCTCCACCCCATCTGAGTGGACGACAGCGATCCGGTGAACGCGGCGCATGATTGCTTGTCTCTCTTTTACTCGTCCCCCAACGTCAACAACGTCCTTTTTGAGTCGCTCTGTTACACGTGCGACCTTGTGATACCTCACACGGTTTAAGAGCCCCAAGGAGCTGTGCGACTCGGTCATTGTTCGACTGGCCCACACAAGCCGGCGCATTCGGGATTCCGTTTGAACGGGAGGACGGATACTGACGGGAAATCTAAACGACGACCATACACGCCCCTAGCTTCGGCCACTCTCTCTACGCAGGCCGTCATTCTGACAGCACACTGCACTCTCGAGCATTCTTCCCACCTGTGTTACGGACGACGAATCCGCAATCGACTTCCCGGACCTCGACGGAATTGACTCTCGAGTTGAGGCAGATCGCCATCTTTCACCACCAACCTACACCCACCGACGGCGAGACAGATAACACAAGATGGAGCGCATCAGGGAACTGCTGGGCAAGCACCACAAACCGGATCGGCAAGAGTACGAGCCTCTCGCCGAGGAAGGCCGGGAACTCGACGGCTCCACGCTGGAGGAAGACCCGGAGGAGGTGCCGTTCTCGTGGACCGAGTACATCATGTTCGCCTGGCTGGGCATGGCGATGCTATGGGCCTGGTATGTCGATATTCGCCCTCCCATCACCAACACTCTTTCCCCCTTGCTATGCAAAAGCAACGATGGCTAACACAACTCTCACTTCAGGAACATGTTCCTCGCGGCAGCCCCCTACTTCCAAGTCCGCTTCCAATCCGACGTCTGGATCTCCCAAAACTTCCAGTCCGCCATCCTCACCGTCTCGACCCTCACGAACCTCACCGCCATGCTCATCCTCACAAACATCCAATACGCCGCCTCCTACCCCTTCCGCATCAACCTCGCCCTCCTCCTCAACTGCATAATCTTCTCCTTCCTCACGGCCTCCACCTCCTTCGCCCTCGACGTCTCACCCGGCGCCTACCTCGCCTTCATCCTCTTGATGGTCGCCTCCAGCTCCTGGGCCACAGGGCTCATCCAAAACGGCGCCTTCGCCTTCGCCGCCTCCTTTGGCCGGCCCGAGTACATGCAGGCCTTGATGGCGGGCCAGGGCGTAGCCGGCGTCCTCCCGCCCATCGCGCAGGTCATCACCGTCCTCGTCGTCCCCGAAAAGGACACCACAAACTCCACCGCGACCGCCCAAGACGACATCAAGTCCTCGTCCTCCTCGGCGTTCGTCTACTTCCTCGCCGCCGTCGCCGTCTCCGTTTCCGCCCTGCTGGCCTTCATCCCCCTCGTCCGCCGCCACAACCGCATCATCGAAGCACGCATGGTCAACACCCTCGCCGAGTCCCTCACCTCGGTCGAAGAAGCTGAGCGCGCCGCCCGTAAGGTCGTGTCCCCGCTCACCTTACTCCGCAAGCTCCACTGGCTCGCCGGCGCAATCTTCATGTGTTTTTCGGTCGCCATGTTCTTCCCCGTCTTCACGGGCAAGATCCTATCCGTCCGCTACCCGGGCGACGAAAAGTCCCCCGCCGGCATCCTCTTCCGACCCGCAGCGTTCATTCCCCTCGCATTCTTCGCCTGGAACCTCGGCGACCTGTCCGGCCGCATGGCCACCATCCTCCCCTTCTCCCTACGCCACCGCCCCGCCGCCCTCTTCGGCGTCAGTCTCGCCCGCATTGGCTTCCTGCCGCTTTACTTACTGTGCAACATTGGCGGCCGCGGCGCCGTCGTCAGCAGCGACTTCTTCTACCTGGTCGTCGTCCAGTTCTTCTTCGGGCTGACCAACGGATGGTTAGGCTCGAGCTGCATGATGGCCGCGGGCGAGTGGGTCGAGGACGGCGAGCGCGAGGCCACGGGCGGGTTCATGGGCTTGTGCCTCGTTGCTGGGTTGACGACGGGTAGCCTTTTGAGCTTTACGGCTGGTGGTATTTAGGGATGTCTTAGTATAATTTTGCATGTGTACGGCGTAATGGGAGAGGTGTATAGCTTTCATCTCAATTTGGCATACTTTGTAATCGGTCTTTGGATGGCGTTTGAGGACACGGGTTATGAGGACGGTGAGTATGAGAATAGTCATAAAGACGGCCAATAATAGTTAGCTCTAGAGAAACGCATTATTCAATCCGTTATTGATTTAAATGGAAGATCACGCAAGTGAAGATCATATGGATAATTGTCGGACGTGGCGCCGTGGTGTTGCAAAAATTACATTACGCTTTGCTTTGCTACAAATACACTACTACTACACAACCGCTTCGACTTCGACGTCCTTTAGCCCTGGAGAGCGCAGTTCACCATCTTTCCGCGCCCGGTGTACCAGCCTTCGTCGATCAACGCGCGCTCTTTTTCCTGCCACTCTTGAAACTTCCAGGACACGTTCTTCTTGTCGAGATCGGCAAGTTTGGCCTCAAACGAGTCCGCAACCACAATCTCCTGTGAGCCCTTCTTTTCAAGACGGTATCGCATGTAGAGGGAGCAGTCTCGCAACGTCATGGCGATACTAAACTCCTCGTCGGTTTTGCTCGCGTTCAGGGGCCCGCGGGGATCCTTTTGGGTCTGGTGCCTTTTCAATAAGGTGAGGATAGGCGTCCTCTTCAGCAGGTCGTACAGGATAGAGGCGTGCTTGTTGTCTCCGGCGCTGCTGTACTGGAACAAGCTGGAGATGGCCTTCTGACGCACATCCTCCCTACCCTTGGGCGTCTCTCTCTCGGGGTCCAACCAGAGGGGGCACGGGTAGTACCGCGGGTTGCTGCCGGCGTCCTTGCTGTCTTTGAATTTCTTGGCCGCGAGTGCACAGCAGCGACATGTGTTGGCGTTCGTCGGCGCGGATGGCGACTGGGCGAGCCATTTTGGCTTAAATTCGACTACGCGCTCGTCGGCGCTCCGCGCGCGCATGCTCTCGATCAGGCAGGCCCTATCTGTTTCCATGATTTTGGTGTTCTCGAACTTGGCGGGTCGCTTTTTGGCTCCTGCCGGAGCTTTGTTCAACGCATCCAGAACGTTCTGCATGTGCTTCATGGCGTCTTTTGGGAGAAAAGCATATTTCATGTCGGTCAGTATATCCGCGCGGTAGGTGAAGAGAGGAGCAATGGTGTCCCAGAAATAAAACCACTGCTCTTCTGGCGGATAGAATGGTTTGTCGCCACCTTTGGGTTGCTTTGGTACTCTCAAGAGGTATCCTGAAAGGAACATCAGTAGCAGTTCAGGATAGGGCATGTAAGAGATATCTGAAACCCACTTGTTAATAAGTCGTCCTCGGTCCTGTCTTTGTTATCCTGCCGCGCAAACTTGGTATACAAAAACGGGATGAATAGAACGTTGGCGGCACCTTCACCGACATAAATGGCGTGTGTCCAGGGGCTAACATGAACATTTTCGTCCGATACCAGCACTCCCATATTGAAGACCTTGCCCGATGCTGGGCTATGCTCCCTGGGGACATCTTTGGACGATATCTCTGCAACCGCCTTCACACTGAGCTTGGTATTGATCGATGTGGGTGGGATCAATAGTTTGGCCATGACGAGGAAAGCGGAATGAAGCGAGACTTGTGTGTTGGAGATTGGAGGCCTAGTGTTGGCAACGAGTGTAGACTGTTTAATACGGACGAGGGGCTGAAGATTGGCGAGCTGGTAGAGCCTGCTATTGAGGTAGCGAGTGGCTGGATCGAGGCGCGAATAGTAGGTAGGTAAGGCGTCCAGATGGCTTCACAAGGCGACCGTATTAAGCGATGATGTTTGTGTGATAAGAGAAGAGACTCTCATGGCGAGTTGCAAAGAGGTAAGGAAGGCGGTACGGCAGTCTGGAAGGAATGTGTCTTTTTTCCCAGCTGAACTAAGGTAAGATCCAATGGCTTACCTGCCGCAACTGGTGGCAGCAGCAAGTGGTCTAGCAAAGCGCAGTTTCCCAAGATTGGTGGTGGTGACTTGGAGGTGTCTCACGCCAACAACCCTCCCGTCTCTTTCTCTCTCTCTCTCTGTCTCTCGCTCCCGCCTCTCCGCTCTTGCCTGATCTGGCTCGGTGCCTTTGCAGGAACAACACACCTCACGGGCGAATAAATGCTGGAGAGCACGTGAGACTGGTCGGAAGGTGGTTTCCAAAGAGAGGACGGAACCGGAGCGCTGCGAGTAAGGTAAGGTAGGTAGTCAGTCTACGTCGTCAGCCGACTTGTGGTTGTCTGATCTAAGGTAGCGTTGCCAGAATCGAGTATCGAATGGAGGCGCAACCGTTGTCTGCCCACGTTCCTATGGTTCCCCTTGGTTAGAAGATGGATTTCCGATGAGGGAGCGATTGCGACGAGGCTCCATTTGGTTGCTTGTTGCTCTGTGCTACAACGGCCCTCCCTTTTGTGTGATTTTTTGCACCTTTGTTGTGTCCTCTGGAAGCCAGCGGTATCCTGGGATGACGACAGACTTTCCGCTTCGGGTGTGGAGCAGAAAAGTTGGCTGATTTGGCGCTGGCTGCTGGGTAAGCTTGTGAGTTCCTACTTTTCGTTGACACTATTGGCAACAACGTAACGGTAGCAGACAGACACGACAGGCAACTTCCCTGGGGCGGGAGAGGCTGACGGGGTGGCCAATATGACTCCTCCCACAAGTTACAGCAAGTCGCGGCTCATCTGTCATATCTGATCCTGAACCTTTTGGCGCGAGCGTTGGACAGGAAGCTACCACAGGCACCGCAGGGTATGTACTGTGTTACATAAGTTTTTACCCCGGAATCTTGTGAGAGGTTGATTTCTTCTTCAATGTGCGGTTGCAGAGATGGAACCCAGGATTCCAGAGGACCCAGATGTCTTAGCAGGAACTCCTCATCCAATGCTTGCGATGACTGGTACGGCGCGCGCGTCAAACCCACATGCTTGACGTGAGTGCGGCTATCGAGCTAAAGCCCCCCCCATGCTGATCCAATGCAGCCAGAGGGGAAAAAGAAAGAGGGCACGATTGGGTGCAGCATTGGCGACGCGCGATTCTTCGGCCGGACTGAGCCGGAGCACGACCGAAGACTGGCCTACGCAGCGCGTGAATGGACGGGCAGGTTCGCGGCTTGCCCGCTTCGTGTCAGCGCCTACCCCGCCCTGCGGGACACCTTTGGATACCTTACCTTGCACGTGCTTACCTAAGGCACTGGACTTTGGAGGCTCAGAAAGCCTAGGGCGCATTGCGTCGTTTTCCTCTTTGCTGGCGTCGCCCGTTGGCTACTTTCCCCCGAAGAGCGGAGCATTGCGGAGAAGCACTCAATGGGCTGGGGCTGAAGGAATGATGGGTCCAAGGTCCGTGGAGAGAAGGAGGGGAAAGTTCAAGGAGAACGAGACATTGGACGGGAGATGCGCGATGGCAGACTACAGAGTCCAGAGAACGGGAGTAAACCTGATAATTAGAAGCAGTCAAGAACAAGGTAAGATCAGTCATGGCAGGGATGGGGGCACTGACCGGTAAATCGGACAGGATGTTGGACCCGAGAGCGATTCGAGCGCCGCCATGATATGATCTTCTGCCCAGTCAACCCTGCTCAGCCCGGCCCGGCGACAAGACTTTGTATCCGGATTGTTCATGTCTCTCTGCAAACCGAGGGGCATCACTGTGGATGCTGATATGACGGACTCCCTTGTCGCATGGCTCCAGATGGATTGAATAAGACCATGTCATCTTGTTTGCCAAATCCAGCCTTCAGGCATGGGCAAGCTCCCAAAAGGGACAGGCAGAAGAAGCAGGCCCTGCATTTCTGGCAATTATCAGAATACCTGGCTGTCAGGTTATGCTTTTCGCATTAGAGTATCCTGATGTCGGACCACACCCAGCACATGTCTTTCGATATCGTCCCATGTTTGCTGACAAGCCAGCTCGTGATCGGCCCCCGGGCAGCAACGGACCAACAGCCAGAGAGCAACAAGACGAAATGGCACCTTGGAAGCGGGCTTTCCACCCCGACTAGGGCGGGATTCAAAGGGCTGAAATGTCGGCCAGCCCAGATCTTGCTGAAGAGTTCTTTGGGAGACTCGATTTGATTCGATTCCCCAGATGGTTCGCCGCGCTTGTGGAAACGAGGGCACAACTCTAAATCGTCCACCGTCTTTTGGTTCCGGTGACTTGGTGCAGGCTTCGGCTGGCGCATCTCTTGATGTTCAAGGTGGTCATTCGTAGTACCGTACCGGTATCGTACCTCGGGGCTTTCGATAGCATTCGGTATCCGCAAGCTAGGTACTCCGTAGGTACCTGGCGCGGCCGATGGAATTGGAGGTCCTCGGGCGACTCGCATAACCACTAATCTGCGAACCTCCGGCCCAGTTGCAACTTCACAAGCAAATATGCAAATGAACCAACCAGGCCAGCGGCACTAGGTACATCCGGCGCATAGCATATCATTAGCCGTTGATGGTGCCCAGCGTGGCAGCGGGTGTAAATCTCCAGTGTGTCCACGCAGAAGCAGGGCGAGGTTGCAGCGAACTCTGGAGTCTTGACTCTTGGGTCCTGCACTGAGAGGGTGGACCCACCGTTTTCCTTTCCACTCCAGGTGCTGGGTCCTGAGTTCCTCCCTTTTTCAACGGGAGCCGGCCGTGGCTTGGGGGCGCCCGTCACGCCGCAGGCCGTTGCAGTGGGAAACTGGAGTCCTCTCGGTGGAAGGAACTGGAGGTAAGGTACGGTAGGTACCTCCTGGGCGGAATACTTCGAGGTAGTGGGTAGGTACCTACACAGTAAGGTACCTAATGCCCACCCGACCCTTACAAAGCTGGGACGCGCTCAAGTGGACGCTCACACGCTCCTGCCTTTTGGTGGCCCCACCCAGTGACCCTTTCCCGCACCACACGCGACACTCGCAGGAGCCAGCCCCAGCAAAGGGGAGTCGCATCTGTCACAGCACCTGGTCATCCACCCAGTCAGAACACAGCCAAAGAGAAACAGCAGAAAAAAAAAAAAAAAAACAGCCGTCACAAATTTTTGCAAAAATTCGCGCTAATGCTGCATCGGCACCGCACGCACCACTTAGCTCCGAGTATTCCCTCTGCTTCCCGAACAGCGAAAGAAGGAGAAGGAGATAGGCACCTTACCTAGGCACTCCGTACATACAACCAGCGTCATTCGCCGGAAAACGCACACCTCCCGCGCACCGCAGCCTACCTCCATTACCTCTCTACCACACAAACAAGCACCACAAGCTTGATCTACATCCCGACACCTCCCACCCTCATTATCCCTCCGCCTTCTCCCCAGACCATCCAACTCTCTCTTCCCCGGACTATATCATCTAATTGCACCTGCTCCTCAACGAGTCCGTTCTACTATTTGTACTGCCTTCGAACCCGATATCGACGCAAACCTTTCGTCATCGATCCCGAAGCATCGTACCTGACATCACCAACTCATCCGTCTCTCCCTATCGACCCTTGGCCGACCGGCCTGCATCACCTTGCTCTTCGATGGTTGGCCGCAGCTAAAGCCATTTCAACATGGCCTTCAACTTCAACTGGTCGCCTCTCACGGCCGACGCAGAGTTCTACCAGCGCGCACGAGAGCTGCTCACGACCGCTCTGAACAAGAACCCGAAGCCTCCGATTATCGTCGATGACATCCTCGTTACCGAGTTCAACTTGGGTTCCGTGCCCCCGGAATTGGAAATATTAGAGATTGGCGACATTGCCGAGGACCGATTTCGCGGTATATTCAAAATGTGCTACTCGGGCGACGCCTTCTTAACCTTGAAAACGAGGGTTCAGGTATGCTGCATTTTTTTTCGTTCCCTCTTCCGCACCTCGCTATCCCGCAGGTGCCTCCCTGCACGCAAACTCCAGAGGCGAAGCTCGGGTTCGCAGCCGCCGCCGCCGCAACAAGCTCGCCAATGCTCGCACCACGACATCACATTCACGAGTTCGGAATCATTCCCGTTCCAGTCGTTATCGCAATGCGCCAGATCAATCCTGCGTCGCGAACATGACTCCATACCAGTGTCTGGAATGCCCTGGGAACCCCCATCGGAGAGCCGAGACAGCACCCAGTGGTGCTTCCCCCCCGAAAACATCATCATTTCACCAACCACAATCATTTCTATTCTTTCAGATGCTTCCCGCTATCGTTACCTCAACCATCCTGGCGTTTGTTTTTCCCTCACCAAACATTTCTTCACTACCCGCGTGCTCGCATTGAAGTCGAAATTACCTGGCCGGGATCCGCGTCCCATGTTACTACCTTTGGCTGCCCCCCAAAATGCACGTGCGTCATAGCAATGCTAATATATCAACAAATAGGCAAATCCTATGAACACCTACCTGTCGTCCAAGCCGGGGTTCACATCGCCGCAGCCACTGGCCGCCGCATCGGGCCTTACAATTCCGCTGTCAATAACGCTCTCTGAGATCAAGCTTTCAGCCTTCATTATCCTAGTCTTCTCACGGCAAAAGGGGTTGACCCTGGTCTTCCGCAATGACCCGCTCGAGTCACTCAAGGTCTCATCGACCTTTGATTCGATTCCCTTCGTGCGCGATTACCTACAGCGCACTATCGAGTCCCAATTAAGGAATTTGATGATGGACGAGCTCCCCGCAATTATCCACAGGCTTTCTTTGCGCTTGTGGTGTCCCGATGCTCTGCCAAAGGAGGAAGAGGCACCCAAGGAGGATGAGGAGGAAGCTGAAGTTGATCCCTTGGCGAGCCCCCCTCTGGATCCCGTTGATGCGAATGGAAATCTTCTCGACGCCAATGAGGTTTCGTCACTATCTCTCGAAGGCGGCCCGGAAGTCCAGTCGCTCTTCTCCCAGAAGAACCTCTTGAGACTAGCTGCGCTGAACGACTCCCACCGCACATTCTCTCTGTTCACGCCGGGCATTCGTGATGTCGTGTTCCGTGCCTGGACAGGACCTGCAGTGTCCGAGCCAACTAGCACGCCACCGACAGCAACGCCTAGCTTATCCAAGACTAACTCCTTCCATGGAACGTCTACCACGTACACTTTCTCCGATACTGGCAGCGCCGCTCATGGCCACCTTCCTTCCAGACCGTCAATGGTGAGCCTCAGCTCGGCCACTACTGGTTTATCCTTGGGTGCCGGTATTCGGTCAAAGTCGTACGCTGGTCGCAAGAAGAGGACAAGAGTCGTCAACCTCCGACGCTCAAAGAGTCAAGTTGGCGAGACTCCTGAGGGCAGCGAGACTTATTCAGAAATGGCATCCGACTCTGCGTCTGTCGCCGGTCCCTCAACTGAGCCCCTCATGACCAGTTCCATCGCTGAAGACATCGAGGAGGAGGAAGCTTTGGCGAATCTGGCAGAATCGACCCCTAGCAAGGTTCGCTTCGGCCCTCTGGAGAGAACGCGACTGCCCTCCCGACCTCCTTTGCAGCCGGAGTTTTACACGGCGCCCCAGGATGGTGCTAGTGTGCCTATCAAACTGGACACCGCGTGCGAGTCCGACCCCGACGTTACGCCCCGAGCCCAAAACGAGAAGGCCGCCGCGGAGAAGCCGCGCCAGGGTGTGCCGTCCGAGCCGTCATCTGTATATGAGCAGGCTTGGATCATGAAGATGGCTGGCGAAATCGCTCGTCGCGTTTACGATGAGAAGAGCTGTCACCCAAACCTCTGGGACGAGCGGGAAGACGTCCCGCCCCCGGCCTACGAAGCATCAACTTAAATCACCTGTTTACCACAGGTGATGTACAAATTGCGCAAACTCACCATACATCCACTTTGCTGGACTGCATCTCCTTTCCATCTGTTCCATCACTTCCTCCTCGCATGGCGTTAGGGGAACTCCTCAACTTTTTGGTTTTTTTTTAACCATGGATGACAATGGTACAACCATTTGTCCATTTTGCTATTAGTGTTAATGTGTACATATCACATGGCGTTTGAAAGGGAAACAAAGGGGGATACCGGGTATCACACAAAAAAGAATGGGATTGGGTCAGAGAGAAACGGCCTCACTCTGATTATATTTTTGGATTCTCGGGTTGGGATGAAGACAGAGGCCAACCAACCACGCTAGTTTACACGATGACGATACGACCAAACAGTTGATTTTCCCTTTTTTACGAGAACAAAAAAGGGCGGCTGTTTTAACTCGGAGTCATAAAAGTCATCGGTATACTACACCACCCCCAAAGAGCTCGCCATTTGAGGCGGGCTGATTTATACAGAACACATCACAACCATCACAACTTTATTTTTTCCTTTGTCATTTCTGAAATATCTCATCGCGAATCATCCCCACCGAACACCTCGACGGATCGGATGGGTAGAGCTGGTGTGTACAACAACACGTGGGAAAGAAGGGGAATTAGGCTTTGCTAGGAACATCACACTTGATTGTAAAAGAGGAGGAAGGCCGTTTGATGGAAGACGGAAATATCGTGGATATCCATTTTTTGTGTCACTTGCGATCAAACTTAGTATTTCAGGCCCTGGCTCATAAGAACGAGTTTCACGGCGCTTAGACGCATGTCCAATTTAGGCATGCCTGAAGAAATCAAAAAACTCCCATCTTCTATGCATTTCGTTGTTCACACCGCTCCATCTTGCAGGTGAGGTATAACTTTTTTGTTCACCGCCAGACCGTGCTTTTATCGCTCGTTTTTTGGAAACTCCACAGTCGAAGCAAGGCTCCCTGCCATCTGCGCTGTCATGAAAATATGTATGTATGAATGCCTGGTGCTAGCCTTGCTGTCAGAGATAGCCCTGTCCACCGTCCGGCCCACCATTCGGACCCTCGTCTTTTGGCCTCTTCTTCTCAGGCAGTTCTGCTTCCGGTGATGCTTTCCGCTTCCCCGCCTGTACGCCGGGCGGCGCTGGAGGAGGACTCAGTATCGTAGACTGACTCGAAGTATCGTCCGACATCTGTACATCTGGCTCGTCCCTGCTCGTCTGAGAATGCATCGACATCGTGTCTGCGATTGCGTCGACCCTTGTCGGTGGGGCAGGCTCTTGAACTTGGCTACCGCAGTTGTACATCTCTTCGAGGCTACTGTTCGGTACCAGTCGACATTGTGAGCGCGCCGATGCGGAGTAGTTTGAGTGGAAGAGACAATAGGTTTGTCCCAGTCCGGTGTCCGGTGCACCATTCCCAGAACCATGATTGACCTCCATAGGAGGGTTTGTCGAGCCCGCGACGCCAGCCGCTGACGCCTGCGTTGGCCTATTCCGAAAATCATTCTCATCTCGATGCCATCTCGGGGCTCCAGGAGGCTCTGCTGGCCACTGCTGTTCGCCATCGGTCATGGCGGTATCCATGTTGTTGTTACGCCTGGGACTTGGTGTTCTAAGGTGTGGTTCCTGTTGATGACGAATGGGCGAGCTGCCACAGTCCATCTCATCGTCTTCCGTATCATCGCCGCCGCCTCGTAGCCTGGGTTGATCTCCATACATTGCGCAAAAGTAATCCTGCTTGGACCGAGTTCGCAAGAGAAATGCAACGGATATCAATAAGAATGCCAGACGCAGAGTCAGCACCGTGTCGTTAGACGGTTGGCAGGCTCTGTGCTCCTAGACACGCCGGCTGATGAGCTCCAACTCTGCCTTGACGCGTTTGAGCCTCTCCTCGTCCTTGGACAAGGCAAGTAGATGGGACGCGACAGCCACCTTACGAGCAGGTCTTCTAGCTGCTACGCTGGGCGGTTCCTAACCGGCCGTAGCAGCAGCAGCGTTCTCCGCTTTTAGCGCAGCCAGCTGGGCTTCCTTCTCCTTGAGAATCTCCAGCTGCTGCTTGGCCATTCCCTTGGCCGTGGTCTCGGCCTCCTTGAGCTTCTTGACCTCAATCTGCTCAGTCTCGAGACTGAACGGCTGGCCAGGCTTGTTGACGGCGGGCAGCAGTGCGCTGCGCTCCCACGCCACCTGGACGTTTGATGTCTTCTCTGGCAAGGCCGGGATCGGTTTGTTCTTGCCTTTGCCTCCTTTGCCAACTGGGTGGCCCTTGGGATGAGCACCGGAGGTGAGCACTTCGTAAAAGGCTTCGTACGGCTCGTTGAAAAGCTGTTCGTCGTAGGCCCAAGCGCGGATCTCGCCGTCGTTCTGTCGCAGCATCTGCTCCTTCTCGGCGTCGGTCCGTCCGTATGGGTGAAGACGCAGGTTGTGGTACAGCGTCTGAGGTTTCTCTCCCGACTCGGTCGCGTAGTATATCTTGATGGTGATTTCAAACTCTCCCCATCCGGTTTCTTGGATAAGGAACGGTTTGCCCGGTTCGCCGTCGATCACTGAGTGGTGGTTTAGCAAGCGCACGATTGCGCCAGGACTCGGTGCAAGGGCAACTTACTGCGAACGTGGTTAGGAATGGACTCGTGTAGCTTGAACTGCACTCTCCGAATCCAGTACGTGATGTCGATATCGTCGATGGCCTTGACAAAGACCTCCCATGAATGGGTGTGGTCTGCCGGTACGCCTTCCGGCTTGGGGTTGGATTCGGGGTCGAAGGGTCGGGCGGTCGTGCCGTAAATGAAGGGTCGTTTAATCTGTGTACCCTTTACGCGTTTGCCGAGGCTGCTGGGCGGCGCCATATTGATGGGTTAGATAAGTGTTGCTCGGGTGATGCGATGCGTTCTGGTCAATGCCCAATGAGAGTGCGTGAGTAAGTTTGTGAGGATGTAGTGGGGAGATTTGGGTGTTGTCGAAAATGGACCGCAAGCTAAGACGGCAAGAAAATGGTAAGAAAATGGTTCCTGGCGTCGACAGCCTTACGCCAAAGTTTGAAGTGGGGCGTCCAGTGAATCAGCCAACAATGACCGTCTCTCGGGTCAGCCCCTGCCGAAGAGACCCTTTGAGCTGGGCCTACCTTACTTTCGGGGACGTAATGTTCTTCGCACGAAGTGAGTATTCGCAAGTATCTTCTTGCCTTGATCACTTCATTGTGAAATAGAGGAAACAGCTCAAACACAGTGCTAACCAAGGCCGATCTTCTTGTGAAGGGTAATAGAGTCAGCGCTACTGAGCCAGAAGGAAGGCTCCCCGTCCAATGGTGACAGGAGCACAGAACGATTCGGCCTGTATGATCTTCCAGTACTTTGACTTTTCTGTGATTTATTTCGACTGCTTCTTGGATTACGAAAGCCTCTCTGAGTTTGGGCAGTATCAAGGTACCTGGCTGGAAATAGTGGGAGGTGCAGCCACCATCGCGCACATCGAAACTGGAACCAATGGGGAGCTTGGGGAAGAGCTGCCCCTCCAACCCCTGTAGCTAGCTGCAACTCTTTAGCTGGTGCAGCACCTGCAGCGCCTGCATCATATGGAGGACCCCTGGCAGGTTTTAACTGGGGAGCTGGGTAGCTGGGGCAGCTTCCGGACGGGTGATGATTTCATGACTTTTTTGAGCTTTCCATCCGCGTCCGGAACGGCATCGAACCACCTTCGGAAGAAATCTGGCAATCACCTAGCGCCGAACCCGGTCGGCATTTCAATTGACTCCATCACCGTCAATCCGGCTCGCTCTCTCCTTTCGTCTAACTGCACTTTGTCATCTCCAATTAGTGCTGGTGCTCATCTAATTGGTTCCTCCGGTCACTCTCATCTCATACACCCTCCCGTCCATCTCACTCACACTCTCATCATGTCAACCTCAGCCGTAGCAAAGAAGCTCGTGGTGTGCGGCGGCAACGGCTTCCTCGGATCAAGAATCTGCAAGTATGCCGTCGCCAGGGGCTGGGACGTCACATCCATCAGGTACTCATTCTCCTCGTGAACCTTTCTCATGATTCTCCCTTCGTCCCCGCTAACACGTCTCTTTCCACAGTCGCTCAGGCGAGCCCAAATGGTCCGCCGTAACCTCATCACCATCCCCTCCCCAATGGTCACACAAAGTCTCCTGGGAGCGCGCCGACATGCTCAGCCCAGTAACCTACGCGCCCCTCCTCAAGGGCGCCGACTACGTCGTCCACAGCATGGGCATCCTCCTCGAAGCAGACTACAAGGGCGTCGTCTCGGGCCAGGAGTCCCCCGTCTCGGGCCTGCAAAAGGCCTTCGCCCCCGTCAAAGACCGCGGCGTCGACCCCCTAAAGACCTCCGCCGAGCCCGGCGGCGGCCCCGGGGCGGACCTCAAACCGCCCAACCCGAAGGACCAGTTCTCCTACGAGGTCATGAACCGCGACAGCGCCATCGCTCTGGCCAAGCAGGCCAACGCTGAGGACGCAAAGGCCTTTGTCTACGTCTCTGCCGCTGGCGGGGCGCCTGTCCTGCCCGCGCGGTACATCACCACCAAGCGCGAGGCCGAGAGCACCATCGCCAGCGAGTTCCCGCGGATGCGCGGCATCTTCCCCAGGCCGCCCTTCATGTACGACAGTTCGAGGAAGTTCACGCTGCCCCTGGCCGCCATGACGGGCGCGGGTGCCCTGTTCAACAGACTGACCGGTGGCGTGTTGAGCGGGTTCATGGGCGCGAGCGGCGTGAAGCCTCTGCCGGTCGAGACCGTCGCGGAAGCAGTGGTGGAAGCACTTGATGATGTCAAGGTCCAGGGTCCGATTGAGGTTCCCGAGCTTGAGGAGTTGGCAACCAAGGGTTGGAGGAAAACGATGCTCTGATTTATCGAGAAAATTGTATTTGTAATATGCCATAGACTGTACCATCCCTCAATGCGAGGCCTTGAAATGGATTAAATCCTCATCCTCCAACCTTGATCTCTAGAGCAGATCAAGTAGACTTTTCCTCCGTCCTCGTCAGCCAAACCCAAGGTATTAATTAACCCGCAGACGAAGAAAAAGAGTACACCACCGGTGTGGCTACATCTCTTGGTGCTCATGCTGGGATTCGAACTCGGGTACTCGCTAAGCCTGTCGTCGAGTAGGCTGGTTGGCGTATAGATTGTTGATCATTAGCCACTCCACCAACCAGCCAGTTTGGCCTGGCCCGTCGACCTAGACGGGTGCCTGCTGGCTGGTGACGGGAATAGATTTGAGGGGGGGTATAAGGGCTTCCCTCTGTGTTAGTCGGGTGTACATTTAGGCAACGGGGAAAGGCGATCGGATGAAAGTTGGAAGAAATGTGCGGTTAGCACCGTCACTCTTTAGATTCCTAGCCGGACTATGCAGGTACATTAAACAAGTCTCTGAGTGCAAGAGCATCTCAATTTATCCCAAACGCCAGCGCTCAAATCATGGTTCCTCGCTCAAAGCTGTCCCTAATTTCCGCAGTATACTTATTGTAGAAGCGCGCCAGCTTCTGGTTGAACTGCTTGTTCTTCTCATTGATGTACGTCACATCACCGTCGTCGCCGTTCTGTGCCATGCGGTCCTTTCTCTTCTTGAGTCTGTTCGCCTCCGCCCTCCTGAGGTCTTCCACCAGCCGATCCACTGCCGCCTTGTCCGGCTTGTTCTGTGCGAACGTGGTTGAGTCGGCTGTCGAGTAGAAAGACCCGTCCTTATCCACCGCGATGAGCTCTCCGTCCTCGGTCTCAACAATATCGAGGCCGCCCGAAGCAGCGGCGCGCTCGATGGCTGCCATCTTGTCCTTTTCGTACTTTTCCATGTCGGGGGCAATATTCTTCAGCTGGCGCTTGTATACCTTGTTGCTTTCGGCAGTGTAATCTTGGAATGCGTTGTTGTCGCGATGCGCCTCCTTCTTCTTCACGTGCTTATCCCATTTCTCGCTTTCGTCAATCGTCCAGTCCCAGGCGCGCTTCCGCTCAAAGTCGCCGCCGGCATCTTCAATGTCTGCCTTGAGCAGCTTTTGCGAAGCGACGGCCTGCTTGCGGTGGATCGCCGTCAGCTGGCTGGGGTCTGATGCGAGACGTTGTGATTCGAGTGTCGCCTCCTTCAGATTCTGGTCGGATGAGTTCTTGGCGCGGGCTTTGAGGGCCTTGAAGCGCGCCATGCGGTCCTGTGATTTTGCCGCGGCATCTTCCGGTGTGGGCTGTGATGGTGCTGCTGCCGTCTCTGCTGTCGCGGGTGCGGTTTCCGTGATCGTGCTAGGTTCCGTTGCTTCGGTCTCTTCAGGCGCGACAGACTTTGCTGGCGCTGCAGTGTTGGCTTCCTCCTTGGCGGCGGTACCCGTATTCGTCTTTCTCTTCTTAGAGGGAGGCATTATGGAGTGTTGCGAATCGTCCGAGGTGTTGCCGGTCGCAAGATGTGTAGATGTGGGCTGTTCAGGAATCGCGATGTATGATTTTGGTGGTTGTATGGTGATGTGATGTAAAGTGACGAAGATGTGGGATTTCATTGGGGGACGTTAATGGATGTTCAAGTGCGACTCGACCGACGTTTCTCCGATGGGAACCGCCGCCACAGCCTAGGTACCTCATCGACCCATGTGGCTGGTGGACATGGCATATGTGGCTGGAGGTCGGAAGAATACATAGATCGACCCACCACCGCTCCCCCGCAGGATCCATACGGGTAACGGACTCCTGCAAGAAACACCCGTGGCTGTGCGGCCAGGTCATCCCTGTCGTTGCCCCCAACACCCCTGCGGCCCTTGCATCTCGTTACCTCGACGCGCCCCCTCTCAGTATGCGGCTCCCCAGGATCAGACGACTTTTCTGAGCAACGCTCGCGTGTCCGTGAATAGCCTCTGAAGGTGACCGAAGCTTATCAGAGACTAAATCGCCATACATCTCAGTCATGCGGCCACTGAGAGCCGCAGGCGTCCCTCGCAGAAGTGCAACTGCCTGCTTTCACACTACGGCACCATCGCTGGCTCGGCTACAACGGCCGCGTGTTCACGAAAAGAAGAGGCCGGCAGAACCGCTAGTCCCATACTCATGGCGGCCCTTCGAGGTGCCAGAGGTAGTTCTCGACCTGGACAGCTGGGACAACCCAATCGCACGGCCGTACGATAAAGACGAGATGCAGACTCAGAGGAAGAAATGGGAGCAGAACTCCATTGTCGACGCCACGTGGCAACGGATCAGGCACTTTGAGTATGAACGCCAGCGTGACAGCGAAAAGTTTGCCAAGGTCAGCGTCAGCCATCCCTGGTACCAGCACTGGCAGGTCACGGATCTCGACATCATGACGGCCGCTCTGAAAGGCGACTCGCGAGTTGGTCGGCAAACCCAGAATCTCCCACCGGAGGAGAAGCCACATCAGAATGATGCTTGGAGTGATCTGAAGTCGGTTGCCTCGAAGAACGCAATTCCATTGACCTCGCTTCAAGACGATAAGAACTTCTTGAGCTGGTTGCTCCAACGAAGGCCCACCACGGCTTCGTTACCACTGAAGCGCCAACGGGAAATTCGAGCATTTGTTCGACGACTGGAAGATCTCCAGAGCCTGAAGCGCTACCTGCAGTTTCTGCTTCAGCACGGGGAGAAGGGATTTCAGCTCTGTCACAACGCGGATCAGGATATCACTTTTGTGATATCTCGGCTCCTCACCAAACCTCCCAGGTTACGGCCCTTCGTCGACCTCCTTCCCTTTATCAACAGCATCTTTGCTCTCCAGAGACAGCACGGTCTACCTGTCAGTCCCGGTCTCTGTGGTATCTGCCTGATCATCTCGGCCAAGGCGTTTCAGCTACCGGCAGTATCGAGATATCTCAAGCTTGGGCTGAAAGAGGGTCACTGGGTTGGAGAGGGCTCATCTGCTTCTGATGTCAAGGCTGCGGTCGAGGCGCTTATTCGATGCTGGGACAACAGGAGGCGCTTCCCTGATGTGGATCGTTCTGGAGACATAATTCGCCGTCTACTCGGAGAGAGTTTAGGGGAGGACAGCGCGGCTTCCTTCAAGGTCGTTTCGCAGCACCATCCGGAGGACGAAGGGTTAAAGGAACAGTTGGCGGAGTTGTCACATCGCGTCGCTTCCGCCCCAAAATACCCTCCGGCTATGAATAGGACACCTCATGTCTTGGCGGAACAAGGTTAGGGCTACCTGAAGGAAGCAGGTCCCAAAGTCATGGATTTATACTGCAAAAAACATTGAGTCGGCTGAGAGAAGTCTGACCAACGTTGAGGCTAGGAAGCGGTGGAGATATATACCAATTCCCACAAATTTCAACTTCAATTACTCAACATCATTGCCGTGCTGCATAACACCCCACGTCAGCCAAGACGCGTACCTTTCACGTCTGCTGTATTCGATGACTTGCTTATCGTATGCCAGCACCTCTGCTCTCACATGATGCCCAGCTCACATACGAATCCGCAAGCCTCCTTTGACATCGCCTCTCCCCATTCAGCCCTGTCATGCCTGCATGCGAACGCGGGCTCAAATGCCATGTGGCTTGCTGAAGTCTCCAACCTAGAGAAGACTAGTCTCGAGCGAGCTGAACCAAGTCCCGCTAACCCTGCCATCCCATTGGGTCTACAGGCCAAGTCAGGACAAGCCAAGCTCCAGGGCTTCCCTATTCCGTCCAACTCCGCATAACATCCTCCGCCGTCTTCGTGTCAAGCTGGTGCTGCCACTCTCCATTGTCTCCGGTACGCTACATTTCGCCATTCTTCTGCATCGATTTCTGGTAGATGACGGATCAGTGCTGTATGTCAGCAGGAGCCATGGAGTTCTTCTGTTAACCCGGCGTGCCGGGCATCCACTGGCTCACCATAGCTGATACCTGCAAGTTGTCTTCGTCTCGCCAAGGGCAAAGGTTGCTATAAATTTCAACACAGGATAGCACGCTCTAAGTGGTATTTCTGACTTTTGTGTTTTATACACCACGAAAATGCAATCAACACAAGAGGCGAGGCCACCACCAAAAGAACCGCCCAGGGGTTACCGCAAAGCTTCGTTAACTCACGCATCATCCGCTTTACCACTGGGATGAACTTCAGCAGGAGACCAGAGCAACGGGTGCGTGGCAAAGCGAGCCATCTCGATGCGTGGCGCTTCAGACCTCGGACTAAGAGTCCAGCTCCCTCACCCGTCCGCCTCTGGTCTGGAACGGAGCCCCCGCCAGCTCGTCTGGATCCGGCCTGGTCCGGACACTGCAGATCAGAAATGTCTCTGGTGCTTGTCAACAAGCCCGATATGTTGACAAGCCCAAACTCTGTTTTCTCTATCTTTCCCATTCTTCGAGAGGCCCCTCCCCCGTTCTTGTCTTTGTTTGAGCTTTCCTTTTCCCTTCGTCCTTCGTCCTCGAATGAACTGACGGTTGATGTTCTGACAAGACTGATCTGCCATCATCACTTTCTTTTCATTTTCTTCATCTGACCTTTTTAACAAATTCCGTAATTTCATTACATTCCACTGTTTAGACCAAGGTATCAGACCAGACGATCATTACCCTGTAGTCTTCGAGTAGCCCACTCTACCTCCCGAGACATACATCAAAGTGGGAGATCTCGATTAATCGGTCGACCTTCTTCTCCCTTTGCTCAGTTAATCACGCTATGCGCATGAGCAATTCCGACTGAGAGTCGAGAATCACCAGGAACCTGGTCCGCGGATAGATCAGGATCGACAAACCGCTGGCGGGAGGGTAACGCGGATCGCGGATCACGGCACAGAATGGCATTCTCCAGCCCGTTGTGGTCGGTTTTGGCCCTGTCCTTGCTCCCGACATCAACTTTGGCGCAGAATGACCCCGTGAACGACTTTTGCCGTCGGTTTGGGCACCAGACCGCCGTGGTTGACAACAAACTCTTCATCGATGGCGGCCTTGTGAATTGGAATCCACTCTCATCTTTTCCAGCCAACTACTCAAGTATGTCACTCCAAAAATCACATCTGCAATCCCGTCTTCTTTTTCATCCAATGGCAACATTCAATGCCCACTAACACGCTGCTCAGATACATGGCTTCTATACCAAGATCTGTCTTCGTCAACGGCTTCGGGGATGCCCCCCCTTTACGCCAATCTGTCCAAGAATGGATCAATTCCCAACGTCGCCGGCGGTGCCCTTTGGTCTGACAATGTCAACAAGCGACTCTATCTGTTTGGCGGGGAACGCAATGCGGGGGAATCGCCCATGCCCTTCAACCTATACGGCTATGATATCCTAAACAACCAATGGGATTCTTTCGGCCCATCTCGCACGGGAGCTTCGATATCAAAGGTTAGCTACGGTGCGGGAGTCTCTGTCGATACACGCGGCGAAGCATATTACTATGGTGGATGGTTGAGCAACGCCTCCGTTCCTGGATGGGGCACTGGTCCGCCAGTCGCAACGACCGGCTTGGTGAGATACACCATGGATACCAATAGCTTTGCCAACAACACTGGGTAAGGAGAGCAACCTTGGTCAAGCGAATGCACATGATACTAACACCTACATAGTCCTGATAATATACGACGCGCCGAGGGCAGTCTGCATTACATCCCCGCTGGAGACGGTGGAATGCTCATCTACTTTGGGGGCATACAGGATCTGGCTGGCAATGGAAGTTCTACCATTGGCCAGCCCATGGACCAGATATTTATATATGATGTGCTCAGCAGCAAGTGGTACACGCAGAAAGCTTCAGGTGATGTTCCTGGCATGCGACGACGATTCTGCGCGGGCGTAACTTGGGCAGGAGACCAGTCGTCCTACAATATGTGAGTACATTGCTTCATGTTCACCCTCACTATTTGCACCTTATCTGACACGTATTTCAGTTACATGTACGGCGGCGCCAATGTCCCAGGCGTGCTGGGCGCGGGATATGACGATCTCTACATCCTCTCAATCCCGACCTTTACCTGGATCAAAATGTACCCCATCGGCCGCAACGGGACAGGAGACTACCCCCACCACTCAATGTCCTGTAACATTGTTCCTGGCCGTGCGCAGATGATCATTTCAGGAGGCACGTTTCCGCTCTCCCAAGACTGCGATTCACCCGGGCAATGGGGAACCCACAACGCGGACCTTGGAAAACAAAATGCCGGCAAGGTAATCTGGGAGTTATACAAGCCCAACAAGACAACGTACGCCGTGCCGGACGAAGTCATTGCCGTAGTAGGAGGCAACGGCAACGGCGGTGCTACAAAGACTGCACCCGCGGCTGGTTTTGACTACACCGACGTCAGCCTCCTCATCACGCTCACGGCCAGTATTCCGAGCCGTACACCGACGAGAGATGTCGGCAGTACCGGTGCTCCCGCTCCCACAGGAGGCCTATCTACAGGTGCCATCATCGGCATCGCGATAGGAGCTGCAGTTCTGGTCGGCGCCATGGCCATGGGATGCTTCTTCCTGGTCCGTAAGCGCCGGTCAGACCGATTCCACACTGGAGCATCACCGCCAGGACCAAGCCACGTATACCACGCTCAAAGCATGTCAGAAGCATGGTCGCCACCCGCGGCATCGCCTTACTCACCACCATACGGACCTTCTCCATTCACGCCTCCTCCCCTGTCCGCACACCCGCAGTCACCGCACCCAATGTCCGCGCACACGGTCCCGCCGCACATGGGCCCGCCGGCAGAGCTACCTTCGGAGCCGTCATACACAACGACACCAGCGGCTCTCGCTGGCACGACGACGCTCACAAACATATCGTCGACGGTGTCGTACCCGCCGCAGCAGGCGTACTTCCCTGAGACGACGACGCTGCTGAATCAGCCGCAGTACGACGCCCACGGCAACATGTGGATGCCGCAGGTGAGCATGGTGCAGGTCGCTACCGGGGTGAGCCCGCCGCTGCCCGAGTACACGCCGGCGAGGGGCGACCAAAAGACACCGCAGCCGACGGCGGCCGAGGTGCGGCACGAGCCGCCGCCGCAGGAGCCGCAGGAGCTCAGTGCGGACCCGAATGACCGGGCGGAGATGAGTACGAGGCAGGAACATCAGACGTACTACAACAGATAGGTTTGGTTCTTGCAGGCGCATGGTTTATTCTGTTTCTTCGTAGTTAGCCCAAAGTCTGGCCTGTCAATGATGAGACCGGGCAGGGATGGAAGCGAATGGGATAGCGGTACTGTTGAAGGAGTCTGGCGTTTGCCTCTTTGGTTTGTCCCTTCTTATTACTGGCACTATTCCCACTTGGAGTTTATGATATGGAATTGTAATCAGGCGAATTTCGGCAATTTTTCAAAGTACCTAGCAGACACCTTGAACCATCAGGGTCCAGAGCCATCAAGGTTCAGAATGTGATAAGGATTCCGCAAAATTTCGATCGCTGCCAGTCCGTTGATCCGTTTCGTGCAACTCCATGACATCCATGCCCAAGAGAGATAGTCACACCGCAATACAACAGCAGCGCCCGCAACGTTCGACGCGTCGTGGCCTCTAGGCTCTAGCCCGTGAATGAATTTTGCCAAGATCACATCAATATGAGTCAAGGTCGCGTGACTTGTCCGCATGCGGAACTTCTTTGGACCCTGAGAGGCCACCAACCCATGCAATGCCGGCAGCCGTAGAGGGGGGCGCTGAGCAATGACTATACCAAGCAGACTCTAGGATCTTGTCCCCCGATCCCAAGAAGGGTCCGGGTGATGTGATGAGCCCATGTCATGATCGGCTCGTCAGCCGCAGCGCACCGTTGTCCGCCCAATACTCTCTTACGCTCTTCACGAGTCCATATCCCCCTCTATCACTGTCACTTTGTGTATGTAAACGTGTACGAAGTGTACACTCATCACGGCCGGCCGTGATTCCTTCGTTACGCTGCGCATATGCCGCGAAAGTTCAATCCATCAAGAAACCCGATGGCCCCCAAGGGCCCCCACGAGCTCCATCACCGCGGGCAGGCATCGAGTATACATGTAGGATAGCGCAGAAGTCAAAACTCCACAGCAACGAACCATGACCGTGGCTTCGAGGAGCTTGTGTCCAAGTCCCCTTGGCGCGCGTGGATAGAGACAGGTGTGAGAGGGTCCCCACGATGCTGTGTAACCATCGGGGAGGAGAGAAGTGGGCGGGCGGCCATGTGCACCTCGGTGCCGAGAAAACGATTTCCGTTGTCACCAGTCTTTGCTGCTTCCTGTATCCATACAAGTATACTTTTACCTCACAGTTACACAACGGTTTCTGAACCCTCCTCTATCCGACTCGTGGCTCTGCAGACTCCAGACTTTGGAGAAGAGGCATCCCGATATCGCACTCGTGATCTGCAGGTGACCGGCGCAGCGATGCTTCGAATAACGAGAGCGATATCGGAGTGAGATCTGTTGATCCACCGAGCTCGGTGAAGTCTGTGCTCTTGGGTTTGGGTAGTTGTTGGTTCGGAAAGGGTTGGTTGGAGCTCGAGTGAAGGGGAATTGCTCACCATGGGTGAGTGGACGGGGGATGCCACGATGGGCGCTGATCCTGGAACCCTGCCCCCGGGGCCGGCCGGAAGGGCGGGGCCATGTCACGGAGCTACTTTGCTACTTTAGACGGACGGAACACTACAGGTAGAAGTGACTAACTTCGACCTGGATCTACCGACCAAATGCCGCATCCACTTCTTCACGTTGTTTTCAATTATCGATGTGGACGATCCTAAAGAGAAGATCTGTGATAGTGACGGGTCGTGCAGTAAGCTTTGGACTGGCCGATGTTAGGATCAGAGCCGCCTCACGTAGTCAAGAGCTGTAGTGCCGTTAGTCCAGCACGTCCATTTACCATTCGGCCGGGAACAGGATGAAATCTCTTCCTTAGTATACGGTCTAGTCTAAGCGACGGGCGACGACTGCAAGTTAAGCCGACTACCACGTTAAGTCAGTTGAGAAAGCATTTCGTCATAACGTTCTGATGGAGCGTTCGCTTTGCAGAGTCGACTAGCGTAGATCGGAGAGAATAACAAAACAAGCAAACGGCATATTCCATGATGGGTAAAAACCAGTGCAAAATACGCCTTTCCCACTACCCTATCCCACTACCCGAGTCTGGATCTCTCCTAGCCCGTCCATCGGCAGATCTCCCTCCTCCCACATGGGCAAATTTTCCCAATGGCAGATCCGGAAGGGAAAGAAAATTAGTTGACAGTCCCGCGAGCTAATACGGAATACCTCTAGTCGAAAAGCCTCCTTGCGCCTATGTATGATGTAATACCGAAGGAGGGAGGGGGACCTGGGCTCAAGCCGCACCGGCGAGAGCGGGAGGAGAAGACCCCCAATGTGTCTCAGTGGGAAGGACAATCAATTTCTGCAGGGTCCAGAGTGCCCAGAGGCGCTCGACGTCGGGATGTGCGTTGACTGACGGTGTGGCCCAGAGCCCTCCATTGTCAAGCCAGGAACACTGCCCTCAGTCTTTTGTGCCAATGTCTCAACGACCACGATGGGATCTCTCCGAGGGGGGGCGGTGAGCATGGGGACAGGGAAGAGATCAAAGTGAGAATGTCTCAACGGCATGTGGGCAGAGACATCTCCCGTTTGTTCCTCGTAAAGACTCCTCCCCTCTCAACCGCCATGGTCGTTCTCTTTGAACCCCTCACGATGCTGACGACGTGCGATGTTCGCAAAACCGCATTCGGTAGCAAAAGGTACCGGATTCAGAAAAGGTCGCTCGAGCAGCTCACCAACAGCCAAGACACACGTACTATGCCTATACAGATCCCGGCCGAAGACAGAAAAAACGGGGTACGAACGAGTTTAATCCCCCTTGGGGTTCTTTAGCTCTTGAGCTCTTTAAGCTCTTTAGCTCAACGCTAACCTATATGTCATGGGCTTGACCTCTAGGTGGCCTTGGCTTCCTGTCGACTCCGAAGCTGGCTGTGTCTCTTGGTCGCCACCAAAACCAACAACACCACCCAAGGAGAAGAAAAAATCGCCCATCACAGGACCCGATCCCGCCGTCGTTCTCTGTAGACTGTAGTAGTTCAGCAATGATCGGAGTCCCGTCCCAAAGCTCAGGTCGCACCCGCATCGGCCGCGGCCGCCTAGAGCAGAGGCACGGATCTCAATTGCCGTGAGCCGCATGCGAAAGACACGCGACGCCACGTCCCGCTTAGCCCAGAGGCCTGGACAACCTTGACCCATAACCTTACCAAGCGCTTGGAAAATACTGTAGAGAGGCCCAATGATACTATGGTAGGCGTTTACAGTTGTTACTACTGTCAATGTCATCACAAAGTCCAACGAAGTCGTGGCACAAATGTGAAAGATGTCTCTGATTTCTCCAATTTTCTATCACGCTCCTCATAATTTCTATCGTTGCTCTATGAACCTCACATTCAAGCGAACAGAAAATCATAACCAGGAGCATTTCGTCCTCATCAATATGCTTAGCTATCGATTAACATGGCGCGGTAAAGAGAGCCAGTGAAGAGAAAATCCTGTTAGCCCCTCCGCCCATCACATCTATACCAGCCCTCTTCCGGCGAACCGGGAACCCAACCCATCCAAAGAGCCCCATCAAGCCACCGAAAGCCACTGCCGCGAGACGCTTGTGAGAATCTGGCCCGTACGGCCGTCGCGGCGTAGACCGGCGGCTTTGACAAGCGTCGAGCGTGGCTTTCTCGGTAGGTCCTCCACGCGGGGTGCATGCCGTTCTGCGTGTAGAACGGCAGTGCAGATGGGCAAAACAACGGGAGATAGAGCAATATGGTGTTCTCGCAAGGGAAGAAAGACAGACAAACATCAAACTCCAGAATGGTATAAGTAAACGTCTTGTCCCGGATGCCATGATGAAGTTTTTGGATAGACCAGACAGCCTCAACTCTCTCACACAACAAACATCCTCCTCATCAACCAGACCAACAAGACCTTTTCACTAAGGTTTACCATCCTATCCTCACAACCGGTCTCTAATATCTAATCAACACCAACAACCAAAAATGGCTCGCCGCGCTTCCCTCATCGTGACAGCCCTCCTGGCCGTCTGCGCCTCCGCGGCTCCCGCCCCGATGCCCCAGCGCTCGGCAAAGATCACGGCCGTCAAGAACATCTTCACCGTTGGCAACATGTCCTTCGCCAACAGGCTGTACTGGGACTTTAGCAAGCTCGCCAACGGCGCCAAGGTGCCCGACGGCCTGCGCGTGAGCGGCTACCCCGTCAGCGACACGCACGTCTTCGTCACGCAGAACGCCTACATCAACGGCGGCTACCTCAACCTCAAGGTCGACGGCGGCCAAAAGGCCAAGCCCTACAAGTCCGGCGAGGTCGTCACCGTGGCCCAGAACATCAAGTACGCCTCTGTCCGGACCGTCGCCGTCTTCTCCGAGCCCGCCGGTGTCTGCAATGGTAAGCCCCCTTTTCCCACGGATCTCTTTCCTCGTCATCATACCCAGCGACTAACGCAACACCAACAGGTATCTTCTTCTACAAGAACGACAACCAAGAGACCGACATCGAGTGGCTCTCCGACGCAAACTCCCAGAGCAACGCCGGCAAGCGCCAGGTCTGGTTCGCGAACCAGGCCACCAGCAAGTCCTCCCCCAAGTCCTGGCTCTCCGTCCTCCCTCCCACGAACCCGACCGCCACGGAGCACGAGTACCGCATCGACTGGATGCCCGGCGTCGTCCGCTTCTTCGTCGACGGCGTCCAGACCTGGCAGACCACCCAGAGCGTGCCCTCGCAGGCCGGCCCCTGGGTCTTCAACAACTGGGCCAACGGCGACAAGGGCTGGAGCGCCGGCCCCCCCGCCACCGATGCCATCTTCAAGATCAAGGAGATTGACATGTACTACAACACCGCATGAGAAGCCTACCTAACTCGGCCAACACACATCAGGGGGCAGGGCTTCTGCTCCACAGCTCGGAATTTTTCAACTTCATCGTACATACTTTTGGATAACGACAAGGCAATTACTTCATGAGGGGGATAACGATCTTTGGACAAAAGGAAATAATTGGACATAATGAAGGAAAACGGACAATAACTTCATGAATAAAATGGAACCGGCTAATAAGGAGGAGGACATAATAACGAGGAGGGCTTAATTCATGACCATAATACAATAGTAATGGACATAATAATACAGAAAATCAGAAAACCCCAACATCACGTCATTACCAAATGCCCTGCAGCAGCCGATGCGCACCATTGTGAGAAGAAATGAGAATAACCCTAGGCAGCGGATTAAACAGCTCACCGGGACGGATACATCGTCACCGACCCTCAAGCATTTGCCGTATCCGAGTAAAAAAAGTACCCGGCGGATGGGGCGATATCCGTCCGATGCGCGGAAGCGTGGAGGCGGGCGGGCGGCCGCAGGGCCTGCAGTAGCAGCAGCAGCAGCAAGGGCAAGGCCATGCAGGTAGGAGAGAAAGAAGACAGAGCTCTCTTCTCATCCTCGATGTCCGCGGGTGAAAAAAAGCTACTGTCAAAGCTATGAACAATCAGGGTCCCCACGATCTTCTCTCCCACGATATGGAGGGGACCCCGGAAAGTGATGAAAAAGGGTTAGCGGGTTGGAAGATCATCCCATGCGAGAACAGGGGGGGGGGAGGGGGCATTTTCGACTTTTGGATGCGACGAGCTTCTTGCGGTTGGGTTCGTCCGCGCACTATCCTCCGCAAGCCTCCGCTTCCCGCCCGCCCGCATAGGATGATGCTCCATAGATAAGACTCACCAGGAGCCGTTCGTTTGGTGTGTAGTCAATTTTTTTCTTCCCCTATTGTGCGAGCCAGAGACCACCTTTCGCGGCCACGCGTGTGTGCCCAGTGTGGCCGGCCCACGATGCCCGTCCACTGTCGTCTGTTTTTACGTTGACCCGAAGACAATCCGAGGCCGGTTCGGCCCCAGTACCCGCAGACGGGATAGCTCTAGCCTCTTGAGCCTCATGTGGAAAAGCTTCGGGCGTGGGAAAAGGGGGACAAAGTGCGAAGAGGCTAATGAGAGCGCTTCCCGTGGGCCATGTTGAGGATGTCCGATAATCGGAAAGCATGGTTCTTTCGTCTCTCGTTGGTTTGCCCATTTTTCGACTTTGGCGTACAATACGACCGCGCCGCGCCCCTCCAACTCCTCTCAGGTCCTCATTTACCTCATTTACGCGATGTTCTGGACTTTGGGCTAAGAAAGACTTGAACCGGGGGAGGGAAGGGGGGGGGGGGGGGTGGTTTCTCCTTGAGACGAGACAGGCAGACGCGAGTGCGGTTCGCGAACCTCTCAGAGGCTCAAATGGCGTTATCTTGCATGATAGCTTCCTTTCCACCCACCCCTGTCTCTCGTGGTGCTCGTCGTCGGGATGGCGTCCAAAGGGTTCTGGGTTCCTGTCAAGGAGGGTTGTCAAACCCCACCAGTCCGTGGGGTATTCTTTCAACAATCCCGAAAGTATCCGACCCTGCCCGGTGTGGCCTGGGTACTCACTGCGTGTTCAATGGATGCGTGGGATGGGATGTGGAAGCGATTGGTGTGTATCTGGCCGAGAGAGAGAGGCAAAAGAGCTTTCGCTGGTCGTTCGTACGGGGGGACGAGAGCTGAAGCAGAAATTTTCGTCGATTTTGGCTTTAGCTTCAGCCAACGGTCCCTTTCCAACGGTCCCTTTCAGCTTGTAAGCGAAGGACCCTGAACTAAGGTAGGCAAACACCGTCAGCAACGCGTACGACGACCAATGACAAGCTCCAAACGCAAGAGAAGGGTTGAAGTTTTCTTGTAGCTTTGAAGTTCCAAGCTATCGGGAACCGATTTTCCACTTTGGCTCGGTGATTTAGACCACCGAGGTTCACACCCATCAAGGTGAGCGACGAGGGGCCCGAGGGGTCCTCACGAGCGCGCGGCTGCTCGGCTCACCTTGATGGGCGGGCGCTTTGCAGATAGCAGGATAGCGGCAGATAACCCAGAAAGTTGAAAGAAAAGAACCAGGGAAACAGTGTAAGATGGTCTTAGAATCCCCCATGGTTCGCCATGCCGTCTTCTGCCGCCTGCCGTCAGTGACGAAGCTCAAAGGAGAGGAGGGGGGTCGCGAGCGTGGGGTTGAAACTTGCGAGCTTGATGGCGTGCATATTCGAGAGACTGACTGCCGCCCGTATCCGTGGGAGTTCAGGGTCTAGACATGAAAGAGGCATGCCGAACGGAACGGAATCGACACGCACGTCGTTGCGACGAAAAGTGACGTTTGTTTCTTCCTATTGCCTGCCCATACGCAATGGGCAGAATATCTGTGTGATCCCTCGGTCCAGGATTGTATTTGCTTCGTTTCGCCGTAAATCTCGGGAGTTGCGTCAAAAGGAACCCCGCCGATGCCAAGCTGGTGGAATATAGAACAATCTAATCAATCATCCATCAATCTATCTGTCAATCAGTAGCAAAACTCTAGTCGGACTTCGGATGCTATGGCAAAAGGAGAAAAAATCCAAGCCCCCCACGCGGAGCAGAAAAAGGCAGATTGATTGAGTTGCAACATGGCACGCCCACCGGGGACGCACGCAGAACTTTCGATGCCGTGACAGGCATACTCTCTCAAGACGCCCCCGGTTCGATTCCTTTTGCAGACGAATGTCAAGTTCAAATCACAGGTCGACACGCAAACGAACCTTTTTGGGGCAGCTGTACAAAGTGCCAGCCACCTTGATAGTTCCAGACCATGACAGGAACCTGCTCAGAGATAGCCAAACAGTCGGGAATGCAACGGTCTCAGTGGACGAGGTTGAAATCCTGTGCGCTTGCGTATCTTGTCACCCCAATCGTTCATGTCGCGGCTCTCGCCGCGCATGCGTCCTCTGCTGGAATTGGTAAGTATCTCCCGTCGGTTGATGGCACAATGAGTTGCCAATTGCATTGTGTCTGCGCGTTGTCCCATGGACACGGCAGCAGCCTATTTACTGACTCCGACGTGCCCCCCGAGGAAACTCTTTCACACCAAGATGTGATATCAGACGTGATATGGGCAAACCTCGTCCAACGGTTGTCAGCCACGCCAGTCCAGCCGGCGGCGATACATGATGAGACCTTAGCACATGCATCTTACGCCTACTTTCGAAACCAGTCGGCATTCTTTCGAGGAAGGAAAACAATGTGACGAGATAGTGTTTCTATATTGTCTAATGGCACGCCATCGCCACTCATCATGTGTTGTACACTTGTAGTACCTACCTGGGCATATGTAGCAAGCGGCAGTTGGTACTCGAACAGCTCACATCACATCACACCCCGCATTCCTGAGGTGATCAAGGTTCTACCTACCACCGACTGCTAGCAGCGCGAACAGAAGCAAAAAAAATTAAAAAATTGATCAGCATATCTGGTTCCGGCCGTTTCGAACTTACGAATGTGATGGTACCTACATACATGCTACGGACCATCGTGCCATCCTTCACCGTTTCCATGTGTCACAGTCACCGTCCTCTAGTTCGGCCACCAAGAAAAAGAACGTTGTGTTTAGGGCCCCTCGGATCTAGCAATAGACTGGGGGATCGCCCTATAGCGGCCATTTGGACTGGGGACTGGAGGAGAGAGAGATGCTTAAGCCCACGGCGGCCGGCGTAGGGTGCATTAGGCTATTGACATAATACTTACCATAATACCAACGGACTAAAAGGTACCTATTCTAGAAACTTTGTAGACAGAGTGTCGATCGTTCATCAAGCACTGTTTATTAGTTTGCTTGTATTAATGCAGACGATGCTCGACGGCTTTGACGGATGCTGTTCCCTTGGGCGGAGAACAGTTACGATTGATGTGGGCTTTCCGGTGACTTTCTACGTTGCATACCTTCGGACACTCCACGGGCCTAGTCTTCCGGTGTTCCATCGAAACCAGAGAAGTTGATTTGTTCTCTCAATGTCGAGATTGGGCGTTACTATTTCCCTTTGCACAGGGACCCTCCTACACGGTGACGGATGGCATGAGGAAACTTACGATGTATGGATAGATAGTTTGACAAGGCATAGAGAGTACCAGCATGCCTGTAGGCTATATCAAGCGCTAGCTGCTCAACCATGTCTCTTGCCCCATAACTCCTTTGCAGTAACAAACTCACTCCAGTGACAAAGACACAGAACTGGCCAGTAGTTTGGCATCTTTGTGGGAACGGGGGAGAAATGCAGATGAAAATTTTCCGTCGGCTGCCCTCTCCGATGCCCGATGGGTTGGGATCCCCGCAAAGAAGCAAGGGGAAAGGAGACAGAAATGTTGCATCAATACATCGTTACGGTGAACCTGAGAAGAAACGAGAAAAAAAAATAATGGAACTCTTTCTTCCTCTGACCAAACGTGATGAAAACACGTGTTCTGTGACGGACGGGAAGAAATGTCGTTCATATCAAGTTCCCACCGTCCCAACGTGGATGAAGCAGCCGCTGTGGTAGGTGGTTTGCGATCTACCTTGGACAGTTGGATCCGACCTAGACTTAACTAACAAGGCAAGGTAAACGCCGGGTTGGGGAAAAGGCCCACCACCGGTGTACGGATACAAGTGTGCGTGTGTGTGACTCTGGAAAGTGAAGAGACTGCTGAGCGGAAGCCCTTGCAGAGAACTGAGCCGGGACGAAGGGAAACGGGTGGATATTCTGTTCATGGGGCTCCGGGCTGTGTCGTCCTTGCAGTTTGCCCACTAAATTCTTTCTCATGGGGATTAAGTTTTTCTCGAGTCGTTTCTGATGTGTCAGGGGTGGTTGCGAGGCGCTGAGGTCTGGAATCTCTGAAATCCTGAAATTTCTGCCCCTTTCCACAATTTCTGGTCGTCTTCCCTGCGTCGAGTCCCTCTTTGTCATTGTATTCTGTTGTTACCGGGAAGGGATGATAAGCAATGTCTTTCGTACTCTGCGAGTCTGTGGAGGTGAAGCGAGTGAAAAAGGGAGACAAAAAAAAAACCGGAGCATGTTGTTCTGCGACGGGCGGCGGCGCGACTGGCCGGAGAGGTTCCACGGGTCCACGGGCATGGCTCCACGGGTCGCAGGCTCGCAGGACGTGAAAGAAAGGGAGCGGGTGGGACGGACGACGCCATCAACCCATACCCAAGGTACAAGGCACCGGACCGCCTCAAGCTCGCAGCGCCGTTCGGGAGCATGACGCCTCCAGGGGACTCGGAGCACCTCTTTGCCATTCAGCCGCTCTACCCCTAAGAGCTAAAATGTGCTCATTGTTGTTATGTGAGGTGGTTTCCTGTGGATACGGGTACTGGTAGGTACTCCACCGAAAGTCAAGCCGGCTTGTGATGAGTCGATGACTGACTCCTGGAGACGCACAGTCGTTGAAGTCTCTGAGCCGCTGAGCCTCTCGCAACGGGACGTGGGGCTCTCGAGGATGTGGGTTAGAGGCATACGGATGCTGTAGTGCCTTAGTTCCCTCCCTCAGAGTAACAGTTGCGCCTTTCAGTGGAGTTTGTTTCGAACTCTGTACGGCCTCTTGGTAACCCTGATGTGGCTTTTTTACTCGTCTTTCTTAGGGCCCATTCGTGGGGAAACGTGCTCAGGGCTGTGGATGAGGTGATGTGAAAACGTCGTATGAATCACGAAATACCGGGGCCGGGAGGATGGAGGCTTTGGAGGCTCCTCCGTCGCAGCCGCACAAAGCCCACAGCTAGCAGACAGCAGACGTCTGAGTCTCGGCTGCTCTTACTGCGTGCGTAGCAACCTCGTGGGAACTGGGAATGGCCCACTCGATCCGACTCGAACGATTTGCTAGATTTCAACTCGAGCCGTGGCGGGTCGCTGACAGAGAGAATCAAAGTTGTTTCGGCCACCAGTGTCCCCGTCGTCTGTTGTTCCCCAACATGTTGTGCCCTTTGAGGAAAATTGCAACATCTGCTGATCAAAGGGGACGTGCCGAAAGTGAGAAAACCGGGGATTGCATTGCGGCGGCCTCTGGAGTCTGCCCCCGTGCTGCATTGCATCATGTTTGTTCTTTGCTGAGAGACTCAGACAGCTGTGGCATGTGCTCACTAATCTCAGTCTGGTAGTCTGGACTCACCGGAGACGTGTCCAATTTCTCAAAATCAAGGAACGGGAGAAACAAACACGATGGCGGTGCAGATGCGAGTAGAAAGGCAAGACGAGGAAATACCTCATTGGCCATCCCCGATGTAGAAGCTGGCTAAGAAGTGCCGTACCAGATACACGTTGACTATGGTCTTGTACGCTGTTAGTGAATACAGTCCACGTACACCTACTGTTCGGTATTCGCAGAAGGGCATCCACCAAATCGACGTACCTATCTGTGAGTTTGCTGCCGCTGCAAGGTACCTGGACCCTCGCCGTGACGGCGTGTCTTGTTTCGCTGGTCATGCAGTCGAAGCTCTCCATAATACGGGGTACGCAGCGAGGCACGTTGCATACAGCAGAGCGAGCCGACTGGCTGCCCTTTGGAATTGTCAGGTTGCAGTGTTCATGCGGATGGAGCCCAGAAATCATCAGATCGTGATCGCTTCACTGGCTCAGAGAAAAAGTCTCGGTTTCACGGGTGTCCCTTTCTGATGTTCTTCTTTTCGTGGCGGCTCTGTATTCTTCTTCCCGCTATTTCCTGTTCCCGCAGGAAGTTCCGTTCTCCACGCGCATCAAGTGCTTGTTTCTTTCGTCCAAGGACACTGGACGACCCGGCGTGTGATGTACCTCTTGGCTCGATCTGACGTGGAACGGTACATTGCGTGTCTGAGGCAGCCCGCACCGAGGCCGTAGAGGTTTCGAGCGGTCGCTGCATGAGCCTACGCGATATACTACGCAGGCCCACGAACAATGTTTATTGCCTGTTCCCTGGACAGTTCCTTACATAAGGCGGAATGATTGGTTGTACGTCGATGCCATCTTGAACTTCTTAGCTAACAAGGTGTCGTTATGATGCAAGTTTGGTACCGCAGTGTATATCGAGTACAGATGGACGCAACAGAATAAGATGCTCAAAAGAGGGCTTCAGCACAGGAGCAAGAGCTCTAGAGTCAAGGCCCAGGACGGCATGAAAAAGGCACCGGGGCCGATGGGGTGAGCTGATGACAGAATGGCGAAAATGATGCATCGCCGTGGCTCGACGACAACTGAGCCCCCCGTCGTTCGCGTCAGACCTGGCTCTTGTTAGCCCTCGCATGGCCAGTCACCTGGTCACACCTCACATCGCTCGCACCTTGTCCTCGGCTTCCAATAGGCGAAGCAGGTAGCTTGCAGCCTGCGTACCATCTTGTCATCCTGTGTCCAGCAGGTATGTACTGTAGTGTAGGTACTCCGCACAGAGGTGCATAACAGAACACCAGGGCCGCCCAGTCCCCTTGTCGATCGTCTCAGAAAGGGTCCTATGGTCCAGTGATCTTGTGGTGGTGCCTCTAGGAGTGTACTCCGGTAGGTATTGGGATGCCCTTCTTGCAGCTGTACCTGGCATTCTGGCATTCTAGTTTCCATCATGTAATGGTGGATGCTTGGCCACCACCCAAACACACCCAAACACTCCAAGGACGGCATCCGGTAGATTCGTAATTGCAGCCACGAATTCACCATTCACCGTTCACCGCTGCTATGTTGGAAAGTGTACTTTAGGCAGGTACTTTGGGAATACTCTGGTAGATACGTACTTACGTACCTACTCATACACTCCGTACCGCACGTGTGATGCCTTACATAATTCAAGCCCGAGAACGTCGAGTGGGAAGGAATGAATGTACGTAAAGGAAAGTACGAAGAGAAGTGCCTGCCTTACATTGCGATGCACCCGTAGGTACAAGGCGACGCGGGCAGGTAGGCACTGAGGTAAGGTAGACACGGCAGGCAGGGCAGGTACTGAGGAACTTTGGCTTCATCCCCGATCCCCAGACTTCTCTCTCGGCAGCATCGTGCATCAACCTCTGCTTCTCTTTGGACTTCCCCATATTTGCACTATTAAAAGCCCTGCTTGGTCTTTGGCGGCTTTGCCCTGGTCCGCACATCCCCCTCGTCTCGCTAAGTAGTGTAGTCTGTCCTGACCACAAACTGCGTACTTTGTACCCACCAGCGTCCACGCACGCAACGAGCTCTTCTGACTTCTCAACTTCTCACAGAGTCGCCGACGACAAGGGTCCCGGGTTACCCTTCTGGGTATGAGTGAGCCGCCCGCAGAGAGGGAATTAGACAGGCTTCCCCCGTCCATCGCAGGCCTGCAATCCTCCCCACTGTGAGGTACGAGGTACAGTTACTGAAGCCTGGTTTCTTTGATGCCATAATCCCCGTGACTACAAGAAGGCAGCGGCGATATAAACCTCGGACCCCGATCTAGAATCTCGATCTGAAAAGAAAGGCAATTTTTTTCTTCGCTAGCGAACCCGTTTTTTTAACCACGTCAATAAGTCGGTGAAGAATGTAAGAAAAAAAAAAAAGAAGAAAAAAAAAAAAACCGACCAGCGGCTACACAAGAAACGAAGACGGGGGGGACGGAGAAAAAAAAAAGATATTGCGCAAGAAGACATTTTCTACAGGAATTCCATACCACATTAGCTCGGGATACGAAAAAAGACACGGCTGCATACACATTACACACAGACTACAAAGAACGACATTTTATTCTCCGGTCTCACACGCAAGAGCCAACCCGCCAGTCCTCATACAGAAGCAGCGGCTATCCAGCAAGAGGCCAGAGAGCTCATTCCTAGCTTTGCTGCCCTTGCTTCCCACCGCTTCGTTCGGACACAAGCAGATCAAGACCCTCACGCCATACCCTTCTTAGCCACGAGAGGGTTCATCAGGGTGTCTGGTCTCCGGTCGTCGTTACTCCTCGGTACACCTGTAACCACACACAATTACAAGCTACAGAGCACCCATACCCGTACGGTTTGGGTGGCATTCTCGCTGCTGTCATCGGCAGAGTTGAGACGACGGACGAGTCGGCGGCGCTTGATCCATCTCATAAGCTGGAGGTCCGTCCGCACCACAACATCTCCGCTTTCGGCGAGCCCACGGCCCTGCCTGTCCTTGCGTCAATCCGAGGTACCTTGCGTCTTTGCGGCTTGTCTGGGTACCGGGTTGAAAAATTTACAGAGGGTACGGATAGACAAGGGGAGAGAGTAAAAAAAAGAATATCCATACATCAACTTGCAAGGGAGTGACAAGTAAGGACGGCAACGGAAAGAGTCACACTCGATCGGGCTCCATTCATTCAACAAGAGAAGAGCCATTGAACACTATTCGAAGAGTCAAACCAACCGTCTGCGGGACTACATATATTTATTTCTCGGCTCCAATTCTGTCCCGGTTCCAGGAGCCTCATCTGTCGCCAATTGCTCTCTGTCTTTCTTCGCCTTGACATTTCCTCGGCAATCTCGTCTTTGACTGAGTGATCACTACGTCAGTCTGGCTCTATTTCGTCTCAATCCACTTGAGGATCCGTCGTCCCTTCTATCGAGCAACACACCTGCTGCTCGGCTTTCGCCTTGCTGATACACAAATCGCATCTCTCTTTCGCAAATTCCCACCCCCGAACGGAAGACGGACAACGGGCCAATTTGGAGCTAGCCAGCCCTGGTCCCCGCACTCGCTCTCGACTCTGGCGTCATCGTGCTTCCTAGGAGCTGTTTAATTAATTCCTCGAGAGATCGAGGCCGCAGCAAACATTTTGCTGCACCTAGCAGAGTACCTCCTAGTTCCGACTGTACCTAGACTTGACCTGCAGACCCCGGTTATCCCTGGAGCGAGAAACAAACCCACGCTGGTGCAAGTCAACCCCGGTCTCTCACTCTCCTTCACTCTAAGCCTGGAGACTCAACCCGCGCACACCTCTCTGTCACTGAGTCTGAGTCTCTCACACCACCCACCTCGCCGGGTCTCACCAAAAGATACCTACCTAGCACGGTAATAGCAACCGTCAGCGCAGGTACTCTTCTCAGTCTCTCCTCAGCCGAGCTAGCCCTCTCAAAAAAACACATCCGGCCAATCCTTCCTGCAAGCTTGCAACACCACATCAGGCCTGCTTGGACTTGCGGCACGCCTCTTTTATTCCCTTGACCTCCCATCCCATGTTGTCCTATCCCGTCCTGCCTCGGACACACCTCTCATCTTTCTCAGTGTCTCTCAATCCCAGACTTGTCTCTTGCATTAAAAACTTCCGACTGGCCTGATAGGAGGAACACGGGCTCTCTATTCAAGTTTTCATCTGGAGCATTGTATCAGTCACGGTCACGGCGACGGTCACGGCCACAAACCCGCACCACAATCCATCAGCCATCAGCCATCCATCGCCCACGGGCAATCCATCACTTATCAGCTCTCGGCCAAATATACATACATATCCACTCCCACACCCCCCAGCCAAACCCGCCGCTATCTTTCAATCCATCACCAAGACGCCTTAGCTACTAGAAATAAGGCGTACCACATCAGGCGTCCCCTGCACGCTGCGATAGCTCGAGACCCTTCTTAATCCTCCCAGCACCCGCTCTGACCTGCGGGGGAAGACCAACGACCGGAGAAGAAGAAAAAATCTCTTCAGCGGGCGGACAAGACACACGGAGTCACAGCCGACGACCACCACTCTAACCTACCTTACCACCACTACTTTACCTGTTCGTTCACTCAGCCCAGGGCTTCGAATTTGCCACTCGGAACGCGTGAAAGCAGGGACCAATTTCCTGCATTCCCATACAAGGCCACCAACAGGCAGTCTAGATTCACATCTCACCGATTGTTGCGAAAAATTTTCACTGTTGCAGAAGAAAAGGGTTCGGAAATCTTCTTCCCTCGTCCGACGCTGCTTCACCCATCGCCTCTGCCAAACCCGACGGCCGAGACAGGACGGACGTTCGCAACTGCAGTGGCACTACACGCTGTTGTTCGTCAATCATCGCTCCTTGGGGGAATAGAACGGCGCTACCCCTCCACCAAACCCGCCCATTCCCCGCTTATCTTGTCCCGCCGTCCATCCGCCGATACAGGCACCACAACACAGCCAACTGAGACTGAGGACTCGGAAACTAACTGTGAGCGTGAGCTGCGAGAGTCTGAGCGATAGACTACAAGAAGAACCCCTGCCAACCTCGTCGCATCGTTGGCTTGTTGTTTTCTTCTCTCGATCTTCCCCTTCCCCAGATCCCTTTCTCTCAGTCGTACATACATACGCCAAGAGAAAGATTTCACAATGCATCACAGCCGCAGAAAGTCGGGCAACACCTCCATGACGGAGAAGACTGTCACAGCTACCGATCCCTCCCGCTACGGCAAGCGTCCTTCGACTCTCACCAGACGCCAAACCCCCCAGAAGTTGGGCAAGAACCCCAGAGACCGGGAACGGGAACGGGAACAGCAAGACTCGTGGGACGATGAACGGGAGAGTTTCCCTCAGTTCTGGTAAGTTTGTTGCGACAGTTTTTTTTGATCTTGTCTTATTCACTGTTCACATTCGTCGTGTCTCCCTCACTCTCATTCTCACTCTCACTCCCCGATCTGGACATGAGTGCTTCCTCAACGCCGCCATGTTCTAGATTGTCAACCCCGCAACAAGCTGTCTTGTAACATTGTCCGTCATCCAATCTTTGTTGCAGATTGTCATCCCGTTTGGGAGGTCTGCAGTGTCACGATGGACGCCCATTGTAGTGCGCATGCTATTCTTCCGAAGGGTGTCTACGCACTCAAATTTCCCTTCGAGCCATTGTTCCCACCCTATTGACTGAACAATTCGCTGACTGGACCGTGTGATCTAGCATGACCTGCGAAAAGCAATTTGTACCTCAAGATGACAGGTTCCTGTACTGCTCAGAATCGTAAGCTGCCACTTCCAAGTGAATGTCTCTGAGCGGAATGAGTGCTTTACTGACACTACGCAGATGCCGCAAGCATGATCAGCAAACTGCATCAACTGGCAGGACTATGAGCCAACCGCACATGGGCAACTACCCTTTCTACGCCGCATGCAACCCCGAGCCCAGAGACATTGTTCCTCGTGCGTCCCCCTCAAGGCCGAACTCGATGCACTTCTCGCCGCCCACGACACCAGGTGCCACCTCCGGCGCGCAATACTCGTCCGCCATCTCCGCGTTGAGGTCACTCAGCATCCGACCCCCAAGCCCGCCGTCCCCCACATCGTCGCACGCCAGCATCTGGCCATTTACCAAGAGCAGCACCAACAGCCCCAGTACTTCGTACAACCGCGGCAGCAACAGCTTTTTCCCGGCCACATACGACGGAGGCTACGCAGCGAATGGCTACGCCTACAACTACAGCTCCAGCGGTATGGACCGGCCGCTACCGACACGGAGACCCACTGGGCCCGGCTACTCAAGGCCGAAAAGCATCGAGTTGGTGACGCCCATGGTCGGTCGCTAACACCGTCAGACGGGGACCGTGTCGGGAGGCTGCATCACCATTCAACTGGTTCAGTCAACCATTACACAACCGCACGGGGAGGATTGACACCTCGTCACCCCACGGGAATGACGGTGTGCGTGCGCTCAGCGGGTTCGATGGGTCTTCCCTCTCGTACTCGCCTGTATAACCCCAGCCCCAGAGCGCGGGGTTAGCGTCGATTTCGAACACCGGAAAACGCGGGGGCAACCACGGAGGGAGGTAATGAGCCGACAAGGGGATATGATCCATCTCAAGCTCTCTCTCAGAGTGGCTTTCCGGGTGTCACCTTTCCGACTCATCCGCACACCTCATTCACCAGCCTTCACCTCCTCTACTGCCCCCCGCAAATCAACCCCACGAAAAATGAAGCATGGCATCTCGGCAGAGAGACTAGCATTGCGACTTGTGGGGGCTTCATTTGCGCACTTACGATTGTTTTTTGGCACTGCGAAACGCCATGGCTTCGGTCATGTGAGGGAGGGGGAATTCGGGCAGGATCACAAAAAAGTTGGGGGTTGCATTGACATGGGGCATGGGCATTAATGGGCATTTGGTAAAGCGATTTGGGGATGGTTAATCCTGTCTTGGTTTTGCAGCGAAACCCGTTTGGTTCACCACGCCTTACCCAACGAAAGCACACGGAGGTTTCTACGAGATACTCCGTGTTGCGGGTTTGGCAGGTAATTCCTGACGGGGGTTTACTGCTGTTTTTTTTCATCATCACTTGTTGTTACGACTCTATGTTGGGGCAGCATTATCATCTCACATGACGGGTTCTTCAAGGCCATCTGAGCATACATAGAAGGACAAAGCATCTACGGAAACCGGGAATAGCTAGCATCAAGGGCATCACGGATCTAGTATTCGGGCGCGTACTTCACATACTGTTTTTTCAACCCAGAGGAGGTACATGGCGGATACAGTACTCCCCCTCCTCCCAATGGGAACACTATTATATTCTTTCTGAAAATACCACCTAGCATCAATGTGTAGCCAGCGGGTCATTCGACCAATGAATTGTATCAATCATGAACACTTGGCATATCGCAATTGTGTGAGAAATCGCGTCGAGCTGACTTTCAATGGATCGGCACCGCCGAGTTCACTGACGGAAAGCCGAGGTGAATGGGATGGGACACCTCGGAGATGGGGGAAGAGAGAGCAAGGTAAGGACCCCCAATCGTCCGATCCACACACGCCAGACCTCTTTGGACCTTCACGATATGCAATGTTGCTCCCCCAGACGTAGCATGTCGATCACTGGTTCTTTTTTTGACTGTGTGGTGCGGGTGCGGTCTTCCCCAGATCGTGAGGTGGACGGGGCGGGGCCTGGCGACGTGCGACACTGACTCGGGGAGTCGGGAGTCGGGGGAGTTTACCAGCGTATCAGTTTATCGGTACAGGTAAGGTAAGCGGGCGAGTTAGGGACAGACAGGAAAGAGAGAGAGAGAGAAGACGCGCTCGACGCGAGACTTGAAAGGTGTGTGACGACAGAGGGGATCGGATTCCCGCGGATGGACAAGTCTGGGAATGCCGTGATAAGAGGAACGACTTGTGTGATTGGGGAGATCGTTCTGTCTCTTGCCTGCCTTGCCTCGCCTTGCCTCGCCTTGCCTTGCTTCCTTCTCCCCCCGCGGGGGTTAGTTTGGGCGGGCTTTCGGCAGGCAGAGTGCAGACTGAGGTACTTGCTCAACTCTGTTTGGCTGTGCAGGTCACGGATAATGATATACAGGATGTTGGGTTACAGCAGGATCTCGATATTAAATGGCACACCATGGACAGGACGGCCAATGGGCTGCGTGTGTATATTGATTCGAGGTTCCAGACCATCATTGTCAAGGGCAGGACGATCTTGCTGTGCCGCTTCGCTTGTGGTTTTTCTCTTGCTGACTTGAGTCTAGAACCTTTTTTTTTTTTCCCTTTTCGAAGGTTGGGTTTATGGGTTACGGGTGCAAGTGAAGGATTCTGTTGATTACTTGTGTGTTACACAAGCGCTTGGGGATGTCGAGTGAGTGAGAGCAAGAGGAGTAGATGACTTTGTCAGCAATTTTGATCCCTGGGTGCGATTTTGTCCGTCCCAGTAATAGCGCGGCCGTTCAAGTTCACTGGTCTTTTCAGGGTGTTCATGTTCCCTTCCTTACCATCCTCCTGGATAAGACCGTTGGATTAAGTCCCCCATTCCGTGTCATTTTCGCGTTACAGGCTTTTGTTTTCCCAGCGGGCGCGGGAGAATTACGGCAGTGGGCTAGCGGCTGATGGAAACATGCGCTGTGTGGGGGAGTTTCTTCATCTTGGGGTTTTGGTCTCCATGGATCGTGACATTTCGGCAGGCCGCAGGCCCAGCATCATCCACTTCGGTTTGAATGGGGCCGAGGCTAGCGATGCTTGGTTAGAGGCCGGGGCATTTGATGACGTTGGTGGGGATTGTGTACGTGCCAACGCGGGCGGGCAGGTAGATTCTCGGCAGTGGGAGTTCTTGGGGTTCTAGGGGGGTTCTATCACAGAGACATTACATTTCTGGAGTGGTTGTCTTGTTCACGATGTTTGATTTGATGATGGGTCAAGGTGAGGCTGCTTTTTTGTTCCGAGTCATGTGCTTAGGCTCGTGATGGGGGCGACTTTGTCTTGTGAGACGGTGGTGATGGAAAGGTGTGAATGGGTATCGTGATGGAGGTTGAATGGGTGAGCGATGACGGATGGTCTGGGAACGAGACGAGGTCTCGTGATAGAGGCCGATGATGGCGGAGCTTCGAAGGAGGTGGGGGGGAGTGAGGTAAGGTAAGGTAGGTAGAACCACCGTCTTGTCCCGAGAAATATGTGACGACGACGGTGACGAACGAATGGGTAGGCGACGATGGTCCCAAGTGATCGGAGCGAAAGGGCGAGGGACCAAGGCAAGGGCGGTGAGCTTAACGCAGGTTCCAGTATTCCGTACGCTGTGAAATGATGTGTGTGAGACTGCTAGTGTGTGTGTATGTGTGTGTGTGATGCCGGATTCCGGGACTAGTATCACGCAAGTCAGGCACGTAATGTAGGTACGGTGCGGCGGAATGCTCCAGGGTGGGAACACTTTTTTTTTCATCTTCTCCTCCATTGAGGAATGGTGTGTGTAGGTGTACGTAGGTGTGAGTGGGTGAGAGTGAGTGAGTGGCCTTGGTTGGGGGCTGGGGCTGGGCAAAGGTGAGCATGATCGGGTTAGGATACGGGGTGTTCGAGGTGAACCTGACCGATGAGAGGCGGTGGTGGTGGTGGTGAGGATGCGGCGGCTGTAGCGCACTTGACGCCGCGGCCGCGTGAGCGATGATGGTAGCGTGTATTCCGTAGAAGGGGGGTCTTGTGCTAGTGTGATGAGATGGATTAGATTGTGCGTGATTGTGTGAGATGACGTGAGGCGCGGGGCACTTTGAGTCGTGTTTGTGATATGCGTTCCATTGGGTTCCTACTTAGGCACTCAAGTAAGTAGGGTAAGTAAAGTACCTACCTTTCAGGTTATCTGGCCGGGTGTTGTTCGGGGAGATTTGCCCAGTCAGCACGATGTTCTTAGTGGATGGGCTAAGGTGAAAGTGGTGCTTTTCTCTTGGTGCTGTGTAAGTAGATAAGATTACTTTAGTAGGTTCTCTCGGTGATAGGTGGGATAGGAAAGGACTGGTGTGGTTGGTCTATGTCTGTCTGTAACTAGCTGCGGGATGTTATAGATGCGAGATAGGGTAGTCTCGGTTTATCGTATAGTACGACACAGACTGTAGCGGCATTCCTATACCATAAGGTAGGTGGGCAGGTAGACTTATTGGAGGGGCTGGAAAAGCGGAAAGGCAACTCGAGCAAATGATACACTGCGATTTGAAATACGTGTCGCAAAGTGTTGCCATTCAGGAGGGGGGAACAATAGAACCAGTTCTCGGGATGTGATGGGCCTGTCGGGGTATGATTACAGAGTCTCATTTCGGGATCTGGTCCTCGACGATACCACCACGTTGTGTGGCCTGCCTGCCATGCACCTGCGGCACACTCGCCTGACTCTTTCGGCCGGCTCTGCAGATTTGCCGCGATTTTTGGAAGGTGTTGCTTCTCCCTGGGCGAGGGGGGAAGACTCGGCCGGGTGTGGAGAAAAAAGGACAAATGTCGGCGATGCCGGTGTTGTTCGGGGTGGAGTCCGGGTCCCCGGTCTTTCTCTCTCTTCCTGTCTCGGCGATCCGGGGGGGATGGAGGGTGGGGGTCGTTTCTCTCTCTCTCCTCTCCCACGAGTCTGGGTGTAACCATCCGATGCTGGAGACTGACTCTCATCCTTGTTCGAGCGCTGCCACCTACCGCGATGAAATATCGGAAAGGTTATATTGACGGCGGTGTTATCGTCGCTGATTCTGTGGAATGGGGGTTTCAACTTTTCCCATCCAGCGCTCTTTCCGAGAAGCGTCGATGTTGTGCATGAGTGCATGGTGGCTTTCTAGGTGGGCCGATGATCGCTCTGCTTGTTTCTTAATCATGTTTTTGGGGGCGAGAGAAGGGCCATTGACGCCGATCGTCGAGATAGCGGCTCCTTGGTAAAGACCACATAGGAGGGTGGCATCGGAGTAAACTCCGACTTTCTCATCTGCCCGCCCTTCGCGGATGCCCGATGCCGTCATGGCGTTGAAACAATGCATCTTAGACTCTACAATCATCTGTATGTCTCGAGTCAGTGATGGAGTATTGGCATTGCCGGTAGGCACGCAGTTGTATGTTTCCGAAGTAGTTACCTAGGGTACAGTTAATCAACCCGAGTAGTTGCTTCTCAAGTGTGGTGTACCAGTGAGCGCCCAGTTGAGTATCTGTGCCCGCTGCTGAGCTTATGTACGTACGCCAGGCTCGTCCATGGTTTCTAATTGATGGCGCCCTGGTTTAGGTAGTCCTCAACCGGGATGCGACGATGACTGGACGACTGGCTATCTATTGTTATACAGAAATGTAGAATAAGTAACGTACTTGGTAGACATTTGCTGTGAATTCGCGATGAAGGCCTTGCTTGTAGAAGTTGATCAGCGCCACGTCTGCGATGCGCACACAAGAGACCATATCGCTTGCTACAAGGGTTTTTTCTTTCATTCTCCAGACGCACTTTTATGTGGCTCAAGTCCGTATCTTGGTGTTTGAGAGCTCTCGGACCATGCTATGGATATAAGCAACTGGTTATGTTGAATCCAGATCGGAGTACCATGTTTAACTTCACAGTAATCGGATCCTGCCTTCTTCTGCAGTACTCCTCGTATAACAGCCTCTAGACACTGTTCAGTAATGAATTGTAGAGTATTTTGTTGAGAGGAAGCTTTGGTTGCGTGTATGTACGCACGAACAATGCTCCAGTGACATGCATTGCTTCCTTGGCTTAATTTTCAACTTACCAAAGGCTTTTGCCGTACCATCTTGGTAGCACAACATTGTCAGCGAGTCTGGGTTTCGAAGTTGCTACGTAGGATTAATACTTGATTGGCTTGCGGGAGCTGGGCACTGGCCGCGACAACATCGCTCCATGCTCGGGCTCACCTTTCATACACATTACCTATCAATGGACAAACAACGCACACTCCAATAAATTTTCGACTCAGTAACGCAAACACATCTTATTACTCTATCATATCGAGATCAATCCATACTCGCTGCTGCTGGAGATGCGCTGAAGGTCACCACATCTCCCATGTGCATGGGAACCGCGTCTTCTCTTGATTTTGGAAAGGGTAATGGTTCGAGCATCATGATTAAACATCCATATGTTTTGTGTGTGGTATGAAAAGAAGCGACGTTGCGATTTCTCGATAGGGTTTCGCAGAGTTCACCGGGGTTTCATGTTTGAAGGCATCTAGGGCTGTCTGCTAAGACTACCCTCTATAAGTAGAAGCGGACTCACCAGATGTGGGCAGAATGGTCCGGGTATATACAACCCAGAAGTTTTCACACTTTAGAAGTAGAAGAACTCGTTATGTTCTATTAACAAAGTTACTCAGAAAGACCATTGCAATTACTAG